TAAAGATGTGTGTTTTGAGAATTTTTTTTCCCCACATCGATTCTTTCTCCACTAATCACTAATTGTAAGGGCGATTACGTTAACACCAATGAAAGCAACACTGGTTGCGTAGCTGACCTCAAAATGGTGACCGAGGTTGGTGAACATTCAATCTGTTTTCTTTTCTCCTCTCTATATATTTGATTTTCTTTTCCTTTTCACCCTTTTCGATCTTTTTTTTTCTTATTTGGAAATTTCATGTATTTTTTTTGGGTCATTTATTTATTTGGAAACTTCATGTATAGAACCTTGACTTTTGCTTACTATAGTGCCTGGAGAATATATTTAGGGCAAACATACTTGAACCGATCTGCGTGTCTCAGGCTCCGAAATCGACGATGGGTGATGCGTGGGACCCCAGCTTAATAAATCAAGACCGTTCACTTCTCCTTCTTCCCACGCTGGAAGCTCCCCGGGTATGGTGCAGGGCAAGTATCGTATTTTTTCTTTTTTTACTTTGGGCCAAATCTTTTTTCAATAAAAAAGGAACGAATCAATTTCTGAATAAAATTTTACTTTTTCTTTTTTTCATTATTTAAATTTTGCTTCTTACGCACTTTAATATTTTTATACTCGAGACACGTGAAACTTTCACATTATATAAATATTGAAATGACCGATGAAATCAGCTTATAGATGTGTTTCACCAGAAAATGCTCCCGTGGCGAAATATAATTCACCGAAAGTCGTTCTTCGGTTCTTAATGTGAGGAGACCGGGTTCCGTGGGGACTCCGGACAGGAAATATCCAGGGAGACAAGGAAAAACGGCGAACTTTTACTCCGAACTTCGAACCAAACTATATGTACAAACCGTGCCGGAATTTAATTGGCGACAAAGCTTGAAAATACAGCCGCACACGTACACAAAGATGTAACGCCGGAATTTAATTGACAATGCAACACTCGGGATAGAGATACACGCCGGAATTTAATCGACGACGCGAATCGGAAAGCTACAACTAAGGAAAGATAAAGTGCGGTACATGAAAGTAAAGATAATTAAAAGATAACATGTTGTTTGATTTTGTCGGGGTCCTTTCTCCGGTAGATGGCCGGTGATATTTATAATGGTCGTGTGGTAACTGCTCCTTAGCAGTTTTCAACAGTTGTGCCCATGTTCTTCCATTCCGAAAATCTTGTCTTCATGTCCATGTGATGCCATGATTCTGCTTTCAAGATAACTGTCTCACGATCTTGTCCACAAGTGATAACTTCCTCATAATCATGGTTCCAAGTAACTGTTCTCGCATGTATGCTCCTTAGTTGTTTCCATCAGTTACATTGAATCCACTACCTTGACTGTTTTCTTTTTACTTCACTACGTTGGCAGTTGCTTTTGACTCCACTATGTTGACGGTTACTTCTTCTTTTTGCATCTCCAACCAGTCACAATCGTCGACTTCCTCTTAACGTCGAAAACTCTACAGTGATTTTCTGAGTAAACTCAAAACATAAAAGTTGTAGATATAGGAGTCTTCGTTCTTTTGGCTTTGGAATCAGGTCAATCCGATCTGTCTCAAAGAAGTTATGACCATTTTCCCGAGCTAGCGCAGAACTGAAATTTCCTTGATGAAGTCGTGACCAGTCTTGTCAATAATACCCAAAAATTGGTCATTTTTTGGTGTAAATATATACACATGTCTGACATGTGTCCCTTATGTTGGCAACTTGATGATATTTGCTTCCACGTTACCTCAAATCTCCGCCACGTGTCCCTTGATGATCTTTGGCACAAACGAACTATGTCGACAAGTTGGCCATTTTCTGGTGTAAACAAGATGACCCCCTTTAGCCCGCTAATCAAATGATCGGTGACCCATTTTCTTAATTATAAAGTGCCTAAAAACCACCCCTCAAGCAATCTGACAGGAAATTTGTGTGGAATTTAATTAGTCATTTGCAAATTAATTAAAAAAATTAACCATTATCAAATTGAAAAGCTCGCAGTTCAATTTTGTAATCGTTTTTTTCTTTTCAATGTAGAATTATAACTATATGTATTGCTATATTTGGGCTAGCGAGAGAGCGGTTCAAGATGCTCTTCATGTCCGAGAGGTATGTCAATTAGTAATATTAATTAAATAAAATAAAATATTAATATTTTTTCTCTTTTTTTAATCTATTTTTGTCTATGTTTTTTGATGTGTTTAATGACAAGCCAGGGGACAATTGAGAAGTGGGTAAGGTGCAATAGGACTTTATCTTGCACATACACTGTCACAGACGTCGTTGACATACACAAGGAGCTCATAAAAGGCGGATATAGAGCACTTATTTATAGGTAATTAAGCATCTTTTCTTGCAATTTGTGCCATAACCGATCAATCGAATTACTTACTTCACTTAATATACTTTCTTTAACAAGGTAGTGGAGATCATGACATGATCGTCCCGTACGTGAGAACGCTGGCCTGGATTGACACGCTGAACCTGATGATTTCCCGAGATTGGGGAGCGTGGTTCGTCAATGGACAAGTTGCCGGGTTTGGTTTCGATAACAACCTTCTAAGCGTTGTACAGTTCAATTTCTAACAAATTGTCCCAACACCTGTATGCTTTAAGTCGATCTGATCGAATGAGGCTCATGTATTTTCGACATTCGGATATAGTAAAAGTCTCTCCACCCGAGTTTCCTTAGGGTTAATCTTGCAGATTTAGGTAAAGAAAGTTGAATGGATGGAGGGACTAATTTCATAAATTTACAAAGTACAAGTCTAAGATTTTCAAATGGACAGTACAAGGAATCATTGGATAAATATCGCAAAGTACATACTGTGTCTAGATAATTTTTTTTTTGGTAAGGCGTGTCTAGATAATTTATCCTTTCTAATTTTTATTTTGTGCTTACTTAGGTCTCTTTTCTTCTTGTAGGTATACTACGCTTTATTCTCACGGACTAACCCTTTTCACATATGCAACCGTCAAGGCAAGCAGATTCATATCCAATAATACTTTCTTTGACTTTTTCCCATTTTCATATTCTAATTTCATCCAAAATTGGCTCCTTTTACAATGTGTGAGTCGTACGTTGAAACTTCTTTTGTGCAGGGAGCGGGACACACAGCTCCAGAATTCAAGCCCAAGGAATGTTTCGAGCTGATTAATAGGTGGTTCGATTATTATTACATTTAATTTGCAGTTGTAACTCCCCTATAATTCGCAGATTTATATAATGAATATGGTCAATATAATGAATTCTTGTGGAAGTGGCGTATGCATGGTAACTATTAGGGGTGATCGGTTTCCAGGTGATGGAATCGGACCGGTGCCCTCCCTAGGAACTGGACCTACCAGTTCAATCTGGTGCTCGGGTGGGTCAATGGAATCGGTTGCGTGTTCGTTTTTAACACTTCCATTTGATTCTTTAATTTCTTCAGATATTTCAGGGGTGACATTAAATTAGGATGACTTTGTTAAACCTTGATTTTTCAAATGACAATGTTTGGTATAAGGGTCCTTATGTAATTTGCACGTTTATGCAATTTTATTGAGAAACTGAACATTGCCGAAATCGTATATGTAACTGTGGGGAAATTTTCAAAAACAATCTCCACTTCTCATCGCAACCTCAAGTTCGAAAACCAACAATTTAGATCCTCATATTTTCCACTTCATTTCAAGTTGCATCTACTGTTAAGTTTCGCAATTTACTTCCAATTATGCCGCTCCCATCATTTCAAATCTACCCCCTTGACCAAAACCCTAATCCTCCCAACCACCGCTCAACCCGTCTCCTTCCGGCACCGTTGCCGCCCGCCGCCCCATTGCCACCTACCGCCACCCTGAGCCAAGCCACCACCTCGCCGCGCCATCTTCTCCCTCGCCATGTTCTCTCATCTAATCTCTTCATCCATGGTCAAGCCGAGAACAGACCCGCTCAACTATTCTAGGATAGCTTTTGAAACCCCTTGGAGTGTATTAGGTCCTACAATGTACATATTTCTGATTCTATATGATGTAAGCTTATTCTAGCTAGTGCTACGAAGTGGATCCACGGGAACCATGTCCACCTATACATAGCGTTGAAAGTCGTACCTCTTGAACAACCTGACAAATCGTATAAGACCACGACAGTTCCTCATCCCTACTACAATCGAACAATCACTAACAAAAGAAATTTTAATCCCGCCACATATATTTATCGCCCGTCTATTTAATTTCTATGGTCATGTGACTAGCCGTCGCAAACTATATGTATATAATCTTTGATTATGATACTTTCACGTGGACCTTCGAAAGACGAAATAACTCAGTGACATGGAGTTTGCAATAGTCGGTGCGAAGCATATTCACCAAGGAGAGACAGAGAGGAACTTGCAAAGAGATGCAAAGATTGAAGACGAGCGAGCGATCGGTGTGAAGCTGAGCAAAGCGAACTAACAGACGAGCGAGGGGACAGAGCAAAGCAAAAGAAGGAGCGGTCGAGCGAAGCAAAAGAGGTAGAACTGAGCGAGAGAGGGGCAAAATTGGACTTCTAATAAGCTTTTGAGGGCAAAAAAGGAAACTGGCCAAATTTCATTAATTGGGAATTTCAGCATTCCGAAAATGCTGAAAGCTCAAGATAGATCCCCACCTGCCTGGAGTTTTCAGCTTTCCCAACCTAATATTTAGCCTAAAGACCCTTGGGAAAACTTGTCAAACGCCCCAGATTTTCCTTAAGGGGTTTTGGAGGCCTAGAAGCCCGTGAAAAAGCTAAACCCAGTGCGCCCTATAATAACTCGGTGACATGAAGTTTCCAACACCAAATAATTGGGATTATTCGAAATTAAATGTCACCATTACAAATCTTATAACTCTCTATTATTACTATACGCAAGAAGTAAATGCAATTCACTAGGGGAAGAGGTATGATGGACCTCCTTGTCATCTTGTGCTTCGGATAAGAAGCAACGCTCAAACGTTATCCACAGACACAAGACCTTGTGTGGACGAGCAGTCGAGCAAGCACAGTCACAGAGAAAGAGATTCAGTCATGGGGAATCGATGATTTAGTTAAACCTTTTCATGGCTTCAATCTTACAGAATGTGTTGATGGCCCTGACCATGACGATGAACAAGTTCGCCTCGTCCAACGTCCAGGCCATCCCAAGAAGCGAAGGCCGGCGGCGGAAACCGAGGGCCGCTCCGGCGGACTCCCAGCAATCAGGCGTCGGGACCAGACGGTGTCTCCTCCTCCTGTCCGCGGCCGCCACCGCTCCCCAAGCCGCTGCCGCCGGCAATTCGCAGACCGAGCTTCTCAAGAGTACTCTCTCCAAACCGTTCTCTTCAGCCTTTACAATAAGCAAAAAAAAAAAGAAAGCAGCAAAAGTACTAATCGCATTCATCGACCGTCCATGGAGAAATTTTTTTTTCATTTTCCCACGCGAAAATAGTGTTATGATTAAATGCTAATGGTTCAGTTGTAATATTTGTTAATTGTTGATTGTGAAAAGACCATTTTAAATTTATTTTTACGTTTATAACATCACTAATTATGCGTTATTTTAACTCGTTTTAGGGTATTTGAAGAAATCGGAGGAAAATAAAGAGAAAAATGACAAAGAGGTAAGAGAATTTTCTCAATTTTTTCAGCTTTCTGGTGATTCATTTCCCCTATATTTACTTTCTACCTGGAAATTTTTTCTTGGAATAATGGTTATAATTAATTATAATTGCAGTAAATGACCTTTTTGACCCTTTTGTGTGCTTTTTTTTTTAAAAAAAAATTTCTAGAGGCTGGAGAGCTACTACAAGAGAAACTACAAGGACTACTTTGAGTTTGTGGAAGGGTCATTGAGGAATAAGAAGGAGCAGCTCACGGAATCGGAGAAGGCCATTCTCGATTGGCTTCGAAGTAACAAATGATCAGAGAGTCTTCTCTCTCTCTTTTCTCTTATAATTGTTTCTTCTATTTTTGTTAGAAAAGCCTCCTCAATTTGATGTATATATCTTCGTTCAGCTTGTGTGTGGGTAAATTTACGCATACATGAAATGAAATAGAGATGACTAGTAGTAGTATATTGCCTGGCTTATAGGTGGCAAACAAGCCGTGCCGTCTAGGGCTGTCAATAATGCCCAACCCGAATTGACTTGAATGAGTTCACAAGTAAAATGTTAGTACTTGAAACAAAATGAAACAATTCAACCTCAAACCCTAACTTATGCTCTCTTACAACCCGAAACCTGACCCGACTCGGGTTTTTCGTTCGGGTCCTATGCATTTCGGGTCATGTTCGGGTTAGAAATATCATACATCTCTCATAGTTCGGTTCGGGTCAAGTAGCATGGAGATCCGACCTGACCCGACCAATTGACCACCCTAGTGCCTTCCATTATCCCTCGAAGTCCTCGGGTCGGCAGCACGGCCCATTTGTCATTGATATTATCTCGAAATATCTCATAATTTCATTTATGTAGTTCTATATATGTGAAGCACGGTATATAGTTAAAATACATTTAAACCAGGAGAATAATTTACGATAAGCTTGATTTGCGTGCAACGAAATCGCCCTTTCCACAAGTGAATTATCATTCTATGTTGTCCTATATCTTCTTGTTTACCTTCAACTAATACATAAGCACACACATAAATAGGCAATGGTAAAAGGGCCGATGGGACCTTACAAAAAAGAAGCCTAAGGAACAACATTTTAATTTGGCCCTTGGTCTAACAAATATCAACTATATAGTTCTTCATTCTTCTTGATTTATGTGATTTGGCGCTCACTTCTGGTTATCCCAAGTTGTTTTCCGATTTGGCACTCATTAGACCTCACATTAGCATCACGTGTCATTTTCTATCACATCAGCAATGCCACGTCATTAATTGAATTTGATAGTTTATCGAGAGCAGTTGATTGAATGACTTGATTGCACAAATCGAGAAAGTAATAAGATTTGATTGCATAAATACAAAACTTAGAGGACAAAATGATACAAACCAAGAAAATTAGAGAACTTAATCGAATAAAATGAAAGTCAGAGGATGAAATAATGCAAATCTGAATCTGAGGGACTAAAACTGTATTCAACCCATTATTTCCTTATCGTGATATTATTGATTAGTTGACTTTGGAAGCCTAAATCTCCGATGGCCGATTTAGCGTGTCAATTTCCTGGAATGCTGCCAGAGATAAAGGAATACAAGTGCTCTTATACCCTGCTTGGAATGAGCTTTTTCTTTATCAAAGTCAAGTATATTATAGCTTCAACTAATAATTATGAATTAGATATTTCTTTTGCATTCAATGAATATATTTTCAGAAATATCGCGGATGCATTTTATTGGGACTCTCTTCAATTTCGTTAATTACATAATGGTATGTATGAATCGCGAAAACAAAAGCCAAAATAAAAGAAAAAAAAGAAAAAATATCGTTATCCTTAGTAAAAAAAATGTGGATATGGTCTATTGAAATTCCTTTATTGTGGAAGAGGAAAAATGAATAAAATATAAGAAACTGAAAGAATCGCTGCTGTTAAATGATTAATTATTCAGCAATAAAGTTTAATTATTCGTCAAGACTTTCTTTTCTTCTCATGTTGGAAAATTTTTCCCACCCTGGCTCCGTTCGTTTGGCGGAAAATATTCTTCCGGAAAATATTTTCCGGATTTTCCGGTGTTCGGGGGGCGGAAAACGTTTTCCGTGGAAAAATATTTTCCTTCCCCCCTTCACAAAATAGCCTAAGTCTATGGAAAATGACTTCAGCTTCTTCAAAAGCGGAAATCATTTTCCGGAGCTTCTTCTTCTTCTTCACTAAGGTCGCCGGCCACCACCGCCTCTATCGTCCGGCCGCCGCCAGCTGCCGCCGGCCGCCGCGCCCGCCCGGCCGCTGCCGCCGCCGCCGGCCGCCGCTTCCGATCGCCGGCCGCGCCAACGGTCGCCGGCCGCCGGCCATGCGCCGCCAGAGCCGCCGCCGCCCGCCGCGCCGCTGCCACGCCGGCGCCCATTGCCGGTCGCTGCCGCCGCCGCGGCTGCGCCGGCGCGGCGCCCGGGGCGCCGCCTCCGCCGCCGCCCGATCGCCTGCCGCCGCCTGCCCGCCGCATGGCCGCTCCGCCCGCCGCCGCTGCCGCCGCGCCCCGCGGCCGCTGCCGCCGTCGCCGGGCGGCCCAGCCCTGTACCACTATAGCCGCCACCGCCGGCGAAAAATATTTTCCGAAACTTTTTCATATTGGTCGCCGAACACCGGAAAATTATGTTCCGGGAAAACATTTTCCAGGAAAATGACTTCCGGGAAAATATTTTCCAAAAGGAGAATATTTTCCGCCAAACGAACGGAGCCTAATTTCTGATTGCGACTTCAGCAAGTCGCTTCACTAGGTCAAGAGATTGGTTGGACTGTCCGCTGTCTTGACGAAGACTTGAGAACTACATACATGACAAGAACGTTTTAACGAGTGATGATGTTTTAGTCGTACAATGGTTGCCAGAACGACAGAAAAGTTCATTTAAGGTCCTATTTTCTCCGGAAAAATGGTTTACCAAATATTATTTTTGAGTGTTCCGTATTTTGATACGTCGTTCATACTCCCCGTTGACAAAAAGACACGAAAGTCCCGCTTCCCAATGAGCAAGCAAGGGACTGAGGGACTAGCGGGGGCGTAGAAGCCAAAGCCCCCTTAACGCCAGAGAACTTTTATAATTTGGGCTCGTATACTATTAAAAATTTGGGCTTGGGCTTATGAATAATTACTGAATATATACAATCTCTTTTTCTTGTAATCAAGAATTATAACAGAGAGGTGTGAGGTGTTAATTATAGTGGAATCCTCTATTGGATGTAACTCTAGTTTAAGGGTGAATCAGGAAAAATTTTGTGTCTCAATTTCTTTCTCTCTTTTATTCTCTATTTCGTTGTGTTTATGCGCCTAATCCTAACACCTTATTATCGTGGCAAAAATAAAAATGAAAAGGCACTCCTGTTGCTGTTGGCAAATACTAGTTTATTACACGTGCGCTTTAAATTTAAGAAAATCCATGCACTCCTAAAATCGTTTAGGGAGGTGAATCAGTCGAAACGCGTTAAAATTGACCCTGGGACACCACCTGATTGCTTAGAAAAATTAAGAGAATCAATGATAAGATCATAAACAGAGGGACAAATCAAAAAAGCATGCTGACTTTTTCTCGTCAATACCACTTTACACCATTTACTTTCGAAAGTAACTTACCAAATCACCACTTTCTTCGCTTAAGTGCCCCCTCCCACATTCGTATCCTACCTACATGAAATCCCAGTCCCACTTTTCAAACAACAAGCTTTGAAAACCTCAGATGGAGGTCGTCGAAGCCATTGCCTCGGGGTGGAGGTGACCCATTGCAACCTAAGGTCGAGGTTGCCACCGCAGTAACCTCGACTTCGGGTCAGCCAAGCTTGTGCCATGGTGGCGTTCGGGGGTGGGGAACTGTGGGCACCGACGGGCGATAGCGATGGGGGCGATTAGTGTCAAGAAGGAAAATTAGGGTGAGGGGCTTCAGGAGAATTGTAGATTGGGTTTCCTGTGATATAGTTTTTTCCCCTCATGGGATCTTGTCCGAGATTGCTTGTGGAAATATCTTGTCATTCGTTTCTTATGACATCTCGATAAATAGTAAAATCATGAAATCGCAATTGGAACGCCTACTTACATAGGAGAAAATTGTACTTCAATCGCAAGAAATGTGTTTTCCGGGGGAAAGTAGCTTCTTTTTCTCTTAACTAATGCCTACACGTAACATCATAATCAATCCATGTTGGAAGGGTGTAGCAAAAGTCCAATACCATCATTTGGAAGATCACCAAAAGGAGCTCAAGTCCAGTCAACCTATCAACATATCCAAATGACCACATTCACTCAAAAGCCTTTAAGCCAATAAGTTATAAAGTCAACTTAGATACATTAACTGCTCCACACCACATTAAATTCTCCGATGTGAAACTTCCTTAATATAACTCACACGTGCATCTTAACAATTCCGATAAAATTCAACCACGGCCCGAGTCTAAAACCCTTCTTGATGGAAGAGGTTTACATGGATTAGCTGCTATTAGAAACCCTAACACCATCATCGCCTCCATCACCGGATCGCAGAAGAAATGAGGAATTCATATGGATGGCTTCTAGAGCTTTTCAGGATATTCATGGTGAGATGGCTCAGAGACAGTGACACTGAGGTGGAGGGGGAGCCAGGCAGGGCCGACGTAGCAATTACAAGTAAATGGAATCGAATAAGATATTTTATGGCCTCGTGAGATGACTAGCAGGCAACGACCCGAGGTTGGTCGACCCACCACCAAGTTCGACCAAAAGGAAAAAAAGTATATAGTTTTGAAGGGAACTGCAACGATCCGTCGTTTGACCCCATGAAAGAATTCATGACAAATAAATATATGTATGTGATTTTCCCCAAGTAACATCTTTAGCAACCTAATTTTTATTTTACTTTGCGTAAACCCCAACCAGAAAAGGTTATACAAGTTAAATGTGGCATTTGATAGAGGTAAAAACTAGTAATATCAGTAGCTGGGGCACTAATAAGGTCAACAAGAGTTAGCAAACGATATATATATCTATATATATTGCAACATGCATGCATGGGATCTTGATGGGTGTGTATCTCATTAAATCTCTTAACGAATGACGACGATAAACTTGCATGGGTCGACGTGATTAAGAGTGTCACGAGCAAATTAATTTCCTAAATTATTTACTTTTCAAAATTAAAGAACCCTACCCTTTTCCTCCGGCACCAACTCTCGTCCTTAAAAGACTAAAAAACGAAACTATGTACTTTTGAAAATTACGAGCTCGAAAAAGACTCTCGACGATTTCCCTTCTTTCTTCCGTGTGTGCCGACCGAATTTTTATAGAACGGTCTCAAATTACACCCTCAAAATGGACCCAAACATCAAATCGCGATTCCAAAAACTCTTCCAAGTACGCCTTCTTAAAACGCGAAGAAGAAAAAACCTGTTTTTGTGGTCAATTTAAGGAACCTATCTCCAAGTAAATTTAAGGACAACAACCCAAATAGAGAAAGCAAAGCAAGCTTCACGCGATGCTTTTCCTCAAGTCGCCCTTTCAGCCCACGTTCGAGTGACAAAACACGAGTTTGCCTTTGCCTTTTTTCCTTAAATTTTCTTTTGAAGTATTTTTTCGTTTTTGATAAGAAACGGTGACAAAACACGTCTTCCCGTGCTGATTCGCCTCCACAACAATAGCGGACGACCTCGCCGACCACCACGTGTCGCGATCAGGACCCTTCATCACCCGCAACAGTTTACCAACTTGCCAAATTGCAAAGATCAACGTGATTCGGGCGGTACCTCTCCATTCAGCAATCCCCCGCTTCCGTCCGACATTCCTTGAAAACGCTAAAATCCCGTTTCAAATTAGGGCTGATCGGCGGGGAAATTCTTGATTGACGATGCGAAACTTATCCCATCAAAATCGATTCCTTTTTAGGGAATCGGCATGAAATCGAACTAACCCGATTCTAGGGTAGACTCGAGAACTGAACCTCCTTAGTTGCCGAATGGACCTTCCCAGTGGCCAATCAAAGCCGACTCTCTAATTTTTAGCATAAAGAAGCAACTGGGTTTGATCGATTTGGTTGAACCTTTTTGAACGAAACACTGAATTTTGAATTTGAATTGAAAATTTCTGTGAAAAAATCAACATACAATTCACTCCATCTACAAGTAATCATTATCACATAAAAAAATGTTCAAAAAAAAAAGAAAGAAAAACGTCCCCCCACGAATATATATAAAAATAAATAAACTCCCGATTAACTATCCAAAACTTATCCCATCGAAATCAGTTCCCCTATCAAGAACTCGGCATGAAATCGAATCGGCCCGATTCTAGGGTCGAATCAAGAACCCGGCGCGACTTCGAGTAACAGAACAACTGTTTTCGAAAAGTCATACCACGCGAATGATCCGTGGCACAGTAATTACGGTATAAACGGACCTTCCCAATCGGTCAAAGCCGATCCCCCAACCTTTTTTCATAAGGAACCTACTGATCCCGTATAAACGTACTTATAATCGATTAGGTAGGGCCGGCTCGGTTGAACCTCTTTTGCCCGGAACACCAAAGTTTCGAATTTGAATTTGAATTTCTCCGGAAAAAGAATTAATATTATAATCCACTTCGTCCACAAAGCGATCATTATCACATGGAAAAATATCATTAAAATACTAATCGAAGCAGGAAAATAACATCTTCTCGACCCCAGCACCAAACACTCCCCTCCCCATCGGTCTTTATTTAATTCAATTTATCCCCACGAAAAAGGCCAAAAAAAAAAAAGAGGCCAAAAAAAAAAGAAAAAAGAAAAAGAAAAAAGAAAAACTCCCCCACACGAAAAAATATATAATATAAATTAAAATCGAACCCCCCCTCCCACTCAACCCCGTCTCTCTCTATCTCTCTCTTACACTCTCTCTCTGCAAAGTTCTGGTTTTTCTCGCCGACGACAGAGGAAGTGATCGGCCGGAGCCTCGCCGGAGACCGATCGAGGCCGCGAGGATGAGCTACTACAACCAGCAGCAGCCGCCTGTTGGTGTCCCCCCGCCGCAAGGTCGGCCCTCAATACCTCGACCCGCGATCGAACACCTCTTCCTTCTTTGTTTTCCTCTCCTCCTTCTTCTTGCTCGCTTTCCGGATTTTTCTTGGGGGTGTTTCCTTGCGGGTCGGTTGATGGGTCGTCGTTTCTCGCGCGAAAGTTCCGATCTTTTTGGATCTGGCGGTGGGGGAGGGGGGGGGCTCTGGTTTGTGTCGGTGGGGGGAGATCTGACGCTCGTTTTGGTTGCTGTGGATTTAGGTTATCCGCCGGAAGGATATCCCAAGGACGCGTACCCGCCACCCGGATACCCGCCGCAGGGGTATGCCCAGCCCGGGTACCCCCCGCCGCAGTACGCGCCGCAGTACGCCCAGCCGCCGCCCCAGCAGCAGTCGAGCAGCACCGGTTTCATGGAAGGCTGGTACGGCTCCCTTAATCATCCTCCCCCCTGTTCTTCAGTTTGCGCAATTTGATCCGAATGGATCGGGTCATAGCCCGGTTCTGCGGGCATCAGTCTGGGCCGTGGATCGCGTGTGATCCGACGGGTGAGAGAGCCCGGTCCGTTTTGAGACCGGGCTTTCGGACGCGGCGACGGCGCCGGCGCGGTGGTTGACGTGCGCCCGTGGCGTCGCCGGAACTTCGGGCCACTTAACAGCGGGTCTGGGTAAGCGGGTCGGGTTCAATTTGGCCAATCGAAAAATCAAATTCGATTTCGGGGTTTTAGATTAGGGACAGTTCCTCCCTTGGTTAGCTATATTGATTGAGGATTGGTTTGGTCAGTGAAAAATCAATCTAATTTATGGGGGTTTAGATTAGGAAAAGTTCCTCACTTGGGCTGGCTATTGATTGAAGAGTAGTGATCTGGGCAATTGGGTCTCTGAGTATTTTATTATTAGGCTAATTGACCTAATTGAAGATGATGAGGAGTATAGTTTGGTGCACTGATTTGTTGTATTGATTTATAGTTCAATTGACAACTTCTTAATGATTAAGTAAATTGAGGATTTTTTTTAAAGAAGGGTCTTTCTTGTTAAACCATCAAATCGAATGGGGATAGTGATTGTTTTCGCCACGTTATGTGTAATTAATACTTTGGAATCGAGCTCGACGAATCGGGCTGTGTCCACATGCGGGATAGTTGGGGGCGGGGGGCGGGGGGGGGGGGGGGGTGGGGGGACCGAAATGTTCTCAAGGTGCTGGAGCTGTGGAGGTGCTGAGGTTTCGAAAACGGGCGGTCGACGCCGAGGAAATTCGAGGTCTTTTATTAGCTTTTCGGGACCTCTAGTTAAACAAGTTCCTATCCATGGACTTTTTCTGTGAATCGATGCATCAATAAGCGGTTCATCTAGAAAGCTTCTGACTTAGGGGGCGTGCGTGATAAATGCTGGTGTTAGTTGACCAGTTCCTTTGCCCAGTCGATGCTTCACTGGGGATTTGGAAGTGCTTTACTGGGGATGAGATGCACCTCCTTTGAATGCACGTTGAAAGTCTGCAAAAACCCAGATGAACATTCGGCGGCAGTTCCAATCTCCCCTACCAGACATCTGATTCATTCCCAAGTCAGATGTTTCTATCTTCAAATGATACGTGAATTTCGAATTCGAGACTTAGATTATTGTACCCTTTTGCGAAGCAATGACGACAGCCGTAATTCGAAATCGCGTTCATAAAATTGCTTGGTAAAGCTGCGATTGACCGTGTAAAGCGCTATTAGACATTTCCATGATCATTATGATGCGAAACACAGGTGTGATGTACCGGTCGAGAGAAATATGTGTTACCTTACTACTGTTTATAATCGAATGCTCAAGACAAGTTAATTAGGTTCTTTGCTATCGGCGTCGTATGTTTTCATGTAGTTGATCGTTTATCTTGGTCGAACTGCTAAGGTTAAGAGTCGCGTAAACCCTTTATTATCATCTAAATGCCCTTCTTTTTCGTCTAATATTTTCGGAAAATATCGGTGTTCCATACTGGAAATGATGCTAATCTTTGGTTTTTTTTTTTTCAATTTGGGAATGAATGCAGTTTGGCTGCTCTGTGCTGTTGCTGTCTTCTGGACGCTTGCTTCTGAGGGGAGAGAGCGCATCAAGACTGAAGTGAATTTCATGTGAAGGCCTCTTTTGTTATTATATTTTCCGTGTCTATTTTGTGCTCACATTGACTTAAATAATATGAACTTGCTTGTCAATTGTAAGTGTATTTCTTCATCTATGGGGTCGGTTTGTTTTACAACTTCTATTCTATAGTATGCTGGTGCTTGAAGTCCCCACATAAATTGTCCTTCTCTTCGTCGTAGTACGAAAGCCACGAAATCCAACTTCTTTGTATTGCCTAGGGATGTGCAATCGGATCGGTTCAATTGGGGAGCTGAACCTAGCTTGCCTTATTTGGCCAATCCCAGGATGGTTCACATCGACACCGATTCGATTTCCGGGTAAAAACTTTTGGGGGTTGGCCTTTACCGGTTTCGAGACTCGTGACTCGTTGCCTTGAACCGAGTGTTTCTACCCAGGAGCCTACCTTGCATGATTATCCGATAGAACCGGTTCTTTGGGGAGAAAACCGGTTCTCGCTCTATTGTATGGTATGCTGCTTAAAGTCCGTTAAAAATAATCTCGCATCGCTTCTTAGTACAGCCACCCCGTGTACGCGTCCTCGACGGCTTTACTCAGTTTAATCTTGTGTTGTTGTAAGGATAATGATCGTGAAAACGGGTTTTTAATAGTCTTAAACGACGATTAAACATGAGATTTCATTGGAGTATATTTTAATTAATCTAAGTAAGATTCTTGGGTTAGAATCTGTAGAACTATTTATGGATTGCGAGGTAAGGTTGGAGGAAGGAATCATTCTCTTTGCTTTTGGGTGCGGTTCTAGTGTCTAGATTAGAAGATTGTCGAAAGGAATATTCGCATGGATGGTGTAATGTAGAAAGAATATATACAATCGAGGAAAGTCAAATCATGTTATGGTGGATTCCACCTTGTTTATGATCTAGTGTCATGTCGATTCGATGCATGAATTTTCGTAAATGATTAGATTTAACGCGGTAAACTTGATGGATATTATTGCAACATCACATTACATTTTTGCATTACACATAAACATAAATGATTAATTCGTTGGTTATTTCATCCGTACTTTTATGATATCAATCTTTTTCTCTGTACTCGTGGCAGTGACCTTCCTACTTTCACATCGTAAACTTTTTAAGGAACGAGGTTTTTGTTAAACGATTGTTGCGACTAGAGGTGTCAAAATGGGTCTTAAATCCATATATGACCCATTTAAAAATAAATGAATCATATATGGATCACTTCAATTTTAAAGAGTCAACCTTAAATGGATTTTAAATTTTAAAATTTAAAGATAAATGGGTCTAAATGGGTTGAGTTTGGAACCCATGTCTAACCCACCCACTAGACCCATCCATACACTCTCTCCCTCTTTTATAAAAATGTTTAAAAAAATCGAAATTTAATTTTTTTTATTTTTTATTTTCTCTTCTTTCTTTTTATTTTTTTTTATTTCGGCCGGTGGTCGGCCACTGGGGCGGGACGACCTCGCCGGAGGCCGGCGAAGCTCGAGCTCGCCGGCCTCAGGCGAGGCTCGAGCCTCGCCGATCTGGCGAGCCTCGAGCTCGCCCGATTCCGGCGAGCTCAAGGCTCGCCCGATCCCGGCGAGACCGAGGCCTCACCGACCTGTGGTGAGGCTCCAGCCTTGCCGATCTGGCGAGACTCGAGCTCGCCGGCCTCAGGCGAGCTCGACCTCGCCGGATCTGGCGAGGTGGAGCCTCGCCCGAGGCTGGCAAGGCTCGGCTCACCGGAATCGGGCAAGCTGGAGCCTCGCCTGAGGCCGGTGAGGCCTTGGCCTCGCCAGATCGGCGAGAACGAGCTTCGCCGGCCTCCGGCCAGCTCGTCCTCGCCTGTAGTCGGTTGCCGGCCACGGAGGCCGGCGATCGGCCAAAAATAAAGGAAAAAGAAAAAAAAAATAAAAAAAATAAAAAATTCGATTTAAAAAATAAAAAATATTAATATTATTAAAATGAATGCACAAAGTAAAATCAAATCAGATTTTATATACCAAATATCGAAAAAAAATTTCTAGTTTATTTTCAGGTTTCAGCCAAACGTCCGAAATTTTTTTATTTTCTTGGATAATGACTTTATGGAAAATATTTTCTAGAAATGTCGCATTTTTCGCAAAACAAACAGAACCTCAATTTTAAAAAAAATTATAAAATTTTTTCACTAGCTTTGTATTGCATAAAATGTTTTAGCAGTATAATTTAAAAAAAAATCATAAGAAACAAGTATTCCTAGATTAGGTTAAATATAAAAGTGTTTTAGTAATATGGATCGGGTCGGGTATGGATCGATATATTTACACTACGAATAAATGGGTCATAAATGGGTTAATGGGTCAATTTGAGTCGGACAATTTATGACCCGACCCAAACCCGACCCGACTCACACGTTTAATAGGTCTAGTTGCGACTAAGAAGACTCTTGGCAATGCAGCACGACCCTTTTGGAAGTTCACTCACGACCCCAACTGAAATTTCGACCTCGTGGAAAAAATGACTACGCATTTATCACTAGGCCAGCTACTATGATGAATATTTTGGTAGTTAATATGACATAATTGCATTGACTTGACTAAAATTGCGTTGTGGGAGTCGCTAGAGAGAAAACGACACTTGAGAGATGGCTCCACTAGTTGCCCATATTGCAGGCATGAGAGGACAACATTGATTTCCAATTGTCCAAAGGTTTATAACTCATTTTTATAAACGATACAAGCGATTATTTTCATGAATTTTTTTCCAATTTATTCATTTTCCGCAAAACGAACGGAGCTAATCCCAGTTAATTTTCCGGAAAATTGTAGGGGGGCCATCACCTAATTTCTCGATGATAGGACTTTATCATAAAAAAAGTGGTGTTGTCCCATGTTCAATCCATGAAAGGTGATTCCTTGGACATCTCCTTCTACGCTCAACATCAACAGCATGCGTTCGGTCGGAACGAACGTGTGAACTGAACTAATCGCAGGAAAATCAATCCAAGAAAAATTACCAAAAAATAAAAAGAAGAAGAAGAAGAATTTAAAAAAATTGGAAAAAAGAAGAGGTTAGCTTTTGCGTGAAAATTTTGCTTTCGTCTCCAAGTTGTCCTTATCATTCAATTTTCTTCTTCTTGTGGCCAAAACTTTATCATTCAATCTGTCCATTATTGTACAACAATATCCTTAAAAACGACAAGTTTTGGATTTGAATTGGCTTAACAGGGAAGTGAGAGAATCCTAGTCCTAGTAGTCCATCTCAAAGGTACTAACTTTTAAGAACTTGCAGAACTACAAGTACTTTGTTTTGGGGGGTAGGGGATTCTCGAATTTTGTAAGTGAGATATATATTTGAAGATACTTTTTCTCTGTCAATTCTTTTCAATTTTAAACTCAAACTTTTGAATTGTAGATAGAAAAGATAAAAGTTGTATTACAAAAATTAGAACTCATCAAATCCTGGGTTAGTGATTAAAAATCCCAAACCGGTACCACTGACACATTTGCCGAGAGCTAATTTCTTGTAATGCAAAAAATTCCAAGCGTTGGTACCCCATGACACATTTAGCTAGTCTCACAAATTAGTATGCCTGACCCAAATCTACTATCTGTTAGCATTCTGTTCATTATCCCGTTAAAATTTATACGTGTCAACACACCGTGTCAGACAATTACAAGAGGGATTTGTCTAAGATGGAGAATGACAGATCTAACATGAAAAATCTACGTGTGTTGACACGTATGCATTTTAATGGAGGGTAATTTTGGGTTGGGGGTCTTAGCTTGTGTGGCAAAAATTACTTTTGGATAAATGTGGCATGAGTACCAATTTGGGATTTTTTCTTAGAAAAAAATTAATTTGTGGTAAATGTGTCACAAAATTCCATTTTGAGATTTTAATGGTATTGAATCTTTATTTTTATTTTATTTTTTCCATTCTTGTTGAAGAGACTTCGCTCAATCTATATCAATGAGATAAAAATTATCTTGTTGAAGAGTACATTTGAGAAACGATTTTCGAGATAAGCCATATCGATAAGCGCATGTTTGAAGGTACATTCTCTAATTTATCCAATTTTTTCACAGAGTTTACACTCTATAAGAGATATAGTTTGATATACTCTCTTTATCCTTTTTTTTTTATAATTTAAACTCAACGAAAGATAGCTCGTCCGAACAACTCCATCTTTTACCATCTATATATATATATATATATATATATATGTAAATTACTGTTCTTTAAGGTTGTAGCAACTTCGGAAGATTTGCGAGGAGAGATAAATTTGAGGTTCAGTGCATGTTATTTGCATGGTGGATTGGTTCTTCTCCATAGGTTAAGTTAATCACGGTAAAAGCACCTCGGCCTCTCTTGGTATAATTTATGTCTTTTGGGTGATTGATTTGACGATTATTTAGCTTAGAATTATACAGTTTATGAATCTTTTATGTGATCCAAGGATGATGGACTATTGGAAGCATGTGGAACGTATGCATGTATGTTATGGATTGTTTGCTGCGAAGCTGTTCATTCAATTGAATTTTCTACTTGTCTAGATATAATTCACAATTAGGTTCAACCACTGGTATAGTTTGGTAGATTCTGAGTAGTTTGATTGTGGAGTTTGAGGCACTAGAATGCGCGACTGGAGCATGTGTTCTTAACCTGTAAGACTAAATCGGACGCCATCGTTGCCGACCCGTGATAGTTTTCGGCACGGATTGATGATTGATCTGTGCAGGCACTTCTATGGCTGCTCTTGGTGCAGGACTAGGAGACATGAAAGCTTTCTCGGGGTTCAACATGTCACTGCTTCTTTGTCTCGCATTTGTGCTCTTCTACTCAGGATCAGGTACTAGTTTCTCTAGTTTATCTCCCTTCGTTGGATGCTGAATTCATGAGCAATCAAGCTAATGCTTTCTATCTTTTCAGGGCAAGTCACACAGGCTGTCTTCAATGATGTTTATTATGATGCATCAGCACCAACACAGGCAAGATCGAATTCCTAGACACCCTTTTGCGACTTTTAAGTATGTCGACATGTGAATTGCCTATTCGGTTTTTGCAATCATTGCTAAGTTGAATTCAAGAACAAAGAACCGGAGATTGATCTTAGATGATCACTTATTCTGTGCATCGGATTTTTCAAGTTGTGCACATTTTTTATCTCCTGATAGTACATAGCTAAAGCTTGCAGGGAACAACTTGCAATCCTGAACTAAGCAAATTCAATGTCATTGAATTCGAAGTTGTGTGATCTCAATGCTAATGAGAGAATTAACTGAAGCTTTTGTGTACGTATTCAATAAGCAGTGTTTGGCAGAGCCGGGGATTACCATGTATGGCGGCGGGATCATAGTTAACCCGGAGTTTAGCTATGGCACATATGGATGGACTGTGTTCGGGCAAGGAGAGATTGAACAACACGTATCGCGTACCAACAACGGGTTCATGGTGGCGAGTGATAGGAAACATCCGTTGGACAGTTTCTCTCAGAAAGTCCTACTCGAGAAGGGCAAGTTCTATATGTTTTCAGGTAATTACTCCCTCCACTATTTCTACAGAGATTATCGTATGCTCCTGGTACACGCATGCGCCTGTACGTGTATGTCGAAGTTGCTCATGTGAAGCCCGCAAGCATGTGATATGTACTTGAATAGTTGTATTTATTTGCAAAGAATTTCCATCTCAAATAACAAGGAATGTGAAAACATGATTTTGGATGGTGTTAAAGATGATATTTACTCATGTTGAAAGAGGTACTTTTGCAGCTTGGATACAAGTCAGTGAAGGAAGCGAGACGGTATCGGCGGTATTTGGAACTGGAGAAGGCGAGTTTGTTCCCGGAGGCAGCGTTGTGGCAGAGCACGGTTGCTGGTCTTTGCTGAAAGGTGGCATCGCTGCAAACTCGTCAGGACTTGTCGATGTTCTTTTCGAGGTGAAAGGCATTCAATTTTGGTCAATCTATTTCTGAATGGAAAACACTCTACTAGTTAGTGCTTTCTTAGGTGATCATTAGAAGCTCAGCACATTCGAAGAATGAACTATATTCAAGATACAAAATCAGATGCTTGATGTATGATTGTTACTCTTACGTTCCATGTCTGAGTGATTAATACTTTTCGAATTTTACCCTTCGATTGGGGGTAACCGGGCATTTACTATATTCATCCTTAATTTCATCGAGATTAAACCTTTGTTAGAATAATTACATTGAAAAGTTCCAAGTTGCAGGTGAAGCGCTAATATTAAGCATGTATTGATTCTGATTTCTGATCGTGGCAGAGCAAGAACACCTCGAAGGAAATATGGGTCGACAATGTTGCATTGCAACCGTTCTCGAAGAAGCAATGGCAGTTTCACCAGGACCAAAGCATAGAGAAGGTAAGTGGAAGAGTTATATCAAATTGAGTTGGATCTTTTGCTATAACAAACCGCCACGAAATTCGTACTTGCAGGTGCGGAAGAGCAAAGTGAGGTTGCATGTTACTTATCCATATTCAGGAGCCGGAGTTGGCGGAGCCACAGTTCTCATCAGACAAACCAAACCAGGCTTCGCGTTCGGGGGCGGCATGAACTCCCACATTCTCAAAAGCACCGATTATCAAAACTGGTTCGCATCGAGATTTAGATTCGCCGCTTTCACCAATGAAATGAAGTGGTACAGCACAGAGAAGAAGCAAGGCCAGGAGAACTACACGATAGCTGACGCGATGGTGAAGTTCGCGCAGGACAACAAAATCTCGATTCGAGGCCACAACGTTTTCTGGGACGACCCGAAGTACCAGTCTGACTGGGTCAAGACCCTTTCGCCCGAGGAGCTGCGGGAAGCAGCAGAGAGGAGGATCAACTCGGTCGTATCAAGATATGCTGGAGACGTGATTGCTTGGGATGTGGTCAATGAGAACCTGCACTTCAGCTTCCTTGAAGACAATCTCGGGAAAAATGCGTCCTCGATTTATTTTTCGAAGGCATACAAGCTCGATCCGAGCGCGAGAATGTTCGTGAACGAGTTCAATACCATTGAGTTCGGTGGAGACGTTAAGGTGAGCCCCGGAAACTTAAAGAAGAGGCTCGAGGAGATGCTTTCATATCCCGGAAACGAAGATATTCCGGCAGGAATAGGAGTGCAAGGCCATTTTGGCCCTGGCCAGCCAAATTTGGCTTATATGAGATCGAGCCTGGACATTCTTGCAACAACTGGAGCGCCCATTTGGCTGACAGAAGTATCTGTGGAACCAGGACTCAACCAGGTATTGGACTTTCCCTAGGACAGAGGTGATCATGCCTGGCGGCCCGCTCAACCTGAAGAGCAAAATGGGCAGGCTTGGGATAGCGATTCTCATCTTGCGTCTCACCCGGCGAACCTTGCCAATCCTATATAGAGCATTTTCCTTTTCGATAATGGCTCCTGGGCAAGTATTTTAGGCCCGATACTAGTCCTGACCCATCCATTGTCCTAAAATCCACTGTCCTGAGCCAACCTCAAGTTGTGATCAGTGACAAATAGAAGTACATTTTTAAAGACTGGCAATTTGACACTTTCTAATGCACAATTCTTTTCTGACATCACAGGCTCAGTACTTGGAGGAGGTACTTAGGGAGGCTTATTCTCATCCTGCTGTGGAAGGGATCATAATCTTTGCAGGCCCTGCGCCCGCCGGCTTTTATGCCACCGCTCTCACGGACATGAGCTTCAACAACACCCCGACCGGAGACGTCGTGGACAAGCTGATCAAGGAATGGAAACCTGAAGACTTGAAAGCTCACACAGATGAGGGAGGTTTCTTTGGCACTTCACTGCTCCATGGAGAATATGAGATCACAGTAATCAATCCGATCACAAATTCCTCTTCCACTTCAAGATTTGAAGTGACCAAAGATAGCTCAGACAAGATTTTCCATCTTCAGATGGGATGAATAGCCTGCCGCAAGCTCCTATACACCTGAGGATAGTGTTTGATCGTTGACTGATACTTCCATAGTTCATAGTATACATATTTTTAAAGGTAGATAATTCATCTTAGGAATTCATGAGCGATAGTTGAAACTTTTGCGACTTTAATGTACTTTTTTTATATATACTGAAATGTTAAGTTTTTCTCCTCTTTTTTTTTTTAAATTTTTTACACCAAAATGAATTATACACTTAAAATGTTAATTATGTGACAAATAAAAAGTTCTTGTTCATCTTCTTCTGCTGGGCCTTTTATGTACATCCTTAATTATTTTGAATTATTATTTAATGTCAAATTTAGTAATTTGCAAACTTCTGCTGTCATCTTCTGTCATTAGTTGGTTTCTGAATAAACACTTGCCATCAAATTATAAGTAAAAGCCAAACTATTTTGTGCTGAGCTGCCAAGCTCGCCCCTTTGAGATTTCTTTGGGTCCATTCTCTTGGGCTTTTCAGAAAGGGGGCGAAAGGTATCAATTTTCCCGTCAGTCGGCCTATTTGTTGTCGCTTGAGTTTCATATTCGAAATCTAATGGGCATCATCTCTTATTAAGTGACAATTTTGGCCACAGCTGCATAAAAAGGTACCGACTTTCACCACGGCCACTATTTTGGCCCAAAACATTTACCCGGAAGAACACTTTTGGTTACCCGTTAACTTGATGTTTAAGGTGGTAGAGGGACACTGACATGGCAAAATGGTTGTAGTGCTATTGAGTTGTAATAGCAAGTAGTCAAGTGTACAAGCGTGAGTACAAATGGTTGTGTCCTGATAATGAGAGCGACACTGCAGATTGTAACTTGCCATGCTGAGTACTAGTAGATTCGAGTCTGATTATAGCTGTTCATCTCGAGAATGGATGTAGGTTTGGGGATAAAACTAAATCACTATAAAACTTGGCGTGTTATCTTCTATCTCTTTATTGCCGGCACACCCGATTATGTTTATCTATTCATCAGCAGCACTCCTAACTATGTTAAATTGTTTCTGCTGCTGCTGATGAAGTTTTAACTTGTTATTATTTCGCAAAAGTTCTTCATAATTCTCTTTCAATCTATTTAGCCCCCTCTAGGTTGTATTATTAACTCCAATGGAGTACAAACTGGTTAAACGAGGCTCGAACATAGTATGAATACTACATTAAACCAAGTGTAAGAAAATGTAAATTGACCAGTTCAATCAAGTAGCCTTCTCTGGTGAGTTACTTCATGATTTTTTATTCAACTGCTCGCTCCATTTCACATTTGATCTTTTAAGAGAAAATTATAAAAAAAAAATCCTATCCCTATACTTGTGCTAATTTAGTTTTAAACCTTTCAATTTAAACAATTTAGTTTTAAATTTTTTTATAATTTGCCAATGGAGTCCATCTGGCCATTTGGCCGGAAATTGATGACGTGCATACCGGCCGTCCTACATGGCACTACCGACACTGACGTGAAAATTTCTTGAAACTTTTTAAAATTTTAAAATTAATTTTTTCTTTTCATTTTTCATTGTTAAGGGCCGGCATCGAAATAAATAAAAAATAACAAAAGTTTTCAAAAGTTTTCAACGTCAGCATTGATTATGCCACGTAGAGTGGCTAGCGTGCACATCATTAATTTTCGGGCAAAATTACATTAATAAATTGTTAAAATATATAGAAATAAATTGATCAAATTAACAAGGTTTGAATTGGCGCGAGTGTCGATAGATTTAAGAATTTTTCTGATAATTTCCCGATCTCCCATCGCAGGCCCCCTATCGACTCGGTTTTCACGTTGTGCCGTATGCACATGCACACGTCCTGCCGCTCCATATTGTTGACCTTGGCACGTTAAACTTTGACTCATCCACCATCACTTTCTTCCACTCGACCACATGTCCTTCCTTATTAATCAATCTTCATTAATCTCCTCTGTACAACGCCAAAAGTTCATCTCTATGATCTAGATCAACCCCGTTTCCCAAGCTTATTCAATGTCCTTTGCATGCTACTAGGTCGAGCTCTCTATAAAAGAAACCAATTTAACTTCATTGTTCTGACAGAGTCAACACTTCATTAAAGTGGGCAAACATAACTTAGAATATGTCTCAATGAAAATTTGTATGTTATAGGTCGTACTTTTCATGCTATACGACCGCATCTGACTCTCAATTGTTTAATGCAATCGTCGCTTAAATAATAGATTCACCCTTTTCCTGATTGATATTTTTTTAGAAGCACGCGCAAGGAGGGGGCGTTAACTTCAACTTTGGTGCATTCTCTTCATCGCTTCTCTTTCCCTTCAAAAAATTTCTTATCCCAGAATATCAGGCGAGTATCCTGGAGAAGAAAGAGACAGACGGAATCGTGGGAAATCTCGAGCCAACTTGACATCACGGTGGCATGTTCAGTCGGATGCGCAGTACTTTCCTCTGTGAGACGCCGCAATTCCATCGCTCGCATCCCTCGCTTGTTCACCAAAATCGGAAAGTCTTTCCAACTCTTTCACTTTCCGGTCGGTATCTAGTTCTCCATTTGCAAATGAAGGAAGCTCTCCCACTGGTGTAGACGTCCTGCGGTTAGCATCATCTGCTTATCTACTAGTGTATGTAAGAAAATATGCAAAAATTGTACACTTGAATACACATTAAATCGCACATAGTGTTTTGTCGGCTTATATATTTATTAGCAAGATGCTCGTGCATTGCACGGGTCTAAAATCTTTTTTTGTCACGTTATTCTGAATGTTAATGTCGACGTAAATTTTCGCAAGAAAAATATAGTGTTGGGAAAACTCCTTGTAGTGTTTTGAAGATGACAAAATAGCCGAAGGCTTCCAATGCGAGCATTATTGGTGGAGCACCAGTTGATAGATGCACATGTAATATGAAGATCGTCAAGATAGTCAAAGGGCAAAAATCTTTTCTTCTGACGAGGGTGAACAAGGTATTAGGCGCAAAAGGTGTTTAAAAGTTGGATGGACCTAAGTAGAATGTGAACAATAGTCACCAAAATGGGAAGTCCGTGAAAACTTGGTTGGACCAAAGAAGTTGAATAGCTTAGTAGAACCAGAGTCATCAATACTCTCTGCAAGGACTTGAAGATCGATGGTGAACAGTCAGTTTTAGCAAGAAGTGTGGAAGGACCGGAAGAACTGTCGGTAGAAGTAGCTCCTACTATCAACGACATGGAACTTGTGTGACATGCCTCTACCACCTTAATAAGAAAACCTGAATCTAAATTGACACCAATGCAACATGTTACACCAAAAAAAAACAAAAACCTGAATCTCTATTGATTTGATATAAAATTCAAACGGGGCTTGATAACCAGCTTCAGAGTCTAGAGTCCACAGAAAGAAACATGTTAGAAATCAAAACTATATTTTCCCTTGTGTGCAAGCATTCAGAGAGTTAAGCTATGGACAGAAGCAAAAGTATCTAATTCCTGTAATCTGCTTCTGGCTCAGCGAAGGCAAACTGATTGTGCAGTCCGTAGGCCGGCTAAGAATATATTTGTTTCTGACGGATTAAGGCTTGAACGTTTATGAAAGGGACCCAGAGATTGCTGAGGAAAGTGGTGGAAGAAAAAAAATCAGAGAAGCTTCAACTTTCTATTGCCTTAGACTCTATCGTGCTCTTTAAGTGTGGTTACTGCTCGTCTTCTCATTCAAATTCTCTAAAAGGGTTCTTGAGCTTTGTAATATGTAAACAGAGTGTTCATAGTGATTGATGTGCTTGTGCTTGTGCTTTCCTAAAGATTATTAGTGGCTTCCAACCTGATTCTTGGTTGCTTGTCTGTCTATATATATATATATATATATATTCCTTTTCGATTTATTATTTGTCAAATATAAGCTACGAAGTTATCCTACATATTTCTCCCTTGATCAACTCTTAGTCAGCAAATGATTTAGTGTATATGTAATAAACATTTATTACAGATTTGTTAAATGAGGGCTATTATGTTAAATTATTTTTTATCGGTTCGTTAGTATCACTTAATTGGGAAATAGAACAAAATACTTAGCTATAATGGATATCATGCAACATTTTAATCATACCAGTCATCACTTATCATACATTTGGTTATACTTATTGTTGAATTAACGCAGTCATGTGATAGAACCTTTAATCATATATACGAAAATTTGTCAATTAGAAGTTTATTTCCAATTATTGCATAAGAATTAGAGATTTGCTAGGATTAGAGGTTTGGTAATGTGACCATAAACAACTGGGTAAAACTCTCGCGTGAGCATGTCACGTGCTTTTGGAATTGATTAGGGAGATTGTTTCTCTAAGTTTATTGAGGACTTTTTGTGATTTACATATTGACAACCAATAAGATAAATACTAGACTTTTTATGATTTTGCATTGAGGAGATATCTTGGGTGAAATTAATGGGGCATGACATAGAAGTGGTTAAGTGTGAAGGTTGACCAAAAAAAAAAAAGAAAATGTAACAACAAGAGGATGTAGCCGAGCCTCAAGAAATAAGGAGCATATCATTATGAAGTTTAACGAAAGACAAGGAGGTTTGTTTCATTACGTGGACCATTGAGTAGGAGAATATGACAATATCTTCCTTTGCTGTAGCAGCTAGAGGTGTGCATGGTCTCGATCGAATCTAGGATCAAACCGAAGAAGTCGATTTTAGGTAGTTTCCGCGGGAATTGGTCCGGTTCCTTAAATTTTAGGAAGCGGGAATAGCCAGCAATTGGCCACTGCTAAAAAGAAAAGGGAAAGAAAATAATGAAAAGGAAAAAAAAAAAGAAAAATTATAAAAGAATTATAAAAATTTATAAAAAAAAATGTCCACGTTAGTGCCAACTGTGTCACATAAGACTGCGGGCATCCATATCAGGGATTTCCAGCTAAATTGGCCGGATGGACTGAATTGACATAAATACAAAGGTTTAGGACTAAATTGATCCAGTTGAAAGGTTTAAGACTAAATTGATACCATTGTAATATGTTTAGAACTTTTTTGGTACTTTTTCTCATGGCATAACTATTTTATATTGGGTTAATACCACGAAAAGACCCCAAATTGGTATACTTGTGATAAATTTACTTTTCGATAGTTTTCGTTAAATTTTTCCATCAAATTGCTGAGTTGAATAACAAGTGGCAGTTAATAGGTATACTAATTTGGGGTTTTACCCTTCATTTGTTACAGGTGTACCGGTTTGTGATTTTTCGTGGTATTAATCCAACTTAACAGAAAACTAACGGAAGGTAAACTTGTCACCAATGTACTAGTTTTGAGTTTTTTGTGGTCAAAAAATTAGTTTTGGGTAAATTTGTCACAAGTATAATAGTTTAGGGTTTTTCGTGATCAAAAAACTAATTTGGAGTAAATTTGTTACAGGTATATCAGTTTGGGATTTTTTGTGATATTAATCCATTTTTATTTGGCTTCCTAGAGTTACACGGGAAACAAGTTAGGAATAATAAAAGATACCCCTGTACCCTTTGATGAGATATAACCAAAGCCTAATTTCTTCTATTATCATATTACAAATAATTTTTTTAAATAATTTATTAAATAAATATGGTATTTTCATACCCATTTTATAAATGGGTATAGAAACCTAGTTTCTTCTATTACTCATTGTACCATCGACTTTGCCCAATCAAAATTGCAGGTATCGTAATTGTTGAAATATATCCTCCATCAATTGATTCAAGTATCTCAAATTCACGTGTGAGCTCAGTATTAATTTTGTTCCCATTTAATTCATATATCTTTCTATATCAACATGTCATCACCTTCATTTCTAATCTCTTTCTCCGAACCAAAACTGTCATCGACACCGTGTTGCAACACCACAACACCCACCTTTCCTCCACATCTCATATGGCTAGAAGACTGCCCAAAAACCGCGTTGGTCATGAGATCTCTTCCTTAAGATATGCGTCAAACACCAACACACAATTAAAAGCGGGCCACCAATTAAACCCTTAAATGAATGTGTGATTTAATATTTATCCTAAGGTAAACTATTCAAAGAGAGTATTAAAGGTGAGGACTAGTTTAGAATGCACCATTATTGATGTATCATTCAACTAGACTTATCAAAACGGATCATAAACTCATTTCTTAACTTATATATCAATAAATGGGTCAGCTATATTCATTAAATAGGTCATAAATGGGTATTAACATAATATGGGTGTTAAATGATTTTTAAATGTGTCGTAAATAGGTCATAAATGGGTTTACAACTTATTTAAGCTTAACACATCTCTCTCGCCCTTACTCAATCTTGCACTCATTCACTTCGCACTCTTTTCTCAGTTTGTATATGAGTTTTCCTAGATCGAGTTAAATATGAAAGTGTTTTAGTAATATGGGTCGAGTTAAGTATAAGTTGGGTATAGGTTGGGTCAGGTATGAGTCATTAGATTTTTATTACATGAAAATAAGTTAAAACGGATTAAATGGGTATATTTGGGTTGGACAATTTTCGATCCGATTCAAATCTAACCCGATCCACCCGTTTGACAGGGCTATATTCAACCATCTCCGTCTCTCCTGCTCCCTAAAACCTCATGTAACTTTCACTACTTTCCATTTTTTGTGAAGCATCTCCTCAAAATATACCATCAATAACTCCAAATTTTTTTATCAAAACATACCCACGGGAAAGCTTTCTCCCCAAACTCGACTCCCCACTAGTTTCCAATTAGATCCAACCGTCACAAGAACAAACTGAAAATGCCAACATATAATGCACGTACCCCAAGCGTTTTACAAGCAACATAAGATTATCATGGCAACAATTATTGCAAAGAAAAAAACTTCACCTCGACACAAAAGCATCCGTCACGCATCCGCATCATGCACCGAACTTCACGCCATTCCTGTGTCCAAAAGAAATAAAACCTCCAACGTTCGCAAATCCTACTTTTAAAGATTCCCGTTTGTCTCTTCCTGTGTCTCCACAAGAACCGTGTATATTACTGAGAGCAATTGAAAAACCCTCGAAGGACATGCGTGACGTATCTGAATTAACTCACTCGAGGTATTATCCGCTTTTGCCCGTCCTATACCGAGCCTCACAGTTTTCCCTTAAGGTACAGGTGGATACTTTTTCAATAGGTCACCTATCCTGATGGTATTCTTATTTGAGCACGCTTAACTTTGGAGGCGTTTCGTCAGTTAATTCCAGGAATGTCACGTCATGGGTTCCCAAAAAACAATTATAATCTTCGTTTCCTAGAATCGAGAAAATGTCCTTGTTATTAGGTAGGGTCATTTTACAAGTTGTAACTTCATCATGTTCATCCAAAAAAGGATTCCTTCGAGATAGCGGAACAGGCAATCCAAACAGCAGAAGGGACGTAAAGGGCTTGCTGCATCCAATTCCCAACTATTTCTTTGAAGCCCTTAGAAGAACACAACCAAAATATACTAAGACCAATTAACGATATCATTAATTGAAGTGATGTTTGATTCAGCCGAATCTAGTGGAACCTTGAATATGGCCCGCTTGCTCGAATATCCATGCGTGCTCTATCGCATTGCTTAGCATACAAGTTCAGTAGCATTGCTCGTTTCTTATTGCTCTCTACATTCAAATCACATGCGTACTATTGACTTAATGAGAACACTAATTTGGACAACATTGTCATTGTCACCAACCCATCATCATCTCCAGACCAGTTCTGGGCCAGTGTTTTGTTGTGTTATATATAGGGGTTGAGAGAAGAGTCACGGGACACGCAAAAACTGAGATTGATCAGGTTGCTGGACGCTTTCGCATTCACAGGAGTCCTTTTGTCTTTGGACATGACTGATTGGTGCTGACACGCTTTCTAAGGCTGCTTTTATTGCGGGACTGGGAACGATGATAAGCTCCTCTGGATGCACCATGCCATTGTTTCTTTGGCTCACATTTGTGCTCTTCTACTCAGGATCAGGTACTGGTTTCTCTCACAGTTTATTCCACTTGTATTATTATTAGTATTAATTATTGCAAAATCATTTTCCTTCAAGAACATTGTAAAAGAGTTTAGGATTTTTTTTTCTTTTTTAGTTTTTGTTAGTACACTTTGAATAAAGTTGACTGTTAGATTGGTTTTAGCTGTTTCAAATGCTTTTCTCTAGGCCTGTTGGTGATAACATGAATGATTAAGCTAAATGCTTTCTATGTTAAACCATTTCAGGGCAGATCACACAGGTTGGCTTCAGTGATGTTCAATATGATGCATCAGCAGCAACCCAGGCAAGATCAAAGTCCTGGACACTACTTGCAACTTTTGAGTTATGTTTGCGTATGAATGCCAAACAGATTTTCATGGACATCACTAAGTCCAATGAATTAATCTGGACCCGAGATTGCCGCCCTAAAAGAGAGATATGATCGAATGAATTATTCTGTACATATATTGATCCCAAATTGTGATTTTGGTACTAATGAGAGTTAACTGAAACTCCCATCTCTATGTATTCGATAAGCAGTGTTTGGCAGAGCCTGGGAGTACTATGTATCGAGGTGGGATCATAATTAACCCGGAGTTTAGCCATGGCACCGCTGGATGGGCCATGTTTGGGAAAGGAGCGATTGAAGTACGCTTATCACGTACCAAGAACAGTTTCATGGTGGCGCATAACAGGAAACGTCCCATGGATAGTTTCTCTCAGAAAGTTCGACTCGAGAAGGGCAAGTTCTATGCATTCTCAGGTGATTATTCGATCCCCTATTTCTACAGACATCACTACAAACTCCAGGTATGCGGACACGCCTTCACGTGCATGTCGGAGTTTGTTCATGTGAAGCCAACAATCATGTGATATGTGGGTTCGCATAAACAGGACACTTGAATAGCTTTTTTTCATCTGCAAAGAATTCCAGTTTCCAACACCAAGGAATGCGGAACGTTATCTGTGGATGAAGTTTAAGATAATTTATTACTCATGTTGATGAGGGATTTTCGCAGCTTGGATACAAGTCAATGAAGGAAGCGAGACAGTATCAGTGATATTTGGAACTGGAGATGGCGAGTTCGTCCCTGGAGGCAGCATCGTGGCAGAGCAAGGGTGCTGGTCTTTGCTAAAAGGAGGCATCGCTGCGAATTCTTCGAGCACCGTCGATGTTCTTTTCGAGGTAAAGTGATGGCCATTGAACCTTTTTTAGATAAATCTATTTATGAAAGAACACAATTCAACTAGTTAATGCCTTCTTAGGTGATTATTAAATATCAGCACATCCGAAAAACGAACTGTGTGCAAGACAAGATCAGAGACTTGATGAATGATTGTTATTTTTATATCCCATGTGTCCAGTTAACTTCTCGAGCGATCAATACTTTTCGAAATATACCCTTCGACGGGGGTAATCGTGTAGTGCCTTGCTATATTCGTCCTGATTGGGTCAAGATTTAACCTTTGCGAGAATAATTTCACCGAAAAGTTGGAAGCTGCATTAGGTGGAGTGCTGATGTTATTCTGATTCCTGATTGTGACAGAGCAAGAATACCTCGAAGGAAATATGGGTCGACAATGTTGCCTTGCAGCCATTCTCGAAGAAGCAATGGAGGTTTCACCAAGACGAAAGAATAGAGAAGGTAACACAAAAAGTTGCACCAAGTTAGTTTGAAAAACATGAAGAACCGTTGCCAAATTCAATCTTGCAGGTACGGAAAAGCAGAGTGAGGTTCCAGATAACTTATGCGAATAAAAGAAGGATCGGAGTCAGAGGAGCCAAAGTTTTTGTCAAACAAACCAAGCCGGGCTTCCCATTCGGGTGCGGTATGAACTTCCACATCCTCGAGAGCACCGATTATCAAAACTGGTTCGCTTCAAGGTTCAGGTTCACCACTTTCACCAACGCAATGAAGTGGTACAGCACAGAGGAGAAACAAGGCCAAGAGAACTACACGATAGCCGACGCGATGGTGAAGTTCGCACAAGACAACGACATTTCGATCCGAGGCCACAATGTTTTCTGGGACGATCCCAAGTACCAGCCCGATTGGGTCAAGACCCTTTCGCCCGAGGATTTGCGAATAGCAGCGGAGAGGAGGATCAATTCGGTCGTCTCAAGATACGCAGGAGAACTGATTGCTTGGGATGTGGTCAATGAGAACCTGCACTTCAGGTTCTTCGAGGACAACCTTGGAGAAAACGCTTCCTCGATATATTACTCGACCGCATACAAACTGGATCCAACCCCGAGAATGTTCTTGAACGAGTACAACACCATCGAGTACTGTGGGGACGAGAAGGTGAGCCCGGGGAACTACATAAAGAGGCTGGAGGAGATATTTTGCTACCCCGGGAACGAAGATATCCCACCAGGAATAGGAGTGCAAGGCCATTTTGGCCCTGGCCAGCCAAATTTGGCGTACATGAGATCAAGCCTGGAGATTCTGGCCACAACTGGTGTGCCCATTTGGCTCACAGAAGTGTCTGTAGAACCAGGAGTTAACCAGGTACATCAATTATGCATGGCCAGGCAACCCGCTGGGCCCGGTTAGCCGGGTTCGCCCGAGAAGAAAAATTGGGTAGGCTCGGGCAAGCAATTCTCTTCTTGTAACCGGCCCGCCCAACTTCGCCCGCAACCCAATCAATGTTAAATGGCATATCTGATTTCTTACTAATGGGCATCTAGAATTGTGATTAGTGACGAACAGAAGAAAGTTTTTCTGGTGTTGCAGGCTCAGTACCTGGAGGAGATCCTAAGGGAGGCTTATTCCCATCCTGCTGTGGAAGGGATCATAATGTTTGCGGGCCCCGCATATGCCGGCTTCAATACCACGGCTCTCGCGGACATAAACTTCAACAACACGCCGGCTGGGGACGTCGTGGACAACCTGATCGAGGAATGGAAATGCCGCGATATCGAAGCCTGCACAGACGGGGGAGGGTTCTTCAGCACTTCACTACTCCATGGAGACTATGAGATCACTCTAATTGACCCAGCTACAAATTGCTCTTCCACTTCAAGATTTGAAGTGACCAGAGATAGCTCAGGGAGAACTTTCCATTTTCAGATTGGATAATAGCCAGCTGAAGGCTCCTATAGATATCTGAGGATAGTGTTTGATGGTTGACTGATAACAATTAATTAAGATTAATTAAGGAGGGATAAAAACAAAAGGGCCCAATAATACATTGAGTGTAATTATGACCTAGAAGATCATGCTTATTGCTGACATTTAAGTGATTTTTGCACCTTCTTGAGATGGGGAAAATTTCCTTTAAAAGCATGTAAATAATGGCGGGTCGTCTCTGGCGATGCGGTGGTCGTGTGGCGGTGGTGACGGTGATGATCGTGTTGCCGATGTTGTCTCTTCTCTCCGTCCATCAGTAGGCGAAAATGATGGTTGTTCAGTTTTACAATGTAATATATGTATGTTCGCATAAGCTAAAATATGAGATCAAACTAGAAAAAATGTAACTAGTTAAAAAAATTTAAGCTTAAGATTATCTTAGGAGATCATTGCAGGAGATGTTATATGGATTTTAGTCTCAGGGACGGCCCATACTTAAAAGAGATTCGATTCCCATTGTAGGAGATGTTATGACTTTCATGATCTGCTAGACATATATATATATAGCCATAAGAATACAATAAGAGATATGAAAACATAATATCAATAGAGAAAGCTTGGAAAACATACAAAGGATTAAAGTTTAAAGACCAATTAAAAAGAACAAGAAACTAGCTTAATTTCCGTTTTTTTTTTTTTACCACAAAGTTAGACGACTTGAGTCTACACAAATGAGTCGTAACATTCCCTCTGAATTGTTGCGGTTTAGTACATTTCAATCATTAGGATGAATATTCCTACACTAATCCTCTCAAATCCATTGCTTTTTCCCCTCCTCTTTTCAATGGGTCACTCTTTGTCGTACCACATGTTTAAGTGCACGCCAACCATTGCCAATGTCTATAACTCAAACAAGGAACACACTAATCTACATTGTGACTTGAAGAATCATTTTGGGGGACAACAGAAGTTCAGAAAAAGACACACCCTAAGTTCGTCCACACAAATTAAGTTCCATTTGTTTCGCGAAAAATTAATAATTTAAAAACTATTTTCGTCATTTTTATCGTTGTTATCGCCTAAGAAAATGAATCAATGAAAAATATTCTCATTATTAACAAAAACTCGTGCCTAAACTCTTTTGGATAATGAGACTTTTTTTTTTGTTACCTCTGTTCCTAAGAGATATAAATGATAAAAATTAGGAAAATCTATATTCAAATCGTAGGTTTTCTACAAAACAAATGGGGCCTAAATTGTAAATGAAAATATCTGTAATTGAGCATAACCATCAAGCATTTACAATTGCCAAAATTGCTTGATATCATGCTAAATAAGATTGGAAATCATTCTTCGAACATGTTTCGTGTGGAATTTGTTTTTACGGGCAATATTGCATATGAACACCTTCCCCTTAATGAGATAAATATAAATCAAAAAAGATAAAATTCTCCTCTTCACCCAGATACTTTCACGCCTTTTCTAATCAACTCACTGAACTTTTAATTCGTCTAATCAAGTCTGTCTACTTTCACAAACCTTCTAATCAGTCCATTTTGACATCAAATCCAACTAAATTCAATTGACATGGACCATCGGGCAATGTCAAAGTGCGAATTGGATAAAAAAAAATTTCCAATGTAAACGTCTACGTTGGTGCCCATATTGGATAGGTTTTATCCACAGCATGCTCCGAAGTTGTCTACATTGATTGAACTTTTCCACCCACGGCCGCATATTTCACCCGCATCATACTTTTGCGTCGTCCGACAGCCATGTCACCCGAATTTTGTCGGATTTCATATAGGAGAGACTGGATCAGAATATTTGTAAAAGTAGAATGATTCGATTAGACAAATTAAATGAACATGAACTTAATTAGAAAAAGCGCAAAAGTAGATGGATGGAAAATGAAACCTTTTCGTCCAAAAATAAAATCAAATATCACTTTATAGATCATGCATAGATCATGCTTGTGCAACAACGTAACTTCGCTAGTTTCCATTGCATTTGATGCATCTTTCCAAAGCTTACCTACATTGCTCAAAGATGCTTTTCAAAATTGACCCCACAAGTTTAACTTTTTCCCAAACTCGACCCCCCACTATTCTCCGATACACCCAAACGTCACGAGATTATAGCAAAAAGGCCCCCCATAATGTGCATAAGGAAGCATCAGCGTCATAAAGGTTATGGTAACAAATATAGCAAAAGCCCACTTTCTATTTGTGTCCCAAAAAGAAAATTTTCCAACTTATAAAATGGTACTTTCAAGGATTCCAATTTGTCCCTTCTTCTGAAACTGCAAAAAAGAATAATAGAAAAGGGTTCCCGCATAATTATTAATTGTCGAGATGATATTTATAGATCATATAATAAATTTTTGAATAATACATATCTAAATTTTATTTTTGAAGGAATATTTATGTTACATTATGGGTATTGGCAGAGTGTCGCAGTCAGAAAATTGCACTCAACATGTTCATCCAAGAGAGAATTCCTTCAAGATAGCAGGACCGGCAATCCGACAGTAAAAGGGACGAAAGAGCTTGCTTCCGATTTCCGCCAGTCTCTTTCTCCTTTGTCTAAATTTCGTTGAGAGCAATGCTAACTACTAAGACTTATTAGTTGAGCGATAATAAGTCGGACTCTTGTTGGGTGGTGGATATCGACAAGGTATTTCAATGGCGACTCGTAGTCTATCGCATCGCTCTGATTGTACTTGTTTAGTGAACCGATGTTAATGCATGTGCACTACCCCTTTTCTTAATGCTTTTTGAATTCACATTACATCATGTAATTTGATTCGATTAAAACTTTTGCTAAAATATCGCACAGCACCTGTCTATGTAGTTTCGATAATCCTCGTATTCTTGTATTCTCCATTGTGCAAGCTTTTGATTGGATATTCTGACGTGTATTAGAACCGGATTTCGTCCCGGGTGTTAGGCTCCTTATTCATCAATTCTGCGTGTCGTTCTCAGTCCTGTTGGCACGCGAAAGAGGGTGTTAAAGTATTCCGCTTCACTCATTTGTATGGTTTCAAGGGGGCCTGATATTTATACGGTCTACTTCCACCTAATTTCTATGCCGTTTTGGGCTACTGTTCAGTTTGTGTGCGTATATGGGGTTGAGAAAAGAGTCACGGGACAGGTAAAAACCGAGGATGATCAGCGTCATGAGGTCACTATATCAGGAAATGAGAATATACTGTTTCTTGGTTGACAGGCTGTGGCATGCTTCTTCGCATTTACATGAGACCTTTGCTCTTCTGACATGATCGAATGATTCTTACAGCGCTTTCTGTGACTGCTCTTATTGCAGGAGAGATGAAAAGTTCATCAGGATTCAACATGTTCTTGTTTCTTTCTCTCACATTTGCGTTGTTTTCCTTAGGATCGGGTACTAATTTCTCTCGTTTGTTCCCTTTTCTTGAATTAGTTTTTGCTTAATCTTTTGCCTCTGACAGCATCTTTGCTAGAGTTTAGCATCCCTTGTTCCAAGTGTTTTTCCAAATTTTCTTGATTGTGTTCAATGAAGTTGACTGTGAGATTGGTTTGCCAGTTGTAATGTAACGTGGACAATTAAGCTAATGCTTTCTCTTTGAAGCCATTTCAGGGCAAATCATGCAGGCCGTCTTCAATGATTATTACGATTCATCGGCGACAACACAGGCAAGATCAAACTCCTACACACTATTTGCGACTTCTGAGCACGTTGACATGTAAATATCAGTTCATATTTCATGAGCACTGCTGCTAAGTCGAATTCAAGAACTTGTCCCCGAAATTGGGGGATCAGAACTCGAGATTGCCGCCCGAAAAATGAACAAGTTGAATGAATTACTCTAGTGATTTGTTGAAGCGGTACAAATTCTTTGTTGCCTCGAAAGGAGATAGTTAAAGAGTTTCCAGGAACAACACTAAGCAGATTATGTAATCGGCGTCTTACGTACTCGATTATAGCAGTGTTTGGCAGAGCCAGGGAGTCCTATGTATGGAGGTGGCGTCATACTTAACCCGGAGTTTATCCACGGATCTTCCGGATGGACTGTGTTTGGCCATGGAGCGATCGAAGTGCGTACATCATATACCAACAACAGGTTCATGGTGGCGCACAATAGAAAACGCCCATCAGACAGTTTCTCTCAGAAAGTCCAACTCGAGAAGGGAATGTTCTATGCATTTTCCGGTAATTACTCGCTCCGCTGTTTCTAGAGAGAATAGTTACGTCGGAGTTGTTCATGTGAAGCCGTCAACCATGTGATATGTCGGTTCACGTTTTACACGTATACAGGGTATACTTCTTCAGTTTTGTTTATTTGCAAAGAATTTCCAATTGCAATATCAAGAAACGTGAAAACGTGATTGTCGACGAAGCTAGGATAATTCGTTACTGTTTTTAGCCATGTCCTTTTGACCGAATACTCATTACAAGAGGGGAATTTTTTTCGCAGCTTGGGTACAAGTCAGCCAAGGAAGCGAGGCAGTAGCGGTGGTATTTGGAACTAGAGATGGTGAATTTGTCCGTGGAGGCAGCGTCGTGGCCGAGCAGGGGTGCTGGTCTTTGCTAAAAGGAGGCATCGCGGCGAATTCTTCGAGCCCAGTTGATGTTCTTTTCGAGGTGAAGGGCATTCAACTTTCGGTTACAATCTAACTTCTGCAAGACACAGAACTCAAACCGAGTTAATGCTGGTCTAGTGTTTTCTCTTGTTCATCCAGATTATTCAAAAATCGCAAGATACATGAGTGCTAATAATTCTAGGCATATGTTGATTCTGATTGTGTTGTGGCAGAGCAAGAATACCTCAACAGAGATATGGGTCGACAACATTGCGTTGCAGCCGTTCTCGAAGAAGCAATGGAGGAATTACCAAGATGAAAGCATAGAGAAGGTAACACGAAAAGTTGTACCAAGTTAGTTTGAAAAATGTAAAGGACCTTCTTGAACTTCGATCTAGCAGGTACGGAAGAGCATGGTGAGGTTCCAGATAACTTATGCGAACAAACGAGGACTCGGAGTCGGAGGAGCCAATGTTCTCATCAAACAGATCAAACCGGGCTTTCCGTTTGGGTGCGGCATGAACTTCCACATCCTCGAGAGTGCTGATTACCAGAACTGGTTCGCGTCGCGATTCAGATACACCACTTTCACCAACGCAATGAAGTGGTACAGCACAGAGGAGAAACAAGGCCAAGAGAACTACACAATAGCTGACTCGATGGTGAGATTCGCGCAAGGTAACGACATTTCCATCCGAGGCCACAATGTCTTCTGGGACAACCAGAAGTACCAGCCCGATTGGGTCAAGACCCTTTCGCCCGATGATCTGCGAAAAGCAGCAGAGAAGAGGATCAATTCGGTCGTCTCGAGATACGCGGGAGAGCTGATTGCTTGGGATGTGGTCAATGAGAACCTGCACTTCAGCTTCTTCGAGGACAACCTCGGGGAAAACGCTTCCTCGATGTATTACTCGATGGCATATGAGCTCGACCCGACCCCGAGAATGTTCCTGAACGAGTACAACACCATCGAGTACAGTGGGGACGAGAAGGCGAGCCCGGGGAACTACAAGAAGAGGCTCGAGGAGATATTTTCGTACCCCGGGAACGAGGATATACTGGCAGGAATAGGAGTGCAAGGCCATTTTGGCTCTGGCCAGCCAAACTTGGCTTACATGAGATCAAGCCTGGACATTCTGGCCACAACTGGTGTGCCCATATGGCTCACAGAAGTGTCCGTGGAACCAGGAGCTAACCAGGTACTGGAATATCTTAGAAAAGAGGCGATCATGCCCTGGGCGGCTCGCCGGGGTCCGGTGGGCCCGAAAGGCAAAACGGGCAGGTTCGGGCGAGCAATCTTTTTTTTTGCGGCCGGCCCGCTCACCTTGGCCTGTTCAAACCCTATCAATTTCATATTTGCCCATTTTGAAATTTTTTTCAATGGGAGAAGAGAAGAAACATGACTTAAAAAAGTTTTTGGCCGTCGGTCAATTGAAGACTTGAGGCCACGATAGGGTCCTGACCTTGCCGTCGATGGAACTTATAGACATTGGAAATGACACGCAGCAACCAATGCCTGAATTGAGTGGAGCTTTTCTAAAACCTTAAACTAACCAAAATAAAACCTTTGTATTCTCAATTGACCGTTTTTCAAAATTAGACATCTGGGCAAGGACGTTTAGACGCTAGGCTGCACCCGCCCATGATCCTAGAATCAACTGTCCTTAAACCAAACTCGAGTTGATAGATGGGAGTGCAATATCAAAGGATTGGTAACCTGCAATGCATAAAAGAGGTTTTCCGGCATTGCAGGCACAGTACTTGGAGGAGGTGCTCAGGGAGGCTTATTCTCATCCCGCCGTCGAAGGGATCATAATGTTCGCCGGCCCCGCGTACGCCGGCTTCAATACCCCGGCGCTGACGGACATGAACTTCGACAACACGCCGGCTGGGGACGTCGTGGACGAGCTGATCGAGGAATGGAAATCCGAAGACTTGAGAGATCGCGCGGACGATGGAGGGTTCTTCAGCACTTCGCTGCTTCATGGAGAGTATGAGATCACCATCACTGATCCAATCACAAACTGCTCTTCCACTTCAAGATTTGAAGTGACCAAAGATAGCTTCAAGATAATTACGATTTTCACATATAATAAGATTGTCAGCTACAAGCTCCCATGAAGCTAAGGATAGCGCTTGATTGTTGATTTTGATACTTGCTAATTTTAAGATTAATTAAAGAGGGTAAATATAAAGGCCCCTTAAATGCCATGTATTATTTATTTGTACGAAAAATGCATTACATGTAATTATGACCTGGAAGATCATGTTGATACCAAGTAAAGAATGTTTGGTCACTTTCGGGAGCTCTTACAGCGTAATATCATATCACGATACTGATCGATAAAAAAGCTAATTAACCGATAAATCTCATCTTTTGGATGACAATAACGTATGATACATTTTTGTCCTTAGGTAGTGTAGACGCGCATCGTCGTTCGCAAAGATTCGGAATACTCAATATCACATAAAAATCTCGATTCCAAAAAACCAAAGAAAATGTCGAAAGTTTCTTTTTTGACTTCAACCTTTAAATATATATATATTTATATTTAGTCTAACGACCTAAAAAATTTTAATCGGCACTTTCAAATCACTAAAAAATTTAAGTAGAGGTAAAAAAAATAATAATAATTTAATTTTGGATAGGAAATTCAAATGGCCCAAAAAGAGAAATAATAATAAAAAAAAAAAGGGCGCTGAGCACGAAATTGGCGCGCCATTTCTGCGCCAAGCTTGACTCATACGCTTCCTCTCCGTCGTCGGTCAGGGGTTTCTTCCCCCGAAGAAAGAAGAAGAAGAAGAAGAAGAAGAAGAAGAAGAAGGCCAGTTCTGCTTCTGCTGAGCGAAGTCGCAGAAGAGATTCCATGGCGGAGGAGGAGGAGGAGACGGAGAAGAAGGGCGACGGCGGCGCTCGCCCGTGGCAGTCTTACCACACCGTCTACACCAACGCCAAGGCCGGTGAGTGCGCCCCGCCCCGCCCCGCGCAGAAAAGCTCGGTCCTTTTCGAGAAAGATCGCGCATTTTTGAGTTCGGCGACGTGGGTCCTCGCGATTCGTTTCTGGGAACTCCGTTCGCGGCTCAATTGATCGGTAGAACAATTGCTAGGCGTAGAGAATCGGTAGAAGCGGATGCGATGTTCGGATTTCCGCTGTCGCACGATGCGTGGCGAAGCGGTGGGTTTTATTAAAAATTTGAGATGGTTTTGATGCGCTGCGGTTTTTTTTTTTAGGTATGGAGGGGGTGGATAAGGAGAAGGTGCAAAGGGTCGTGTACGAGATGAGCAAAGGGTCCAAGTATTTCGAGAACGAGGAGCGGAAGGAGGCTTTCATAAGGCAGAAGATAGAGAGGATGCGCGCTCGGAGCATGAAGCTCACCGCCGCGGAGTTGGCTCACTATCAGACGGTATTACGAAAGTTTTTGAGTCTTGCGGAGTAATGGGTCTCTGTTTTTTGAGTCTTTTGGGGACTTTGGAATTTGGTTTTTCCATGTTGAAGTAGGAAAATTAGAAAATGTCATCTAGATAGGACAGATTGTTGCTGGTTGAATTGTTATTCATCGAGCTATCCCTGAAACCGATCGACGGAATTTGCAAGCCACTGTGTATGGCTTCTGTACGGTTTCATTTTTCGAGGAAGGGTTTGGTGGGAGAGTCTGAAATTCTACCATTGTACCGTCACAAGATGAAGACACTAGCTGCTTTTACTTCCTTCAAACTGGTCTCTTGGTATGAGGGTCTTTACATAATTTGAACTAAGCCACTGAAAGGAAAGCATGACACTTCCTAAGTTCTGGGTGTTGAAAATACATTTTTATCTAATCTGACTTATGCCCAAGCAGGACAAGGCCATTAATTAATTTGCAAGTCAATGAATTTTAAGTTTTCAGATCAGTTCTCTGTTTCTAACATTCGTTAATATGTCGTGTGTTAGAAAATTTGAAGAAGGCGTGTCCTTTCGTTTATGTTTTTATCCTCTGTCCAACCATTATTCAGGTGGCTGACAAAAGAATTCTAGAACTGGAAGCTACACGAGACCTTTCAAGGGTCTGGCTGCACGTAGATATGGATGCTTTTTATGCAGCTGTTGAAACATTAAGCGATCCTTCTTTAAAAGGGAGACCAATGGCTGTTGGCGGCATGTCTATGATCTCAACTGCTAACTATGAGGTTTGATTTACTTCACCGATGGTTTGCTGGATGTCCCCAATTAAATGCTTTTGGTCCTTCTGATCTTATTGTGATTTTGAACATTCAAAGCTTAGATGGAAATTAATTTGAAGAGAATCAATACCCAATAATATCTTGTTTTATTATCCATTGATACAAGCTTCTCAACGTTGTAGGCAAGGCGATTTGGGGTTCGTGCAGCAATGCCTGGTTTTATTGCACGTAAATTATGTCCGGATTTAATTTTCGTTCCAATAGATTTCGAAAAGTATACTTATTGCAGTGATTTAACTCGAAAAGGTCAGGCCCTTACTTGTATACCTGTTTAGATTAGCAGATTGCCTATTGTTTAGTGCGTAATTCAAGAACATGTGTATCTTTTACTAGTGTTCCAGAGGTATGATCCCAACTTTATTGCTGCTAGTTTGGATGAAGCTTACCTTGATATAACTGAGGTCTGCAAGGAAAGAGGTGTCTCTTGTGGAGAAGTAGGCCATTCTTTAATTCACTGAATTCTAGACTGCCTATTTAGTAGTTGAGTCATCTCATATGTCACCTTTATACTGAAGGTTGCTGAAGAACTTAGAAATACTGTGTTTGAGGAGACTGGCCTTACTTGTAGTGCTGGAGTTGCTGCAAACCGCTTGCTTGCTAAGGTGTGGGACTAGAAGTATCTGCAACCTTAAATATCTTCCCGATTTAACATTTTACTATTTTTTGTTTGAAAGAACTGTTTGATTTATTTATTTTCTTTCTGTTATATTAAGGTGCTTAATCCAACAAAATTACAAAATATAGGTAAAGGTTTTGTGCCATGTGACTAATTGTTATAACATATGAATTTTATTATAATATTATTAGCCTATGATGCTGGGCCTTTGTTTGCTGGAGGTCCAGTCAAATTACTTATTTAGGAGTTTGTCAAAGTGGTTTCTTTTTCTTCTGGAGAGCAGGAAGCACAGTCGCTCCTTTGTGGTGTTACATTAGTGCGGAAAATTCTCGTCTCTGGTTTTTTTTTTTTTTTTTGAGAAAGTGAATGACTTACTGTACTGTCCATGAAGCCCCAGCAGTTTGTGGGTTTGCAGGGGAGGGGGGCTGTGGATGAATGGGTGTCCAACTTTCTAAAAATCAACAGCACTTAACCGCAGGAAGTTGACTACTCTTCGACACTTCGTTTCTCAAGGAATTAAGTGGTCGTTCTGTTTTCATTGTGGTATTTGGCATCTATAGCTTTCATGGGAATATGTTGCGTTCAATGAGTTATGCCATCAATTATTTGAGGATACATCATCTGGTCTTTTAGTATGCACTAATTTGATAAGTTTAAGTGTCATTCTTCTTTTCCATAAATAATGTAGAAATGACAAACTAAGCAATCAGATGCTCCAGTAAGAATAGACCACTATGAGGTGGATAATTAGGTTAAAAGCGGTAGGGAAAGACCCTAAAAGACATGGAATGAGACAATAATACAGAGATCTAGAGCACTTTGACCTTTTAGATGACCTGATACAGAATCACATTCAGTGGGGTAAATGATTTATATAGCCGATGTCACTTAGTGGGATTTGGTTTAGATTGTTGTTTTTCTTGTTGCTGTAGTTGTTTGACTCATTAATTTTCCAAAGGACTGTTAAGCTATATATTTATGCCAATTGATATTGCTCTTATGTTATGGCTCCCAATGCATCAAAAGTTGGAGCTGTCTAAATATATAAAGAAGGGAAAGATGATAGGAGTTTAGGTTCTTTGTTGTCGAACCATGTGCTGATAAGTGATAAGCTCTTGTCCTTTCTCCTCTAGTTTCAGTTTTCACCTTTTCGTTCTCCATGTGGCCATTTTTCTTGCTACTTAAGATTCACAATAACCTTAATCCACCATTTTGCTTAGGTTTGCTCTGATATAAACAAGCCAAATGGACAATTTGTCTTGCCTAATGACCGTCTGGCTGTCATGACATTTATTTCCTCACTTCCTATCCGAAAGGTGAGCCTCACTTATTTCTGTTTTTCTGCTGGAATTTCCATAATGACATAGTTGGACACTGTTGTGCCAATCTTGTGTTTGTGGTAAGTTGATGCAAAATTAACCATTCACAGATTGGAGGCATTGGTAAGGTTACGGAGTGTATCTTAACAGATGTATTAGGTATTAGTACCTGTGAGGAGATGCTGCAAAAGGGAGGGTACCTTTGTTCTCTTTTTTCTCGCTCCTCAGCTGGTATCCTCTTTGTCCTTCTCTTATTACTTATCTCCCTAACCAGCAACACGACAATGCTTTTTCTGATTTACACTTTTTGTTTTATCACATCTTTGTTTATCTTAGAGCTTATCTGATTTCTGATTGTGTGCATTCTGCTAGTACGATATATTCAAGGTTTATGTACTGCATCAGGTTTTAAATTGTTGCATCTATATGAGGGGTGGAGTCGGTCTTTCTTGTGCCAGACAGCTCTCTATTTATGGTATATTAGGCTGGCAGAGTGTGTGATTAGATTTTGACATTGTTAATGGCAATTCCAATTCCAATTGTTACTCAGATAACACCTCTGTACACTAAAACCTTGACACTGATATTTATCTCCATCATTTTTCAGTAGTAACTTTTTATTTTCTTGATACGTGGGATGTTTAGTTCAGTATTTTCCGTCAAGTGTTGCTCTCTGATTTGCTTCTCTTCAATTTAAGTGTAGCTTTTGTGAACTTAGCATGCCTTATATTTGTAATTATTTTGCAGTTGTGTTGTCTTTTAGTAGTATCAACAATTTGGAAGTTCTTACAGACTTTTTTCTCTCCGTGGGGCTTGGTCTTGGGGAGACGGATCCTCCACAAATGAGGCTGCGAAAGAGTATCAGTAATGAGAGAACATTTCAAGCCACAGACAATGAGGCTTTGCTTTATCAAAAGTTAGGTTCGGTGTTTTCGTCCCTATCCATTCTCTATATTTTCTTTTCTACATTTAAGAATGAATGTACTAGTAATGTTTCTATGAAGAGTGCTGACTGACGGGTTGTCTGAGCATCTTAAAGCTATCTTTCCACTTCCTTTTGTTTGATACTCTCTTCTTTCATTTTCCAGTCCATCTAAGTTATAAGAATGGAAAATGACTGATCTGTGAGGAAGAAAGTGAAAGCCTGAACCTTTCTGGTTTAAGCCTCACGTCTTCTCTTCCCTGAACTTACCTTGCGAACAGAAAAGAAAGCCAATGCCTCAAATGACTAGTCTTGAGGTTCATTCTAGTCGAAGTATATTTACTATGATTATTTTCTTGTTTCAACTGATTCAGTGAGCCTGTGGGATGTTGTTAACTAAATTTATGGAGCAATTTGATTTGTTAGATTTAGTTTTAAAATAGTTTAGTAGGAGATGAAATAACTGCTGTCAATTGTTAATCTTTATTAGGTTCACTTTTTCAGATGAACTTGCAGAGCTACTTTCTAGTGATATGCAAAAGGAAGGTCTTCATGGCCGGACATTAACTCTTAAACTGAAAACTTCATCTTTTGAGGTACTTTCTGTGCTTGACTGGCTTTTCTTTTTTCTTAATAGTCGCGTATGTTAGCAAGTCCGACCCAAAAGCTTTAACTATTAAGTGGAGGGAGACTATGTGAATACAAGGCCATTATAAACTCCTTAGATAACAAGTGATGTGGGATACTTACAACACACACTGAATTTCCCAGACATAAAATCTATCTTTTATAGTCACTATGATTGATGATATTTTGATACTGTTAACTTTCTTAGAACGTGATATTCTTCTTCTATGCTTGTACTCATAGAACCCTTCTTTTGCTCGCAATATGCTTTTCTTTTATCCTCTTTTGCTTCTTTATTCATCGAAAAATATCTACAGGTTCGAACCAGAGCTTTAACTCTACAGAATTACATATCCTCACGGGACGATATCTATAAATATGCATCGAAGCTTCTGAAGGCTGAACTTCCCATATCTTTAAGACTGATAGGTAGTTTAACTTCTCCCTTTTTTAAATTCTTAGATCTTTAAGATTCATACATTTATTTTAGTGGATCTGTCTGTGTATCTTGTAAGATTAGGGCATTATTTGTTTAGATTGAAAATTGTAGAGCTGAATTTTTAAAAATTGAGGACTAGTTTTTAAAGAGAAATCTGTATGGTGTCATCTTTGTAAGCTCTGAAGTTACTAGTAGTAATCAGTAGGTGTCAACCTTTACAGGACTTAGGGTGTCTCAGTTTAAAGAAGATAAGGTGGGCGCTCCATCTGATCCAACACAGAAAACTCTTCTGAGCTTCATGTCAGCAGATGCTTCTGGAAATTTTATTAAAGGACAGAGCTCATTGGGATCAGAAACTAGCAATACTCTCTTCATGAATGACTTGGGAGACGATATTTCTGTGGAGACTCATGAGATGATCGATGGTGAAAGTGAGAATCCATTGGACCGAAATGATTCATCTGATCCAAAAAAGAACTGCACTTTGATTGAATTTGCTGGCAAAACCGAGGGAATGCATGGACATATAGAGGGCTCTACCATGGATAAGGTATGCAAATGCCTAAACTTCATATTGACCCCAGATATATATTTGAGCGAGTGTCTCATAATAATTTGCTCCTGTTAAATATGAGAATTCTCTATGTCTAGATATGTATATTGTTGGCATCTTCTTTAATATTTACTACCATATCAGATAGATGCCCCTATAGAGAAGAGCGACCCAAAATCTAATCAACTCGAAAAATCTTACGGAAGGGGACTGGATTCTTCTATACCTCATGAGACTGAGATTAGCAGCTGCCTAAATCAGAAGGATAATGATGATTATCTGCTCCAAGGTGAAACATCATCCGGACAAGAAGAGCAGATTTTGTGGATGAATGACTACGAGTGTTCACTTTGTGGTATAGAATTGCCATCATCTTTTGTAGAGGAAAGGCAAGAACATGCGGACTTTCATCTTGCAGAGAGACTTCAGAAAAAGGAATCAGGCATGGATTCAAGAACACTCATCGCAGGGAAAAGGTATGGTGGCATATGGCCAGATACTCACCAAGCAGCATGATCAGTTCCTAGGAAATATTTTTCAAAACCTATGCTTTCTTTCTGATGCATCCTGGTACTGCTTTAACTATCATCCAGCATTTTTTCACTAGCCAAGCGATTCTTCCTTTGAACAAAACTGGCTGGATTGTTTTGGATTTTGTAGTTTTGTTAATTGACTTGTGTTTTTACAATGTCTCGGGTCCACGTACCGTTTTCCTAGTTAGCCATTCCCTATCGGTCAGTATCCCGAGAATGATCAGTTTCGGGCGAGACTCACTAAAATGAAATGAGAAATAAACATCTATTTCATTGATCCCGGAAGTGGGTCGAATTCAGGATGTTACAACTCTTCCCCCTTACAAAAATTTCGTCCTCGAAATTTACAACCCAAACCCGATTACTCAAACAACTGGGGGTATTGGCGTCGTATCGCTTCTTCGCTTTCCCAGGTGGCCCCTTCTGCTCCATGATGTTCTCAGACTACTTTGACCATCGGGATCGTCTTGTTTCGTAGCACCCGATGTAACATCCTGAATTCGACCCACTTCCGGGATCAATGAAATAGATGTTTATTTCTCATTTCATTTTAGTAAGTCTCGCTCAGAACTGATCATTCTCAGGATACTGACCAATAGGGAATGGCTAACTAGGAAAACGGTATGTGGACCACGTTTACAGCGTATTCTTAATCTTAACTGCTTATTTATTTTGAAATTTCCCGATATCCTGAATTGTAGTGTTAATGTTTCCACAGAAGAGTTAGCATTAATAATTTAACTGATAAACCTAGCCAACTTACGTTCCAGATAAGAGTCACGGACATGCTCTAGAAGGCATCGTTGAATTTTCCTTGCATTTCGTCTTTATTGACCAAATTTATGAACTATCTTCTCAACTTTGATGATTATCAAAAGGATGACTTATTACCCTTTTTTTCTCATTATTTATCAGATACGCTAGTCTGGTTAACTTCGACTTGTTTCAGGTCGCCACGGACGCGGACCGGAAGCAGAAATAAACATAAGAAGCGCAGGTCGTCGCCTTCATACGGACATCTTCCGATAGATGTGTTCTTTGGGAAGATTAATCAGAAACCCTAGAGATCATTCTTTTTGCACTTTGATTCTTCTTCTATGTATAGTTTTCTTTGCTAAAGCTGAGATCAGTTCTTTGTAGAAACGTTAGATATGTACCATACACTCCTAGAATACGGTTGTGTGTAGGTTTAAGTTGTATGGGCCATTGGGGTTGATATTTGCTTGTACCAATATCATCGGCTTTTCCCCCCCTCAACTATATTGTATTAAATACTGATGTTGTCATATCAAATAATTACTTCAATAGCAATTCAGCCCAGTGTTCTTTACTTCTAAATAAGAAATAATTCAATACCTTGGTAAAAGTTATTTTAGATTTTAAAAAAAAGGTTAATGGGGTTGATATTTGCTTGTACCAATATGATTGGCTTTTCCCCCCCTCAACTATATTGTATTAAATACTGATGTTGTCATATCAAATAATTACTTCAATAGCAATTCAGCCCAGTGTTCTTTACTTCTAAATAAGAAATAATTCAATACCTTGGTAAAAGTTATTTTAGATTTTAAAAAAAAGGTTAATGCCACGAAAAATCCTAAACTGGTACACTTGTGACACGTTTACCCCAAACTGTTTTTTTGACCATAAAAAGCCCCAAACCTACACATATGACAATTTTACCCAAACATACCACAAAAAATCTAAAGCGGTACATGTGAAAATTTTACCCCAACCTAATTTTTAATATTATTTTTTTGATTTTTTGAATTTTTTTCTTTTTTTTTCTTTTCTTTTTTTCCTTCACCTTCAATCTACGGCCGGTCGCCGGTCCGGCGAACGGCCGAGCCCGGCAGGCGCCCCGAGGGCGCCCTCGCCGGCGTCGGCAGGTTGCCTCGCCGCCGAGCGGTGCGCCGACGCCGGATCGCGAGGACCACTGCTGCGTCGGGCGAGGCCGTCCTCGCCTGCCCGAGCAAGGGCGACCCTCGCCCGTCGGGCGAGGCGGTCCTCGCCCGGCAGGAGCAAGCAGCGAGGTCCCTCGCCGGCCGGGCGAGGGCGACCTCGGCGAGGGCGGCCGGCGAGGCGAGGCCGACCCGACTGCCCGCCCTTGCCCTGGGCGGGAGAGGACGGCCCTCGCCCGCGTCGGAAGGCCCTCACCCAACGCCGGGGAGGGCGGCCCTCGCCGGCTTCCACCTCTGGCCGGTTGCCGGACCGGCGACTGGCCAGAGTTTGAAGATGAAAAAAAAAAAAAAAAGAATAAAAAATAAATAAAAATTCGAAAAAAATAATATATTAAAATTTTAATTCAGGGTAAAATTGTCACATATGTACTAGTTTGGGGTTTTTTGTGGTAAGTTGAGGGTAAAATTGTCACAGGTGTACCAGTTTGGGGTTTTTTGTAGTCAAAACGATAGTTCAGGGTAAAATTGTCACAGGTGTACCAGTTTGGGATTTTTTATGGTCAAAAAAATAGTTTGGGGTAAATGTATCACAAGTGTACTAGTTTAGGATTTTTCGTGGTATTAACCCTAAAAAAAAAAAAGCTCATGCTGTTTCTGCCTCTTAAATAGGATCCTAAAATTTTAATGGTTAAAGTAGGTCTCATCACTCATTAATAGTAAGATTGATGAAATAGGACAAATCTAGCTTAATTGTTGATCAATTAATCTAATAATTTATATCAACATTTCCGAAATTATTGTTTCTTCTTCTTTTGCATTCAAATTAAAGAAGTTTATATTCTTTGTTTTTTCATGAGGATTATCTAAGCTTCGAGTATCATGATAAATTTAATGATCGGCTTCTAATTTAAGAGATCATTTGTAAAGTACATTGATTTAAAATGTCTCTCTAAAGTTCAATCTTAAATAGCACCTTGCAATATTCAATCCTTTAGCTCGAGTGTTTTTTTTAAGTGGAATTCGTCGGTTAAAACCGTAAGCTCTTTATGATTATAATTTATATTTTAAGATATGTTAATCAACAAAGATCAATGATAAGGTGCATACTCAACACGAAAAAAAATCCTTTATAGAAGAGAAGAAATGGAGTTTGTACAAAAACGGACTGAAAAATTACATAAGGCTGTGGAATAAAATATTATCGTTTTGATTAATATGGACGATCTTGTATTTTCACGGCGATGTGAGACTTTTACAATTTTAAATAAAATAGCGAATTCATTTTTTTCTCCATACACGATTACGATTAATTAATTCTCGCGAGATTATTTTCGCGGGCTCGAGCCTACTTTAAATTAAGTTGCGAATCCACCTACATGTGTTTAACATGTTTGGAGGTAATTCGATATTAATAATAATGCTTGCATTGAAAAAACCTAAGAGGGAAACAAACAGCAAAAAGCAAAGGATCACTACCCAGACGAGAGGCACCGATCCGACGGCCAGAATCGCATGTCTCTACCCTTTTCCATTATTTTATAAGAATACCCTTTCCTTTCTGCGGTCACAGAGAGCAGGCAAAAGCTAAAACGAGAGTGCGTCGGCGGCGGGAAGGTCGTGAATCCGGCTCCAGACGACACCGTTCCAGATTCGACAGGGAGCCCAGGTACCCCCTCTCTCTCTGTGTCTTCCTTCGACGCTCGTCTTTGTGTGACATTGTTGGTGCTGATCGAATGGGGGAAAGGATTGGTGGAATGACGACGGCTTCCGGGTGTGGAAATTATGGGCTTTTTTGTGTTTTTGTCGGAGGACGAGGTGTTTTGGTGTATGGGGAATTAGTATTTGCCATGTTGCATCATCAAGTCCACGCACCCGGACATGCGCTTATCCCTGGGTTGGAGTTGGAATTTGTGATTGTAGTCATCACTCTCGGATTGGGTTTCTTGGATAAGATGTACCATTGTTACCTGGTGTGGGCCGTGTAGAACTAGGACTGACGTCATCTGATGACGTCGGCCCAATCTACGGTGGGTGACCCAACCTGGGTCAAACCGGTTGGATTGATGATCCATGCCGGATAAGGCACGCTGAGCGAGCGCTGCACGCGCCGCGCACTTTAGCGGCACGTGCGGGGTCCTTTTGGAGCGTGCTTGGTGCCGGCATTCTCATATCGTGATGCTCTATAATGTGGCATATATAGTTACATGTTTGATGCTTTTACGGATGTGAAAATGCGTACGGAATCCTATATACGTATATTTTTAGGGTATTTTTGCATTTTTTTCCGTATTTCTTTGTAGTTTCAGATATACAGATGCTAGCTCACATGTATATCGTCACATATAGAATGTGTGGAGCGTGATTCATTGATAGAATATATAAGATTTGACATGTATCAATGAATGGAACCATGTAATTGGCATGCCATGCGATTTTAGTGACAAATTGCCCTATCTTCAAGTCTAAAATTACTTGTATATGGTAAATGTGAGACATAAAGTTTATATCCCTAGTATGAGAGAGTTTCAAGAATTCAATTGGGTTGTGACCATCAAAGCAACACACTTCATTGGATTTGAGAAATATCGGTCTCATATTGTGGTGGGCCGTCTCATATTCAAATGCATGGTCATTCTTCCCAAAGGAGGTGATTGTGCATTGGTTCATGGAGGCTCACATGCACAGCATATGGTTGAAAAGTGACTGATCCTAGTGGTTCATACATCCAAAGGTGGTGAACTCACGAAGGTTGGAATATATTCTTAGGACCGTTGTCATGTAGAGAGTATACAACTGCATGTCATATATTTTTATGATGCATGTAACTCTCAGGATGTGTACTTATATGGTTTCAAGTTACGCAGTACTAATTGTATACATTGCTTGTTTCAGTCACCTTCTCTGTAAACGGCAACTCTATTACGATCGAGGTTCTTGTTGGTTCAAACTTTAAGAAATGAAAAGAAAATTTTTTGTTTGGGATGGAGCTGCTGGCTATTCATATTTCTCTTAGTGCGGATAAGCCGCAGATCTCACTGCCACTATTAGAGAATCCCAAAAAGCACACTTTGTTGCCTGGGAAAAGAGCAATCGGATTTGTTTATTATCTATGAGCAAATATCACTGGTACTAGTAAGGAACCCTCGAAAGTACACTTTGTTGCTTAAGAAAAGAGCAATCGGTCCGCTAGCTGACTGCACTGCTAAACAGATGATGGAAGCCTTGGAGGCTAGAAACTGTGTCTCGTCTAATGCTGAGATTGGGACATATATGCAAAAACTCAACGACATGAGGTATGATGGTTCTGGTGAGGTTAGGAATTACGTCATTAGAATGGTAAACCTGCAGACAAAACTTGAGGCCCTTAAAATTTCTCTTCCTGATACATTTATTGTACATCAAGCCCTAAACACTCTTCCGCCTGATTTTGGGATTATCAAGACTAATTTCATCTGCCAAGATGAGGCCTGGTCAATTAATGACCTAATAGCTAGGGTGGTGGCAGAGGAAGAGAAACTGAAGAAAGAAAGAGAGCACCTTGCCCGATATGCCTCTAGTTCCAGCAATAAGAAGAGTAAAAGGTCAAAAAATCGTACTCATAAAGGAACTCATGTAATCACTGGTCATTCTGACAGTTTGGGTTATAAGAAAGCATCTTTCAAAAAAGATGGTGACCGCTGCTTCTTTTGTAAGAAGAAAGGTCATATAAAGACAAATTGTGACAAATATAAAACTTGGCTGTCTAAACGTGAGCCTGCATGTAATGATTCTTTTGCATTTGTTTATGGATCCAACCTATCAGAAGCCCCATCCAGTTCATGGTGGCTAGATAGCGGTGCAACTAATCATGTTGCGTTTACATACAGGGATTCATAAATTGGAGGAGCCAAATTAGGATGAATCAAAGCTCATTGTGGGAAACAACAATAAAGTTGACGTTGAGTTCGTGGGAGATGTCATTTTAATTCTAGATTCTGGTTTTAATTTTGATGTTAAGAAACACATTTTATGTATCTTCCTTTAGACGAAACTTAGTTTCTATATAATATCTGGATATGTCTGGCTAGTCTTTTGATATAAAGAACAATATTGTTTTTATTTTTTTTAATTCAAATAAGATTGGGTGCTGCAATATGTGCAATGGATTGTAGAGATTATGTTTACCTCCCAATGATATATACGTCAATTATGCGGCTGAAAAAGTTATTTCTAAGACCTTTACCTAAGAAACAGTCTTATGTGTTGTGGGATAAATGGCTTGGTCATATCTCTAGGGAAAGAGTGGAAAGGCTCGTAAAGGCAGAAATCCTGCCCGCTCTTAAAGGTGACATAGAAACTTGCGTAAACTGTTATAGAGGTAAGATAACTAAGACAAAGAACACTGTAGTTCATAGTTCTAACATGTTGAAGGTCATTAGAATTTATTAATCATTATTCCCAATATGGTTATCTGTACTAAATTTAGGAAAAGTTCGAGTCTTTTGACAAGTCCAAGACTTTTTAGACTAAAGTCTAGAAGCAATTGAGAAAATTCATCAAGGTTGTCAGATCTGACCGGGGTGGTGAGTATTTTGGTAGACATGGCAATGCTGGATAGCTTAAAGGGCTATTTGCCAAATACTTGGAGGATTCTGGTACGGTAGCTCAATTTACTATGCTGGGAGTTCTAAACAAAATTGTATGACCGAAAAGCGCTATCGCACCCTTGTGAAAATGATGAGAAGTATGATTTGTATGACCAATTTATCTGGTTTTCAGTGGGGTGAAGCTTTGAAAAAGCCCTTTACATTCTAAACCTATTTCTACTGTTGGGTTTATTATTTATTATAATGTTAACAAGTTGGGTTATTTCTGTAATTGTGCTAGGCTTAAGGTTAAGCCTATATATATACTTCTTGTGTTTTCTTTGTAACTTAACAAAAATAGAAGAGAGAGAAAGCCAACTTTTTCACATGGTATCAGAGCATTGGCTCTCTTTTCTCTCTCTCTCTCTCTTCGTCTCCTCCAGCTCGTGCCCTACCCGTGCGAGCTCTGCCGCGTGCTCAAGGCCAATCGTGGTCCTCAACTTCGTGTGGAAACTGTGTCTTTGTTGGTGGCAATCTTGTGTCATGGAAAAGTAAGAAACAATATGTTTCTCGATCTAGTGCAGAGGCCGAGTATCGTGCTATGGCTAATGTTACAAGTAAACTTCAATGGGTTCGTATGTTGTTGACTGAGATTCGACTACCTATGACTGGATCATCTACTCTTCATTGTGATAATCAATCTGCTGTTCACATTGCTAGCAATCCAGTGTTTCATGAACGAACAAAGCATATAGAGATTGATTGTCACTTTGTTTGGGAAAAGGTGAATTGTGGTGATATACGGTTGGTGCACACACGATCTGAGGAACAACTAGCAGACATTTTCACCAAACCTCTTCGACATGAACGAGTTTCATACATTTGCCATAAGTTAAGCCTTTTTGATATGTACTCCCCAACTTGAGGGGAGTGTTGGGTTTATTATTTGTTATAATGTTAACAAGTTGGGTTATTTCTGTAATTGTGCTAGGCTTAAGGTTAAGCCTATATATATACTTCTTGTGTTTTCTTTGTAACTTAACAAAAATAGAAGAGAGAGAAAGCCAACTTTTTCCACACCTACCAAAGCTATTTCATCGACTACTTTTGAGTTATGGACTGAAAGTAAATCTAGCTTAAATCATCTTTAAGGTTTGGGGATGCCCTGCAGAAGTGATTTTATATAATCCAATATTAAGTAAGTTGAACTCCAGAACAGCTCGGTGTTACTTTGTATCTTACCCAGATCATCCGAATGGATATCGGTTTTATAATCCCAATGAAAGCACAAGAATTGTGAAATCACAGACAGCGAAATTTCTGGAGTTTGATGTGGCCGAAGAGGGTAGTTGCTCACGGATTATTGAGGATAACCATACGGTGAGAACCACTGTCTTTTTCTCTATACAGACGATTATGGAGCCTCCTATACCATAGACTGAGCTTGTCAAGGTCGAGGATCTTGTTGTTGAGGCAGCTCTTGATGAAGTTTCTCAAGCCTCTCAAGTGCAAGATGAGGTTGCAGTAACTTCACTCAGGAGATCCATCGAGTAGAGACGATCAACTATACCACTAGATTATATAGTCTATTTGGAAGAGCATGACTACGATATCGGCTATGTGGTTAATACAGTGACTTATGCGGATGTTGTTTTTTGTCCTCAATCAGATATGTGGTTGGATGTGTTGAAAGACGAGATACAATCTATGAAACATAATGGTATTTGGGAGCTTGTTGAATTACCTGAAGGTTACAAGCTTGTCAGGTGCAAATGGGTGTATAAGACTAAAAGGGACTCCAAAGGACAAATTGAGAAGTTTAAAGCCAGATGGGTAACCAAGGGTTTCACTCAAAGAGAATAGACTATGAAGCAACATTTTTCCCAGTCTCTTCTAAATTTTTTTCAGAGATAATGACATTCGTAGCTCATTTTAATATGGAGTTAAACCATATGAATGTTAAAACTGCATTTTTGAACGGAGACCTTGATTAGGAGGTCTATATGGTGCAACCCAAAGGCTTTGTAGTAGATGTTTCAGCTAAGCTTGTGTGTAGACAGAAAAAGTCAATTTATGACCTCAAGCAAGCTTTTAGACAATGGTACTTGAAGTTTCATAGTGTTGTCACTTCATTCGGTTTTGTTGAGAACAAGGTGGATTTGTGTATATACTGCAAGATTCATGAGAGGAAATTTATTTTTCTTGTACTCTATGTAGACAATATTTTGCTCGCGAGCAGTGATCTTGGATTACTGCATGAGACAAAGCGGATGTTGTCGAAAAATTTTGACATGATGGACCTTGGTGAGGCATCTTTTGTTCTTGGCATTGAGATCCATAGGGATTATTCTCGCCGTATATTGGGTTTGTCTTGGAGGGCATACATTGATTGTGTTTTGGAACGATTCCGTATGTAGCATTATAAGCTAGGATTTGCTCCTGTCATTAATGGTGATAAACTGAATCTGTCGCAGTGTCCTCATTCAGATATTGAGAAAGTCCAAATGAAGGATGTGCCTTATGCTAGTGCACTTGGAAGTATTATGTATGCTCAAGTTTGCACCAAACCAAACATTATTTTTGCAATAGGATTTTTAGGCAGATATCGATCAAATCCAAGACACGATCATTGGGTTGCTATCAAGAAGATTTTGTGGTACTTAAAGAGGACAAGAGACTATGTGCTGATTTACAGACATATTCAGGACTTGCAGCTAATAGGGTATTCGGATATAGACTTTGTTGGCTTTCATGATGACATGAAGTCGACAACATGGTACATATTTATGTTAGCAAGATGTGAGGTATCATGGAAATGCGAGAAACATAAATCTATATTATCCTCTACCATGCAAGTGGAGTTTGTAGCGTGCTTTTCAGCCTCTATTCAGGCTATTTGGCTCCAGAACCTCATTAGGGAGTTGATCGTATTTGATTTTTTGAATAGGCCTATACAGTTGTATTGCGACAATAACTCTGCAGTGTTGTTTATCAACAACAACAGAGGTCTCAAGGGATCTAAGCATTTGACGATCAAGTTTTTGACCATAAAGGAAACAGTTCAGAATGGTAACATTGCAGTAGAACATATTTCTATAGATGATATTGTTGCAGATCCACTAACTAAAAGTCTTCGGCCTTGTATGTTTGAACGATATTTCATTAGCACGGGCTTAGAAGTATCATGAGATGCTGTTGTTTAGTATGAGCTGTTTTGTTTTTACTCTAATAAAGTTTACATCTGTGTTTGTTACATTTTGTCATATTTTGATATGTATCATTTCTTTTGCATTCAATAAAGTATTTATGAATGTATTGTTATCATATTGAATACATATATCCTTGAAATTGCTCCTTATATTAACTACCCTTGAGAATGCATTCGGAGGAGCTGAATGATAATCCTTTAACAATCCACGGAGCAAGGAAGTATATTTATATGAGATAGTTTTCTGTTTTTAACTAATCTATTGAGCCTCTGGAATGCTGTTGACTAATTTTGTGGAGCAATATGATTTGTTAGATTTAGTATAAAAATAGTTAAGTAGGACATTAAATCTGTCAATTGTTATATCTTATTACGTTCACTTTTACAGATGAACTTGCGGAGCTACTTTCTAGTGATATGCAAAAGGAAGGTCTTCATGGCCCGATATTAACTCTTAAACTTAAAACTTCATCTTTTGAGGTACTTTCTGTGCTTGACTGGCTTTTCTTTATCTCAATGGCCATATATGTTAGAGACTCCAACCCAAAAATTTAAACTATTGAGTGGAAAGAGAGTACATGAATACAAGGTCGTTATAAGCTCTTTAGACAATTTATATAGGATACTAACAACACACACTATGCATTTCCCAGACATGAAATCGTTTTGTCACTATCACGGAATGCTGATATGTTAACTTTCTCTGAATGTGAATCATATAGACCTTTTGCTCACAATATGCTTAGCTTTTATTCTCTTTGTGCTCCTTTATTCACCTAAAAATGTCTCCAGGTTCGAACCAGAGCTTTAACTCTGCAGAAGTACATATCCTCAAGGGACGATATCTATAAATATGCATCAAAGCTTCTGAAGGCTGAACTACCCATATCTTTAAGACTGATAGGTAGTTTAACTTATGTTCATGATCTTCTTCCTTTAAATTACTCAAAAGTCTTAGCATGCGTATATATCAGTGGATCTATCAATCTATTTTTGTAAGATTAAGGCATCGTTTGATTAAACTGAAAATGCATAGCTGGGTTTTAATTATTGAGGACTATAATTTCTGATAATATAAACAGAAATATGCATGTTGTCATCTTTGTAAGCACTGACGTTGGTAGTAATATTCAGTATGTGTCAACCTTTTCAGGACTTAGGGTGTCTCGGTTTAAAGAAGATAAAAGGTGGGCGCTCCATCTGATCCAGCACAGAAAACACTCCTGAGCTTCATGTGGGCGGATGCTACTGGAAATTTCACTAGGGGACAGAGCTCATTGCGATCAGAAACTGGCAATCCTCTCTTCATGAATGACTTGGGACTCGATATTTCTGCAGAGGCTCACGAGATGATTGAGCATGAATATGATAGTAATGGTTCTATGAAGAGTGCGCACCAATGGACTGACGATCAAGATATTACCTTTCCTCTCATTGTTTATCAGATACCGTAGTCTGTCGTTAAACTTCATCTCTTCTCAGGTCGGCGCAGAAGCATGCTGGAAGCGGAAATAAACACATAAGAAGCGCAAGTCGTCGCGCCTTCAGACGGACATCTTCCGATAGGTGTGTTCTTTGAGAAGATTAATCAGAAACCCTAGAGATCGTTCTTTTTGCACTTTGATTCTTCTTCTATGTATAGTTTTCTTTGCTAAAGCTGGGACCAATTATCTGAAGATATGTTAGATATGTACCATCCCCTCCTAGGAAACAGTTGGGTGTAAGTTGTATATGGACCATCGGGGTTGATATTTCCTAGTACCAATATCATTGGCTTTCTTCGCCCTCAACTATCTTGTATTAAATACTGATGTTGTCATATCAAATAATTACTTCAATAGTAATTCCACCCAATATTTTTCTTTACTTCTAAAAAAGAATAATTTCAAAAAAAAATTTGTAAAAGTTATTTTTAGATTTTTAAAAAGGCTCATGCTGTTTTCGCCATTTAAACAGCTTTAAACACACACCTTGAAATTTGAATGGTCCAAACTATCCTTCACGGGAGCTCCATTGATAGTAAGATCGATGAAATAGGAAAAATATACATTTAATGTAGATCAATTAATCTAATAAGTTATATCAACCTTTCTCAAACCGTTGTTTCTTCATCTCTTGTAAATAAATCGGAGAAGTTTATACGTCTGTTGCTTTTTTATGAGGATCGTCTAAGATTTTACATAAATGTTAGTTTAGATTTTAAAAAAGGCTCACGCTGATTCCACCTCTTAAATAAGTTTAAAGACACACCACAAAATATAAATGGTCCAAAGTAGCCCTAATTGAGAGTTCATTAATTGTAAGATTGACGAAATAGGGAAATTATACTATTAATGTCGTCCAATTAATCTGATAATTCTCATCAACATTTTCCCAATTTGTTGTTTCTTCTTCTTTTGTATTCAAATCAAATAAGTTTATACGTTCACGAGGATCATCTAAGATTTGCGTATCATTATAAATTCGATGATCGGATTCTAATTTAAAAGAACATTTATAAAGTACATTTATTTAAAATGTCCTTCTAAAGTTCAATCTAAAATAGCACCTTGCAATATTCGATTCTTTAAGCTCAAGTGGTTTTTTTTTAGTGAAATTCTTTGGGTAAAAAACAAACGGCGAAAAAGGCAAAGGATCCGACGGCCAGCATCGCATCTCTCTATCATCCGGGCATCCCAGAATCCGAAACCAGGCACCGTTTTCCACATTATTTACAGGAATGCCCTTCCCATCTCCTCTTCTAATCCTCCCCCCCCCCGGTGGGATAGAGAAAGCCACATCGCCCTAGCGAGCCGGCGAAGAAGGCAAAAGAGAAGAGGATGTCTCGGCGGGAAGGCCGCGAGCCCGACTCCAGGCGACGCCGTTCCAGGTTCGACAGAGAGCCCAGGTACCCCCTCTCTCTCGCTCGCCGACGCTCGCGTTCGTGGGACGTTGTTGGTGCTGATCGAATGCGGGCAAGAAATGGTGGGACGACTGCTTTTTCTTGGTGTGAAAGTTGGGTGTTCTGGGTGTGTGTGTGTGTTATTGGGTTGGGGTTGGAATGTGATTATAATCATGGGTCTGTCGGGGGGGTTTCGGGTTTCTTGGATGAGACGCCGCTGCCTGCTTGATGGGTCGCCTCTTGAGGGAAAAAGAAAACCCGCCCCGGCCCGGCGGGTTCGGTCGATGCTCCTCGTGCGAGTTGTTGTGGTGGGAATTTGTGGGAATGACTGCTTTCTTGGTGTTTTTGTCGGAGAACGAGGTGTTTTGGGTGTGTGGTATTAATATTGCCGAAGCTGAGCATGCTCGTTCTTGTGGGTTGGAGCTGGAATGTGATTATAATCATGGGTCTCTCGGGGGGGTTCGGGTTTGGTGGATGAGACGCAGCTGCCTGCTTGATGGGTCGCCTCTTTAGGGGGAAAGAAAACCCGCCCTGGCCGGCGGCTTCGGTCGATGCTCCTCTCGCCCGTTGTTGTGGTGGGAATTGTGGGAGCTCCGGTGGGTGTGTTTGTGTGAGGATGCAGTAGCCTAGTTTTGTGTTTGTGTGAGGAGTTAAGCTGGTGACTGGAGGTGTCGGGTGGTTCCTGTCGTGTCATTGATGAAGCGGTGTGCGCTCGAGTTCTTTGTGTTATGTATCTTCCTTCTCAAATGGTTTCGCGGGCGTTTGACGGTTGCATGCGTTTTTTGATGTGGGTTGGAAAAGAAGAGCACGGAATTTGTTGGTTTTTTGGACAACGGAATAGTTTCTTGCCCGGGGAGAATGTGAATCCACTTGGTGCACGTACACTTGTTTTAGGTTATTTTTGTTTTAGCGTCCTAGATTCTTGTTGAGGGATCATTTAATTTCTTAGTACAATTTTTTTCCCTGAGCAAGACTGACTGGGGCATTGTACTTGGTGGATGATCCATCTATTTCGTTTTGCATCTGTGTTTTGGAATTAAAATCTGATGGGGCCCTCTTGTTTTCATTTCTAACGTTTAATTGTTGGGTTCCTAGTCCCAAGAGGTCTAGGATGGATGGAAAACCTGAAGCAGAGAGAGTCCCGGGCAACACTGATCCTGGAGAGCGGGATGGAAAGCATGGTCGCCAACTGCTTGGCACATCATCACTTGAGGCACCCTCACGTTTTGACTCTAAAGCAGGGACTGTAGCTGAGGGTAAAGACTCTGAAAAGAAGGCCTTCGGAACAAATTCCGATGGAAGGAAGCATTCTTCTGATCTTACTGAAGTGCCTCGGTCAAGATCTTATTTCCAGGTTTTACTGGTTTACTTGAATCTAATGCTGTCAAATGATGAACAACGATGAGCAGAATTACATCAGTCTTTTTACTACCTTTGTTATAATAACTGATCACTGTTAGCGTTGAACCATTTAGAATACCTGCAGGTCGAGGTAGAACTGGTGGGTTCAAAATTGTCTTATCAAAAATCAATTTTAGGTTTCTTTGGTTCTAGGTATTTTATTGAATCTCCACTAGCCAAAGGCAGAGGAACACCCGCATATGAAAAAATTAAAAAGTCTTATGTGTTATATAAGGCTTTTTTTATTGTGGCATATGAACCATAAATTTGTAGTTTTTTCACCTTGTTTTCCATGCAATGCCTGAAGCAATTGGTGTGGGTTAAGTTGTAACCTACCGATGCAATAGTCAAGTTCTTTTTTGGATATGGAGATTGAAGTTGCAAAAATTGATGATGAATGTTGAAGTTGCAGCAATAGAAGATTATCACATAAAAGATTAGCAAACTAAAGATCTAAATGCTTTTCTACAGTTAAGATGTGGCTATTTTCATATATGATCATTTTAGCCTTTCAAGTAAAATGGAGCGAATTCTATCCTGGCATATTTAGTCTAAAAATAGAAGCAGAGTGGATTAGCCTTACCTTTTTGTTGCATAGAAGAATATGGACTCTCTCCTTTTTGTTGCATAGAAGAATCTCTCTCTCTCTCTCTCTCTCTCTCTCTCTCTCTCTCTCTACATCTGCTAACATGGGGTGAGAGATGCTTTACCATTGTCATAAGCTTGGTTTCTAGAACATTTCCATATTCCTGATTGTATAGATGCTCTGCAATCACCAGTGATTATTGAGTTTGGTTGTTGGTTATTCAGTGCACCCAAAACTTTTGTCTGGGGGTGATGTTGCTGTGGATTTTGTTCAAAGCCTGTGCCTTGCAGGGCCTCCCTGTGTGTAACCATTTTAGGCTTGCCTGTGCATGTCTTATAACAGCACGATGAACGTGGTAGTGCCAGGCAAGGTGGTCGCAGCTCTGGTCATAGAGCCCCTACTGGTAAGTCTTCTTGCTTCTTCTCTTCTCTCTGTTTAGTAATCTTCACTGAAGACGGAAGTGATTGTCTGTGAATTGGATTCAAAGTTTTGTATTTGCATATATTTTTGTTTAACTCAATTTCTTTAATTAAGTTATGTTACCGTCCTTATAAAAGATGTGCAAGATTATCAGTTAGTAGATTTTCCTCGGATGATGTTAGGGACAAGGTTGCATTGTTGCTTGATCTCTGGACCAGTCTGTAGGTTTGGTGTTGGTGGGTTCGGAAGTTTATATTTTGGAGTTTGTTTTTTTATTGAAACTGTTCTGGAGAGACTATTTTGTTTGTTAGGCAAGCAATTCTGTTGATATCTGATGCTGCATAGAGCAATTTCTTTTGTCTTTTTGGTTTGGTTTGGTTTTAGTTTTCTGTTTTTTTTTTCCTTTTAAAAAAGATTTTATTTTTTTTGGGGGGGAGAGGGGGTGGGAGTTGCTTGGGAAGGGAGGGAAGAAGATGGTTGGGCGTAGAAAGGGGTAGTCAGAGTGGATTCCTACGGTACTAAATTTGTACATTTTTAATTTGTGGAGTCTTTTTCTCTGATTGTTTTCTCACATTGTGCGTGGTATCAGTTTTTTCAAGATCGACTGTGCTTGTGGATTATATTTTGAGGTTGTTTCCGCTGACCGTGCTCTCACTTGGCAATTTTCTTAATAGAGCGAGGATGGTGGAAAGATTCAAAGGACCAAGGTACTGGAAGGGCAACCAACAAGACAGCAACTGTGGATGTGAAGCAAAGAGAGGAGAATCCACGTAAAGGAGATGACCGCAGCGCTTGGCGCCACGATGGGTACTTTGAGATGGAGGCTAACCAAGCTCCGCTAGCTGCTCGTAAGAGACCTGCATTCAGAGAGCAAAAGATTCCAGCAGACATTAATGCTGATAAAGTGACTGATGAGGCTGTAAAGCCTAGCCATACTGCGTTAGATGGTGAAAGAAATGAGGAACGAAGGCGTTACCTCCACAATTCGGAAAGATCTGGAAAAACTGATTTCCGTGATAGAGCACGGCCTTACAGGAGAGAGGATCAGAGGGGTGGTGGGTTTATATCAAGAGAGAGATACAGTGGCGGTGGCGGTGGCGGTGGCAACAGGTATAATAGAGGAAGAGAATCTTTTACGGATAGACAAACTTACCGCCCTGGTGGTGCTCGAATAGAGAAGTGGACGCATGATTTATATGACGAGACTAACAAGAGTCCATCCCCAAAGAATGAAGATGATCGCTTGGCCAAGATAGAAGCTCTCTTGGCTTCATAAGCATGTGCACAAGTGTAAAATGGCATTTTTTGTTTTTTGGTGTTCAGGTAGAAACATCAGTTTATTACAACATAATCTCTCCCAGTTCATGACATTTAGGTCTTGATTGGCTGCTGTTTTTCTTAATTAAGTTTGATTGTAGCGCTGCAAAAGAAATCCTGATTGGGTTGGACCGACTTTTCTGCTTTCTTACATGAGAGAATTTTGTGAATGCTCTTCATCTCCAATTTTAGTTCCAAGTTTTCTTGTGCTCTTGTACCACTAGGATGCCAAATTAGACACAAATTGGTTATTTTTCTATGGCAAGAGATGAAACTCTGCAGCACTGGGACTCGTATCAAATTTTGACAAGTTTAATATTTTATCGAGGAATTTGCTATTCCCGGCAATATCCGGCCGATGAAACTCATTTTATTGGAAAGTTAAAAGATTATCCTTTGGCCTTGGAGATTCCCTTGCTTGCCGGAGGGAAATTTGGACACGAACCTATAGTGAAGCGCCGCATGGATCGACTTGTTGCATCTTGTTCCTCATATTTGTTTTCCTGTTGTTGCCGTAATTCCCATTCACGTTTGTTTTTTGAGCTCCCCGTTTCTGCTTCGCCGGCCATGGACTCATTGCGCTATGCTGCCGTGTCACGAATAAGTATTTGTGCTATAGCCAAGCTCGACTGCTATGCAAACCCAGATGCCTAAATATCAAAACTTGTCGAGTTTGACAGAACTAGTAAGTACTAGTGCATGTTATGATGAAAGTAAAAAGGAGTTACGTGAGCAAGTTTGAACTCAGGAGGCACGCGAGCAATCCAATTGGTTGGATGCAGATAAGCATTTCACTGCAATAATTGCTTCACGGCACGCCAAAATGCAATACATCTCTTCTTTCTTTTTTGTTGGATTGGTAGATGAATTTCAATTTAGGGAAGAGAGAATACCCAGATCCACGTACTTGTTAATTGGAAAGTCTTGATCTTGGATGGAAAAATTGCATACAAACAAACAAATTGCCTTTACAATTACATTTTGACAATTGCAAATATTGCTAGACAAAGCATTTAAGTCGTTGAATGGCAAGTCCTTATGCCGCTCATACCTTATTCCCTATGCATCTCAAACTACAAAGAACAGGTGATAAAAACAACACAAAACACCCAATCTCTTCAACTTCTCAGCTCTCCTGGTTCTTCTCCTTTCACCGCCGATGGCGAAGAGTCGAGAAACCGGCGCTCACATCCTTGTGGATCTGGGGATAATATGAACTGGCAACGTTTGAGCCATTTGCAGCTGTTGCAGTAGAGGCCATAGAACCTTTATTCATGGTGTGAGACCGGGCCAACTCGACCCCGCTTCGCTGCTCCATGAACTCGGCAGCAGGCGGCTGCGGCAACTCCGACTGGGTTCGCCGGTGAGCCGAGCCGTCGAGAGAGTCGCCTCCCGCGAGAAGATGGTAGCTCCTGGTCGAGCCATCAGACAGGCACCTATAGCTGTTGTACAGCCTTTGTTTCCTTATGCTGCGGATGACATATGGGATCAAACCTTCCATAGTTCTTCTTCTGCTGCTTCTTCTTCTTGTAAAGATTCTTCTTGAATATGTGGAGGTGGGTGTGTTGCTTGGTGTTGATTTTGTGAATGGCCAAGAAAGTGACTTGGTAGGCATGTATTTATATAGCGGGGGATTGAAGGTTGAATGACAGCTTGATCCCATAACTTAGTTCTTTTGGATTTTGCCAGCGAGTTGTCAAAATGGGAAGCCAACTTTGAAGTCATGTTCAAACGAAACATTTAACCACGTGGGAAGCCTGTCAGATTTTCCCTTTGATTACAAGAACTTCAATTGTCATGTTCTTGACCCGTTAAGGATAAAATTAATTCAGATGAGGACAACGTCATTAGGTCTTCTTATGCTTATCATCCTTTCAACAAGTGGGCAATTTCTTAGAGAATAACCTTCTTAATTAGCTAGGAAGTGGATAGACATTAGCATGTCATGTGAGCATCATTTCGAGTATTTCTTAGTGCTTCCAAATGATGAGGTTGGCTTTTCTGTAAATTGGACAACTTAGTCCTAAAACATTTTAACGTTATGCCGATGTAGTCATTCCGGTTATTTTTTGTTGGGAATTGCTAACGTGGATGTCGGCACGACCGGTGCCAACATGGACATTTTTTTGGATTTCTTTGAAATTCTCCTTCTTAAAAAATGGAAAAAAAGAAATGATATAGAAAAAAAATTAAAAAATGTTCACGTAATAGATTTGATATATATATTGTAATTATGTCGCTGTTTATGCTTATGAATCATGATGATTCCTGTGGTCGCAAGCTGTGGAAATTTTATTTTATGTATTGTGGGGACGACTTTCGAGGATAATTTCAAAGATGTCACCAAGCTTGACTTTTCCATTCCAATCGATTCCGTGTTTTTTGAGTCCGCTGAATTTCCACATCCTCTTTATCCAAGCCGGCGGATCTCCGCACGCCCTAGAGCCTGAGCAGGTACATTTAGGTAGGGCTGGCTAGGGCAAGGCGGACATAAGGAAATTTTATCGAAAAAGTCTTAAATATATTGTAATTGTGCTGAATTTAATCTTAAATTTTTTAATTATGTAAATTTAATCTTAAATCTTTTTACATTTTGCCAACTGAGTTCACCGGCTGCAGGCGAGGGCGCGAAGCCTTGGGAGCGAGGTGACGCTCGCCCAAATTTGGTTAAGGCATTTGCAGCTGGCGAGGGCATTACCTAGATCTGGAGAGGAGCCTTCCCGCCCTTGGCGAAGGCTTCACCCAAGGCCATCATGACCCTCACCTAGATCTAGCGAGGGCCTGAGCGAGGGCATGACCTTCGCCAGCGGCCGGCAAGGGCCTTGTGCAAGGACATTGCAGCTAGCGAGGGCATTACCCAGATCTGGAGAGAGGCCTTCCCGCCGTTGGCCAAGGCTTCACCTAGGGCCATCATGACCCTCGCCCAGATCTAGCGAGGGTATGACCCTTGCCAATGGCTGGCGAGGGCTTGTAGGCCCTCACTGGCCACAATGAAAGGCAAAAAAAGAATACAAAATTCAATTTTTTTTAAAAAATATTGTAAATTATCCACTTCAGTACGTGCCACATAGGATGGCTTGCGTCCACATCAGCAATTTTTAGTTAAAATTGGCCAGAATGACTCAATTGACAAATTATGAAAATGTTAAGGACTAAATTGGCACAATTGAAAAGTTTAAGACTGAATTATCACAAATGCAATATGTTTATGACTATTTTGATACTTTTCTCGGTAGCCATTTGTGTCGGTATAATTTCAATCGTGTTTATAAATCTTGTCAATTGTAACTAGAATATAACGAATCATAATCATTTTACTTAGCTTAGTCAGACGAGTTTTACGAAGAAAACGTGTTAATTCATATATCTTTTTTCAAATTTCACGTTCTCTATCCCTTGTCTAGTATTCTCAATCCTAACATGATTGGGACTTTTGACCCACACTTCTGTTTCTAATTTGTGGTTTTTAGTTTTGAATCTATCTCTGGAATGGGGGAAAAAATCAATTTGCAATGCCTGTGGATTGAGGCAAATTAAAGCAAATTTTAGTCAACTAATGGATATTGACAAAATTTGGGTAGGGGGAACATTGACATTTTTTGCTTGATTTCAGGAGATGAATTGACACTTTTCCTGATTTAGAAGTTAAATGTGAAATCACTGTGATCAATTATAAGAACAATGCAGGAAACTTGGAAAATCCATTCATGATGCTTGGTGACCACCAGTCATACTCATGAAGCCAATTGAGCTAGGTGATGAATTTCTCAAGTACATGAAATCATGCCTTGAATAAATGTAATTTAAGTGAAATCCATGCTTGAATTTATATACTCGCGAAGCCAATTAAGTTGGATGATGATAGTCGGATCACTTAGCAGGTGAAAGGGACACGGTTTTTCAATCATATACGATAAGATAGTGTTTTCAACATACTATGAATTAAACAGGAAATTTCAGAAACACCGAACGAATAATTACAACGGAAACTCATGAAATTTCGGGAAAATTAGATAATTACCAAAAGCTAATGTACAGAGCATGACCATACATAAGAGCAACCTGATAATAACATAACTAATTCCTCCCTCCCTCCGTATTTCTTGATTAGCTAGCTAATCCAGAACAGCACCGGCCGTCTCCGGTCAAAAAAGATGTAGCACCAAATTGATCAAATTAAAAAAATTTAGAATTAAATTAACATCTATATAATAAATTTATAATTTTTTTTCGTGATTATCCCGCTTTTTATGCTTCTGAATCGTGATGATTCCTGTGGTCGCAAGCCTTCATGGTTTTATATCTGTGGGGCGACTTTGTGATAATGTCAAAGATGTCGGCAAATTTGACTTTTTCATCCCAATGTTTTTTTTTTTGGTCGGCCATCCGATTTTTTATTTTTTTTTTGGTCAAAGCCCATCCAAATTGATTGCGTGTGTTTTGGGTCCGCTGAATTCGGCTCCTCTTTATCCAAGCCGCCGGATCTCCGCACCCCAAGAGCCTGCCGAGCAGGTACATTTAGGCAGGGGCAGGTTAGGGTAAGGTGGCACTTCCCTATCAATATGGTTCAATCGTGTTTGTAAATCCTGTCAATTGTAGTTCCCGCTCCGTCTGCAAGAATCGATCCGTTGCCATGCCATCCTATTAGGAATAACCGTCCCGCCCTGTCTTCAAAGAATCGATCCGTTACTGCACGATCCGATTGGGAATAAACAACCCTCACGTCCCTGATCAATTCGTAATTGGTCCATTGTCTAGTGTTCCTAGTCCCAACATGATCGGGAGATTTTTCCCGGACCTCGATGTCTAATTTCTGGTTTCAACTTGAAAAGCTATCTTCTGAAAGGGGACAATATCAAATTTGCTCCCACAAACAAATTAGTGTTACTTAACCCACTAAACCAAATAAAATTATACTTCAATTAACTCTAGTTTAAAAAAAAAAGGATTAATATCACGAAAAACTCAAAACTGGTACACTTGTGACAAATTTATCCCAAACTAATTTTTTGACCACCAAAAACCCCAAACCGATACACTTGTGACCAATTTACCTTCTGTTAAATTGGATTACTATCACGAAAAATTACAAACTGGTACACCTGTGACAAACGGAAGATAAAACCCGAAACTGGTACACGCGTTAACTGTCACGTGTCATCCAACCCATAAATTTGATGGTAAAATTTAATAGAAATTAGCGGAGAGTAAAATTGTCACGGACATACCAGTTTGGGACTTTTGGTGGTCAAAAAATTAATTTATTGTAAATTTGTCATATATATATTAATTTGAGGTTTTTCGTGATATTAAACAAAAAAAATTAACTGTCACAACCAGAAACCTAAAATGCACGCGAGGGTGCGATAGAGATGTATTTTTGCAATGCTTGCGGATTGAGGTCCATTAAAGCAATTTCAGTTGACTTTTGGACATTGGCAAAATTTATTTAGGAGGGACATTGACCCTTTTTCCTGATTTAGAAGTAAATGTGATCGATTATAAGAACAATTGAGCTGGGTGATGAATTTCTTAAGTACATGGAATCATGTCGTGAATGAAATATCATGTACTTGTAATCATGCTTCAGCTTTAAATAATCGCAAAGCCAATTAAGTCGGGTGATGAACTGAACCACGCTAAAATTACCTTACAATCAATCTCAAAAGTCGGATATCACGGTTTTTCAATCGTATACGATAAGATAGTGTCGTCGACAGACTATGAATTAAACAGGAAATTACGGAAACATTCAACGAATAATTAATGCAGAAACCTATGAAATTTTCAGAAACATTAGATAATTACCAAAAGCTACCTTACACAGAGCATGGCTGTACATAAGAGCAACCTGATGCTAACATAATTGATCCCTGCCTCCTGTATTTCTTGATTAGCTAAGCTAATCCAGGACATATAAACAGCAAGTCAAAATGAGCAGTAGTCTTTCAAGACCTGTCTTGCAAGATCAGAGGCTCCGCTCTTCTTGTAGATCAGATGCAAGTTGTAAGCAGCTTCTCTCCGAAGATCACAAGAAATAGGCTTCGCGTTTTCCGCATGGAACCGATTCTCGTACGGGAGTTTCGGGAGAGGACAGTCTTTTTCTCGTGTGGCGAGCACCTTCTCATAATACGAAGCCGCAAGCGTTACTAGCCCGACTTGATGAAATGCCCGCGCAATGTTGTACAATGCTTCCTGGACAAACAGATAAGAGTTGCCCGCACTTTGAGTTGCCATTCCGAAACTAAAATTTGACTAATCAGAAATATGTCTATAAAAGAGGAATAATTTGCAGCGGACTATCTAGCAAAATCATGTGAGAGAGTAAGAAAACGAGCAATCTCAAGAGACGGGTAACGAAGGAAGGTCCGTAAAGGTTCCACCACATCTTTGCCTTACGGACTGTCCTTCCTTCTGTTTGTCAGCATCTCATTGTGAACCCTTTTTACGTATTTGCTTCAGAATTTTAAGCTGAATTTAATTTGATACTTATGATTAACAACTCCTGACCCTAATAGAAATGCGCTCAAGATAACTTTCCGATCAAATTCTCAGCTAAATAAGAGCACAAGCACCGGAACTTGGAATGACACACATCATCCTTCCCTCCAAGAAATATTCAGTGGAGAGATGGAAATCTTAAAAGTACCTTAAACATAGTTTGGCAGGAGGGATTAGGAAGGAAGAGAAAGGACCCAAAAAACATAATCCGGTTTTGATGGAGGGGAAAAGAATGAGAGAAAGGATTAGGAGAGATTTTGAGGGATATGTAAAAGTCATCTTTATACACATCTCAAGTCCTTCCAAATCTGTCCAAAGTTGCTAGCATCTAAACAAAATTATGAATCAATCATTTTCGAATCAGTTCTCTTCTTTTCTCTCAGTCATTTGAATCCCTTCTTTTCTTTTTTATATCACCCCTACCAAACATACGGTAAAGCTACTATCTATTACCAAGTTAAACTGATTGAAAAATTTTAACGTATTGGAAGGAGTCGGTGGCCCGAACCAGAACATGCCTCATATTTTATTTTCATGCACAATTCATCTTTAAAAAAAATTATCTGAACATAATCTGCTGTCGACTCTTGATGCAGGTTATATGAATCAACAAGTAACAAAAAGGGACTTGATCATTAAAAGAAAAAAAAAAACCAAATATCTAAGGATGAAAATAGTAAAGAAAACCTGGCTATTTTCACTCTGCGGCAAGTTCTTGAATAGAAATGCCAACCCTTGCGTAATACATTGATGCTTGTTTTGAAGTCTGAAACCAAGCGCCAAGTTAATCAGAGAAGTTCCTGCACAAGGAAAAGGATTGAATGTTGCATGACTGACAAAGCATCGAGCGAAAAAAATTTGACAACCTACAAAATAAAAAGAAAGACAATCTGTAATAACAAGTTACCAACACAGAGCTTGATTAAGGGACTGTCAGGGAGCAGCTTATAGGCCTTTAGGTATTCCCTTGCAGCATCTTGGTAGTGGCTACTAATTGTAAACTGATGCCCAGTAATGAGAATAGGTGGTACACAATCCGCATGTTTGACACGCAAATTACGCAAAAACTTCGAATATTTTTTATAGTCTTTCTCCATGCTGCAAGATAGAAGTTTATTAAAAAATTTGATGTATACTAATCCAAATATAAACCAAAAAGAACAAATATTGTCAAAAACATTGATTAACGCCCTTCTTTAACTTAGTGCATCTATGGTCCCACGGCATATGCTGACAGCAAATAGTGCAAAGGTGTGGTAATAGTTGAGATCACGAAGTAGCTCTTCGCTACTAGTACAAGAAATCAGTGACATTGACACTAAAGAGGTTGAAGTCAGGTCACTAGTTGAGTTGAAGATGCAAATGATGTCTCTGCAAAAGGATATACTCCAGGTGGATGAAACTTCAAGAATTTCGAAATCCCAATTTTACTCGTCAGGTAGACAACAAAAGAATATCTTTTCATGGAACAGAAAACCACCAGGAAACCAAATCACGCATGATAAAAAGAGCTGGTGTGCAAAGGTTAGCAAGGTAGAAAGATGAGGAATGTCACAAAGGACTTCTACTATTCTTTGCATGAGAAGTCTGAGGGACGGACTGGAGACCCCCACTTCCCTCCTGCTTTTTGGTTGCAGACAGACGCAGAAAGAAGAACTTTGCCATAACAGATAAAGGAGCTTTCTTGGTTTCGTTAGCCTTTTGATAAGGAGTAATAGGCGCATGAGAATGGATGGGTTGTGAATAGGCTCTTCTCTCTGCGACATTTAATCTATTCAGCGTGTTCCTAGGTGAACTTCCCATCTATATATTTATGTTTTGTCCTGACACTCTGTACAAATGATGGATCTGGATGATCAAGATAAGCACAAAAACACATTGAACATCCATTTTTTGGTCTGCATTAGAGACTAGTGCAACTTAAATACAGCAATGTTTAAAAAAGACAAATCTAACATGATCAACATAGTTTGACAAGTTTCCATGAACTTGCATAAGGGTGTTGAGGGGGGCAAAAGAGAATAGTTCGATTAGAACAAACTCGAACAAATCCAAATTAAAAAACTCCGCTTCATTAGTCTGTGTTTGGTTTGCGTTTTTCGGTGCAAAGGAAACCAATGAAGTTGGTATAGTTTCATTTTTTGACCTTTTCTTAAATTAAAACCAAACTAACGAACCAAGATATGTGTTATTTGCATTTTCAAGAAGTCTAAAGTACACGACACAGAATAAATTCATATGAACTAACATTTTATTTTGAATGAAGAAAAAGTTTTAATAAAGAATATTTTGAACTTTTTGATGGGGGTAAAAGATTACTAGCAGGGATACAGCAGTCCTCATAATCCATATATTAAGTCTCTTTAAATATAATAAAAATAAAAAAAGGTATTGAATAAATGGTTCAGACCAAAACGAAATTGAGTTATTGGGTTGTATAGTGTTTAGATGTTTCAAATTGGCTTAGTTTCTAAAAGAAAACAGAAATAAAGTCCCTAGCAGGCATTGGGGTCTGAATTACCACAAATTTGAGCAACATGGGGTGAAGTAGTGCATTTATCCACAATCCACTCCTTGTTTCATTTTTTGGTAAGAGCTCTTATCCAATCAAATTTAATCTAAGAGAATTTTCTCTGACTAGAATATTTACCTCAAGGACTTCAATAAAAAAACAGTTCTGCGCTCGACATAGAAATTAGGAAAACTGCTCCCTAATTATTTGTAGATATCAACAATAGTGAGTGAGTCAACTCAATTTGTGGGAAATGTTCATGCCTGTTGAAGATACCGAAGCACGCATAAAACAGGTCCATTCACAACATCTATTTTTCGATTTTTAAGCAATGATAGGGAAGCTTCATTAGGTGCAAACAGGACTGGCAAACCGATAAATTTAAAGAATAGAGCTCATACTAAGAAAAGTTTGCTCAAGCACAAAGAGAATTAGGAATGTCCAATAGCAGGTACGAATTCGTTTTCCCACTAACCTCTAACTCAAATTTCGTTTCCACTTGGAAAGCTATGAGATTGTTTGCCGAGAAGTTCTTATGCAAATCTTATTTGTTCACTAACAATCTATTTAATCCACAGTAAGGTACAATATTGAAACAGAATCTTCAATAGAATTATAACGTTTTTAAAAAGATCCTGAAGCATCTGGAAGCAACAAGGTGCCTCTGCATTGCTTCTAATGGTTGAAGGAGGCAAAAATTCAATAAAATTTGGCATTAATGGAAACTATGCCAGATCAAATTTCTTCTATTATGAGATATACTAAAGAAATACGAAAAGTTCAAGGCTTGAATATCGCTTCCAGAGCATCAGATGAACAAAAATTACTCCTTGCTTTTCTAATGCTACAAGAAGGCAGAAATCCAACAAGAGCATAACATTGAGGACAGTTTCCTGTCTTTCCACAAACAAACGTTCTAATCAAATGATCTATGATGCAGACAAGAGTGATTGTACTGCTTCTCCAGAAATTTTCATACAGGGTAGAGTTTTTAATGTGACATAACACATCACAAACATACTTATTAAGAGAGAATGAGATATAAAGGCATATGTTGAGCAATATGATATGACAACAGCAACAGGTACCTTGAAATCATCTAATGCTACAAGAAGGCAGAAATCCAACAAGAGCATAACATTGAGGACAGTTTCCTGTCTTTCCACAAACAAACGTTCTAATCAAATGATCTATGATGCAGACAAGAGTGATTGTACTGCTTCTCCAGAAATTTTCATACAGGGTAGAGTTTTCAATGTGACATAACACATCACAAACATACTTATTAAGAGAGAATGAGATATAAAGGCATATGTTGAGCAATATGATATGACAACAGCAACAGGTACCTTGAAATCATCTTGTAAAAGCAATTCCAGGCAACCAGACTGTGGGGATGCTGCTGCACAACTTGCCTTACCCAATCAAATCCCTGTTTTGGGTCTGTGGTGTTGTATGATATTTCTGGATTCAAAAAGAACATAGTCATGAGCAACTCCTTGAACACCAGAAAAGTCGTGCACGGTTATGATAATTGTGCAACTAAAATGACTTCCAATGCTGCCAATCAGGTCCTATGTTATCAGCTCTCCCATCAATTGACTTATCCTTGTCTGGATAACATTCACAGGTGTAAGGGTGAGGATGTGGATGTGGGTGTGGGTGTGGGGGTGGCGGCACTGTTTCAGAGTTGATCATGCCATGCTCATCTTGTAGTAGACTACACCAATACTAACTATTCACAACAAAAACCTCGAAGAAAAAACTAATACAAGAATGATGACCAAATATCTTGGAAGCAGAAATTCATATATACCACACATAAATTATTGTGCTGAGATAATATATGTGTCAGCTAATACATTTTACATATCCATAAGCTGAGTCCATGCACCCCCAATCCTGAAGCAAGTCAGACACAAGGCAGGGACACATAATCAAGTTTGAGTAACATCAATCTATGTCTAAACATAGTTATCAAAGATTAATATTCAAATCCCACACTTCAATCAATTAAAGATTTAGACAGTAAAGTTAATCTACAAAGTCCCAAGAGCCAATCAGACTCTACCCTACATTTTGGAGTTGTAACTTCTGTGCTTTCATGTGTCGTGTGCTGTTGCTTTGTTTGATGAACAATAAATGAACAAAATGTAGGAATCGCATAGTGTTTTACAAAAGTTTTCTGAGAGGCTAATACCGAACCCTTTTGTAGATGATATCGAACTGCACATCACATCTACGACTAAATTGGCTAAACTGTAGGGATTCTATTTTATCAAAAAGTAACTCGCTTATCTTGAATATAGTTCAACGAACACGTTTTCGTTCATAGTGCAATACTATTTGAAGAGAAGAATATGTAGCAATATATTTTCCTTTTTGTACAAACGCAGATCACCATTTCTGAGCGCTAGTGTCCTTCTCATTGGTCATAACTCATGAAATCATTTAAATTATTCATATATGTTTTGGAATATATTCTACTTAACTAACGTATGCCTATGTGGTGCCATATGATTTTACCCTTTAGATACTTCACCAACATCACGTTTCAATCTATGATAATTCAGAATTTCAATTCACGGTCTTTTTACCTCTAACACCCTTTAGTGATCATGATACTCTAATCTATCAGTGATCTGTGCATTCTGTGTTATGTACACTGATGGTTTGATATATCAGAATCAACAATCAGAATGCTCCACCATAATATAATAGACATACTTGACCTACTTTTTAACTAGATAAATTTTACACATTGTAATTGGCAGAAGAATTTAAAACATAGTATGAAATGCATGCCTTCTACCTGAGTATCTTGCATTTTGAGACATTAGATTGTCGTGACCCACTAAGATAGAAGACTACCCCTATGTATCGCATATTAGACTACTAACATTGCCCATTCAAGTTCTTGTTCCATGACCAAAGCGATCTACACTACAAATAATTTTGATCTCTCCAAACCCTATCCATTTCCATAAGACCGAATATGTATAGAACACTACCTGAAGTCCATTCTATTAGAAAGTCCGACCCAAAAGCTTAAGCTATTAGGTGGAGGGAGACCACATGAATATAAAGAGCATTTAGGACCCGTTGTTAATCAATGTGAGATAATACTTCAACACCCCCACTCACGTGCAAGCTAGATTATGAGCAGCACGTGAAATTTTGACATCACACATTCACATGGAATTTTTACCACGCACATTCGTGAAAGGGATAGCATTGACTCTGATACAATGTTAAAAAGTCCAATCCAAAAGCTTAAGCTATTAGGTGGAGGGAGACCACATGAACATAAAGAGCATTTAGGACTCATTGTCAGTCAATGTGGGATAATACTTCAACACATTCCCTCCTAACTTATCATGTCTACTGCACATAATCTACTCCATCACAACATCCAGTACAATATAGTTCATATTACTTAGACGCATAACCCTTATAATTCATTATTTACTTCTGCTATTTCCGTTATTGCCTTCTCACATTGGGCTTCAAACAAAAAGTAAACTCGCCACTTTGTCTTCTCATGTGTCTAAGCAAGTTGGATTATAAGCATGTTTTGTGCAAAGGCTCTTCCTAGGAAAAATGAGGCTATCCTAAATTGTGATTTCTAAAACAGAGTAATCATGTGAAAACAAATATGGTTCTAAGTTCAGGACTTACGTGCTCCAAGTGACCGAAGCTCCTCCTCCTTATCCAAAGGAAGTACATTGTGAGCCAATCTCAAAATGAGATCAATAATCTCTAGGGCATCCCAATACCTTTTCAAGGATGCCAAGGCCTTACACAACTGTCAAATATTGAATTAAGAAGAATCAGACGGTGTAAGAGGAGAAACTCTATTTTACAGCAGCTTGAAAAGCAATTTTTCACAACCGTATGCCCAACAAAGAAATAATAAGTATTCACAAATAACTTTCTAAGGCAGTTCAGGAGTCAAATTTTCATGAAAGATAAGCAATGAACTAGAAAATGAAGAAAATCACATCTAGTATAAGAAGATGATGCTGCTCATCTTTCCAAATATTCTGCAAGGGGGGTTCTCTCATGGTTTTTTGCGGGTGATCTTCCTGAAAAAATGACAAATTAATTGTTAGTTCGTACAAGTGAAGCTACTACATATTTTTATCATGTAAGAACCTGATCAAATACGCACTACCAGTTCATCATCATCTGAATTATCACTGCACCAATCGACGCCTGAAGCAACAGCGGCAGCTTTTCTTTCTTCCTTCAGTGTTGCCCTCTTTCGAAGCAACCTTCTGGCTCTAACAGCCCTTGACCTGATTCAAAGTGGTTTACATGAAATGGTCCATCGCGGGATTTTGGCAAAATGGTAATCATGTAATGAAAATAACAACAGAAAAAGTCAGCTGCCACACTTTAACAAATTAATCGATTCATTAGTAGAACTAGTTACACAGTGCATGCAAGTGAGAAAGAGGATCTCTGTCAATAATAGTGAAAATCGCAAGGAATTGAGTTACATCAAAGATAAATCTAAGAGGTACTTCACAAAATATCAACAGCCTTGTAAAGACCCACTCTACCAGTATTATACTGGCTAAGTGGCTATTAAGATTAAACACATAGTGATACAATTTGCGTAGCAGTGCACATGTGGGGACCAGTAGGTGAACAACCTTTGTGTTTAGGCCATGGGAGTTAGTCCATTACGAGGATTGAGATATGCAAATTACAGCAAATCAAGCAATTGTATTAGATTGCATGGGCCCTATTCATCAACATACAGATGGCGAATTATGTAGCAATATTTAGTATTTTTAGAATCATTATTGAATCCAAATGAGCATGGTAATGTAGCAAACCATTCAGTACAAAGTTTGAATCCCCTGAAAGTTGCAACCAGAAAGGGGATAAATGTCCAAACCCACAAATTTTTAACACAAAGTGCAACAGGGTTGAATACAATGCTGGACCATAGAAAACAAGCATGCGACCTTTCTGTGAACTCGGCAGGCAAGTTATTGGTCAAGAAGCAGGTTGTCGACCAAATTGGTTCAGTTATTTGGTCAGTGGGATCCAAACTACATACCCCGAATCAAACCCTCCCATAAACTTCACAGTTCTTTGTATCTGAGAGTTCCAATAGAAGACATGACCCAAACTAGCAGATCAAGCAATCCAAAGCAGTATAATGAAAGAGTGAAGCATATCAAGCCCAGGATTTATGTAATCCCAGCATCCAAGACAGACAAAAGATCAAAAGCCAGCATGAGTATGGGTCATTTGGCGTTTGATTGTTCTTCTGGATGACTACCCCATTTTCTTTGGAGTGCTGCAGTTGTCAATCTTAGATCAGTTCTCAAACAATTTCAATTGTCAGCAATTCCCAAACTTCATGAACCGATGTAGTTTGGATTACAGATAAAGAATGCAGTAAGTATCACTAGTACTTTGGGTATCATTTTAACATAACATTTCTTTCTTCCATCATATAGTTTACAACTGATCATCTCCCATGCTGCTTATTGTCTATGAGTAGGACAATCAAATCCGCTAACCAGACTTAACAGTCACATGCCAACGCCGTGAACAAAAAATTAAATGCAAAAGAATGATAGACTTCCGGGAGCAAAGTCTATGCCAACACAATTATATGCCCTAAGCCAGAAGCTGGACAGTCAAGACTATATAGCACTCAGAGATATCAATATCAGAGAAATAAAACAATCAATTTTCAAGATGGATGGCCCAAATGAAACTTGAACATAATCACTGAAGTAATACTTGTGAGATAGGTCTTTATACTCACAGATCTGAGCTGGGAGCAAGCGGCCGGAAGCCAGAAAATACGTTATCATTCTGCTGATCATCCAGAATTTTGGCTCTTTCAAAGAGAACCCTTCTCGGGAGTCTTTTTTTTGTTTTAACCTTCCTTGGCAACAGTTATATGAAAGGGAAAAGACAATGCAATAAGCAATACACTCTAACATAGAAATGTCACCAGTGGTTAACATGCATCAATTAAATATAGAAAAAAAAAAAGGATTAAGGGGGTCAGGGAAGAAAGTCAAAAAATATATTTGATTTCATTTGTAAAGAAAATATACAGAAAAGATGATAGTTCAGAAAGGGGTAAATTAATATCGTTGATCCAACATCAAGAAGAAAAGCTCTCCTAACATTCCCTAAAACAGGAAAGGGACAGAGGACGGAATAACAGATATTCTCCAGCAACAATATATCCTAAGATTACCTTCTGCCGAATAGTTTCGATATAAAGTGACTCACGAACCGGTGGTAAGATTGCATCAACAAAGTCTTTAATCATTCCTTTTGCTCTATATATGCTGCAAAGCTTTAACCTCACTTTTCCATTATCCCACCATGGTCTATGATTGTCAGAATCCACATCCCCTGGGCCTAGAGATGAAGAAACATTACCAAAGACTAATTAATGTAAGAGCAAACCACCACAATGAGCACAACAATCACCAATTGATTGATACCTGGATTTTCAGGAGGAGATAGTAGTGAAATGGTCTCATCTACTTTATCATCTTCAAGGAGCAGTGAAGCTAATGTTAGGCGGGCACCCACATTGTCCTCAAGTAGATGCAAACCTGAATTGACACATGAATCAGTTGTAGAACAACACATTTGTTTCAATAATGCAGACATGGCGGATGCTGGCATGTTAAACACTAAGCACTGTTGAATTACAAAGTTCACATTATCAGCTAAATTTCTTTGAATCATATGTACAGTAAAACCTTCATCGATAAGCACGAGACTCAAAATTCTAATCCAACTTATTCCTCCCTCTCAAAAGTTTCTCTAGATGATATGTAACTAATCATGGATTACTGAGGACTAATATCTCCGGAAAAAAAAAACTTCTCTCCACATGAAATACTCACTTAATGAAAAAGCTCAATAAAAACCAGCTCAACTGCACATTGAAAAAGAAATAATATTTCCACAACCTGTTCCATAAGCAAAACAACTTTACTTCCATTGTGCGCCACCAAAGTGTATATACTTGTTTCTCCTTGATTTCTATGTAATTACAAATCAACAATATGCTTACTGTAGTTAATAGCGTCAAAATCAATTATGTTTTACCTCTATAGAAAGACAAAATTGCATGTTCCCTCATTTTCAATGCTTGATAACACTGAGCAATCTTCAGATGGTAAGATCCCTGAGAGAGTTTGAGGAGGAAATCACAACTATAAGAAGCAAACAGCATTAAGCAATCAATAAGCAACAGAGACATATCATAATGTGAAGACAACAAAAGAAAATCATTGATCACCGTCCTTTTGTGCAGTTCACTCAGTCAAGTAACCATGAAGAAATGGTATTATATACTTCAAAGAGATGACACATCGAAAACACACAACTAAGTCTAGATCACTTCTAAGGTGTCCAAGGGAATACGGAGAACCTCCAAAAACAATGTAATAGGGACCAAGTGGGTACAAGTGAACACAAGCTCTAACTCCAAAATTTACAAATGTGGTGAGTACAAAATAGTTTTGAGGGTAATCCTGTCCAACCATACCTACTCTACATTGTTATACATGGTTACTTTCAAGATAAGATAACTTACAAAACATGTCAATAGCAAACATATATTAAATGAATATGATTTTATTTAAATTTAAAAACCTCATTGAGAGTTTCAACCAGATCGTATTACTATAATGTGAAAAAGCAATGAATAGGAAGACTAAAAAAGACACTATTTAACTCTCTCTACCACAACTGTAAAGTTTTCCTCTGGTGAATTTCTGATGCTTCTATCCTTATTTTCCTGTCAATTTATCTTGCATTAACTTTAACCATTATACCAAAATACTGGACACATTGACCTTCTCCCCTGCTTTAGGGCTAGGGGTGAGAGAGATGATGAGTGCAGCCTTTACAGCTCTTCGTAGACTTTTTCGCTAAGTTAGGTTTTTATGGTACATATAATGGTGTTGAATTAGTTTGCCGGACAAAACTTGAAACAAGGCACTGTACTCAAACTGTGGGAACTGACATTTTTTGGTTCCAAGTATCTAAAGAGCCATTGTTCATAGGGCAGGTCTTTACCCACAGTGGAACCACATATGCATAGTAACTTAAAGATGTAGTCTATACAGGGGGGAAAAGAACAATACACACGATACACAAAAACTAAAAGTGGCACTCAAAAGAAGCATAGGATTAAAAATGTCGTGTGATACTTTTCGTCGAAAAGAGGATTAAAAAGCAAAGGCCAGTTTTCCTTACGCTATTCTCTAAATTTCCCTCCAGCATCTGATAAAACTTTAATGCACGGTCAAAATGCTCAAGACTCATATAGGTATCTGCTGTTTCAGTAATCAGGTCTGCATGGTCACATGAGCTCCCCTTCTGCAAAAAACTGAAGAGAGTCTGCAAAAATTGAAAATACCAACAATGAGTAGTGATATAGACATAATCACGTAAGCACATGACCATAGTCCACCAGTCTGATGCAAACGTAAAAAATAGAATGTGGCACGGAATTAATCCCCAAACTGCTGAAACTATCTATAATTTAAAAAGAATAAAGAAATCCAAGGCCACAAAAAAATGGTAAGACGGGGAGAACTAAAAGACTTGAGGAGGCAAAATGTTGCTCTTTTTGATGATTAAGTCGGAGATCATATAAGAACTCTCCACCACAAAGTACCGCTACTGCTGTCCAAAAGTTATTAATCACCAACAGATCTGCAAATGGAATATGCCCAAAATTGCTACAGTAAGATTCCTAAGTCAGTAAGTCTTCTTATAGTCAGTCCACCTTTCTGCAAAGGACTACAAACATTGTGCCCACTGAACCCTGGTACTAAAACGAAACCAACAGGCACACTGCAGATAGAAAGCAAATTTTCACACAACAAAGAATGCTGTGAATCCACTTCGTCCATTATCACCCAAAACCGTTACCAAGGAGATACAGTATAAAACTCTCAGCAAAATGCTCACAAGATCTTTCAATGTATTGATTTAGGCTAGTACTCGCTAGCAAACCAATTAGCAATCAAAACAGCATCCAAAATGTGTCTTTGGTGGATTAATGCATTGCGATATAGGGGAGAAAGATCTACGCCTTGACCTACTACGGCCTATTTGCCAAAACCTATTTCAGCTAGTATATTCCACCCACTAAACTAATGAGTCTAAAAATTTCAAATCGCAGCAAGTGCGACATTAGAAGTGCAGTCAAGAAGCAATGGAACTTGTTCCCCAAAGAACAAAAATGACAGCATCCAATCTATCATCTTTGAGCACCCTTCATAAGGTTTGGATCAGACCAAAAGTAAATCCATTAGGTCCAAGAATGTTTGAACACTGCAAAAAACGGCCTCAACATGCTCCACGTAGAATTCAATTTTATGGTAGAAGCGCAATCAAAAAAGCAGTGGAATGGACAAAATCCTGAGAGAAGAGCTTGAACATTTAAATATCATAGACGACACAGTATTATAATGAGCACAGTGACAACATGATCGTCAAAGTGTGAAGCCCCCCACTGAATAATCCCTTTCTCAGTGCATAGTTGTTGTCAGCCTATATTCGTCATCAGACTAATCTCTCTCTACATGCAATGGAGCTTCAACAATGAGGAAACGCTTCTATGACGGTCATGCATGTAATAAATCTTGTCCCCAACCAATGTTTTACATGAACAACCAAACTTCTCAGAATCACAAAGGAAGAAAAAACATCCAATATAAAATGCCTTGGAAAGTGGAAGGATGAAGGGGCATATAAGCAATAGGTATCTGCAAACATCGTTTTGGCACTAATGGAAGCAAGAAATGAGCTTCTGTTTTAGAGAAAGAAACTCCCCTAATCAGAATAGCATTATCAAAAGATAGAGTAAAAAATATTAGCAAAAAACAAACAAAAAAGCAATGGCCATTGCACCTCTGCCTTCTCTGAATTTCCAAGATGAAGATGACAAATTCCTTCTTTCACAACCAGATTTGCAGGGAGTGCCTTTTCCTGGCTGTGAGAATGAAAAAGCTGAATAGCTTTAACATATGCATCATTTTCCATGTATATCGTGGCTAGCAGATCAACCACGCTCAAATCAGCTTCAGATGGATAACTGTTTACATATTCAACCAAAATACTGATAGCATGCTCAAGCTGGCCACATCTAAGGTACAACTGAAAGGTAAAGTAAGAAACTGTTATATTTCTAGAGAAAAATATGTCTACATAAGATAAACATTCCCCAAAAGCACAATCTCACAGGATATTACCGAGACACTATGTCCATAACAGATTTTATTCAAGGCAAAGAATAAGCAAAAAGTTGATAAATAATTATTTATATTAATAGTAATCCTTAAGGAGTAATACTATCTCTGGCTGACGCTTACTTCATCTTGTAATCTATGGCCGTCATCCCACCATAAATTTGCTCAAGGATCAACAAGATTCTGTTTGGTCAAGACTTATTTAGCGACCAAATTAAAGCTTCAACAAAAGTTACATAAACACTGTCTAGATATTTGTTTAAAAAAAAAAAGAACACTTTCTAGGAAGAAGAGTTAATGTCAACACTCACTCTAAAGGAACGAGACGGTCATTGACAACAAACAATCATCACATAGGAAACACTAGCAAGTCGCTATATCTACTGCAAATGCTACTCCAAGCTTCAAAAAATTACCAGATAGTGCGAGAAAAAACGATTAAGAGACCGTTTCAATGTTGCCATCGGATATTTAAGTTCGTGAGTAAAGGAGAATGAGCACGAATATGAACCAAAATGTATGGAAAACTAGATCCCCATTCTACTTGAAACCATAAATATATCCCAGAAACAGTTTCTTATAAGATGGTTTTACCAAAAACTTTTCAGAGTTTAGCCTCCACCCTGAACCAACCTCCTCAATGAAGTGATGAAAACTTTAGATCCTGGATCAACTATTGCAAACACCAGAATTGCATATCGTGAAACTCATGCACCTCTGCATGACATTCTGAAAAGTACCTTACACATACCACTTATCCTCACCCTCACGTAGAAAGTAGTCATTGTCCTTGAATTAACATGTGATAAATTTTCTATTCCAACCTGCACAAGTATGCATGCGCTAGATGCACACAAATGCACAAATTAACCATCCATCACCATGGAAATGCAACTCAGGAAGCCTGACTTTTGTAAAGCACATAAACTATCAAATTAGCAGCACCACAAAGTAAAACAACCTGCCACAAACTAACCAAACAAAATCAAAGCCCAAAAAATAGATAATAAAATACATATTATCCTAATAACATACCCAGCAAGGGTTCATTTCAATTAACTATTCTATTTCCAAGCACATGAATCATGAATTTTTCTTATGAGAAATGTCTTATCTTAGACAAGTTAAAAACCTTTGCCCCAGTCTGGAGTGCTTCGACATCCTCAGGACAAATCTTTTGTATCTGTTCAAACAATTCCGCAGCCTTTTGATAATCTCCAAGGTTTGAATGAAGTGACGCTTGGTGAAACAGCAGAGAAACATCTTTGGGGTCTGCTGTGATGGCTTTAGAGAGGCAATACCTTGCCTGACCATTGTTTCCTTGTTCTCTGTAGTACAGCAGAGCAGGAAATCAATCACGCCATAATAAAAGCGAAAAATTACCACAGAGACCCTAAAAGCATGCAGATTTATAGATAACAGAGGCCAATTGTTCTCAAAGTCAGCTAGGTGCATGAGGCATCACATTAAATGCCATCATAAACATTTTCAAGACACACATCAAAATTCGATGCCAAGAAATAAATTGCATTCAGCCTTTCTGAACAACAATATTTTCACCTCGTTTACTTCTCACCAATGGCTGCGTGAGTCAAGCCAACACCATTGTGTTCACTTTAACCACCCCTTCCACTGCATTATTTGCCTCTACGGCAAAACATTCCCCTACCAATCTTTTGCATCCCCCAGCTTGGAGAGATTGCCACTCCAATAATTAATTGTGTTTTTACTGGACTTTAATTAATTGTATTAGGTTTTTAGTTATAACATTAAATGTGTGATCATTTTTTTTTCTTTAGACGCCCATAATCTTCAAAATCTTATAAATATCAGCATGTAAAGTAACCCTAAATTTTTAATAATCTTTGACAAATCATTATATTATCTTTGTCTTGACAGGAAACTCAAATGTTGCTTATAAGGCCTTATCAGTCTAAAAAGAGTCAAGTCTAAGTATCTATCCCAGCATCAGCAAAGAACTTCGAACAGAGGTACTCATATACATAAGTACATTGACCAGGTACAAGCCCTACTATGCAATGAATTGATGAAAATAGTGACAACCAAAAGCTTACAAGGACCGGGTGAAGAGACGCTTCCACATTGAAGAATCTTTTGGGTTAAGATGTGCAGCAATCATGTAAAAGTCCACTGCTTTTTTGTCATTGGCAAGATCATCATAAATCCTTCCTAGTGTATCATATGGATCAGGCAAATTTGGTGCTAGCCTGACCACTTGACTCGATATTGATATGGCCTGAATTTTTGCAAAAAGAAAAACAATCCAGATAAGCTGAATATGCTGCGCCCATTCCACAAAAGATAGAACATGTCCTCACCCTCATAATGTATGCAAAAGGAAAAAAATAGAATGTAGAAAAGGTCTTGCAGTGAACTGCTTGAGCTTACATAAATTACGAGCGGTAATCTCAAAAGAAGTTACCTGATGATGTACTCTGCGTTAAAGGACCTAAAGACTAATTGACTCGACTTCACAAAGAACAACGGGAGACATGATATAATTGTTAACCCAAACTTTTATGAAAGATAAACGGGTTATTGCAAAAAATCCTACAAAATGACCATGAAAAGATAGTTGCTCCGATCAATAGTAAAATACCATGAGCCCAACCTTCACGAGATTTTTATGAACAGATAATAAAAGGATTCTCTCTAGAACTTACCTCATCATAGTTACCACGGGCATAGTGAAGAGTTGCATCACCGAGCATTCGTGTGATTTCAGAACTAAGCTTATTTCTCGATCCTTTTCTCCTACCTCTCTTCTTAGTCTGCATGACGATAAAAACAAATTACATACACCAATCTATTTATTCTCCACAGTAGTATCGCCCGGATGGTCCTCAACTCTGGGTACTTGAACATTCTTCATAGAGCCTTAGCAGGATACATGATTTGGTTGCAGCTATATGAGAAGAAGCCACCAGAGGTGAGTTCGACCATTCCAGCATAAGAATATCAATACCGACTACAATAATGATCATACCATCTATCATGTACCTTAAAAAATAAGATACCAGATGCAATTCCACAAAGATATATTCCATTGTGGACAATATCAAATCACACAATCCCTATTTTGCCAAAAAAACAATTATAAACTCAATAATCAGAAGCACCAAAATTGCATCACTGTTAGGCTAGACATATAGGACTTCTGTAAAGATTAAGCACCAACTGGATGCTAGCACTAATATCTCATCACTCTCAAAATTCACTGAAAATTCTTCTACCTATCATTCATCCCATTTCATCTAAGTTTAAATAAGTTCTGGAGTGCATTTGCTTTTACATGATTTAGATTTACGTTTTCACTAATTGAATGTCAATTCCAGAGATAAACCCAACCTTTTTTGATTTCCTACGATAACCGTAGTTCATTGCTTCCATAATCTCCTCAAAGGTCGCTCCCGGGTTGTCCTCTACACGAGCCTTCTTTGTGCATCTTTCCAAAACACTGCAAAAAAAAGGAACGTTCAATTATTAACATAAGCACAAATCAAGACAAAACTCAGTAGCATCCAGCCCAAACAAAATGAAAAATCGCCATACAATTGTGAGCTATCCAGGCCTTTTCGTTTCTTCTCGGCCAATGCTTCATACTCAAGGCGCTCGAATTGCTGGTAAGTTTGGAGTCCAGAATCGTCGTCTTTCGTGAAATCTAGTGGGTCCATTCCACTTCCGAATTGGAAAACATACTCGCCATCGCCATCGCCATCACCATCATCGTCATCATCATCCTCCTCTTCTTCTCCCCCCTCCTCCTCCTCCTCCTCCTCCTCTTCCTGCAAACCCTCTCCTTCTTCGTGTCTTTCTCCTTCCGTCAGTACCGGTTCTCCTGCTGTGGCCTGACAATCTCCGACCTCCACCCCGACCGCGCCATCGTCTTCCGTAGAACTTACCAGAATCCTCTCACCTTCCATCTGGCCTGGATAAAACAATCCAAAGAGAAACATGATCACATCACACAATCCCAAAAACAAGGCCTAACACCAACACATAAAAAAAATCTCATCTTTACTATGAATTCCAATTTCAGCGCCACTTCTGAAAGCTCTCAAATAAATTCCTTAACTATCACACTCGTTTACAATGAAGATCAGCCTGCTTATGCAAGTGGCCAGCACACACTACTAAACATATGACAATCAACTATCAGATGATCACGGGGGGTGGGAGAGGGACTCACGCCGCAGGCGGCCGGAGCTCGGAGGGATGGGGCCGCCGTCGTTCGCCCCCCGCGGCGGCTACGAGCGTCGGTTTTGCGCGAAGGTCGAGAGATTTCCGGAGAAAAAGCGGGACCAGCGACGAGCTCGGCTTGGGATTGGGATCAATCTGAGCCTTTCGTGACCGGCTGGAGCTGGAGCGCCGCCGGTGGGTCGTCCGTCGCCGCCGCGGCCGCCGCTCGCCGGCGGGGTTGGGGCGGAAACAGGGAAGCGGGAAATCGAAGAAGAGAGAACGAGGGAAAGTGAAAGGGGAAGAAAAACCAAGAATTGGCAACCTTTGGTTTTTATTATTTATTTATTTATTTATTTTCTTCTCATTAATTATTTTCTTTAAAAAAATTATTGAAAAGGAAATAAAAAATAAATAAAAAGAACATTAATTCTTTAGGTTAATACTACGATGAAAAACTTCAAACTATTAAATAGTTCGAAATAAAAAATTTACTCTACACTGACAAGCTATTAATTCTTCAGGTTAACACCTATGACAAATTTACTCCAAGCTATTTTTTTTACTATAAAAAATCTCAAACTGGTACACCTGTGACAATTTTATCCCGAACTATTTTTCTGACCACTAGAAACTCTACACTGGTACACTTGTGATAATTTTACCCTGAACTAATTTTTTGACTATCAAAAACCCCAAACTGATACATATGTGATAAATTTACCCTTTGTTAGTTTCTATTAAATTTTACTGTTAAATTACTAAATTTGATGGTACGTGGTAATTGACAGGTGTACCAATTTGGGGTTTTACCCCTTTGTTTGTCATAAGTTTACTAACAGACACTAACGGAGGGTAAATGTGTCACAAATGCACCAGTTTGGCATTTTTAGTGGTCAAAAAATTAGTTTTGGGTAAAATTGTCACGGATGTACCAGTTTGGGGTTTTTTGTGGTCAAAAAAATGGTTCGAAATAAATTTATCACAAGTGCACCAATTTGGAGTTTTTGGTGGTGAAAAAATTAATTCGAGGTAAAATTATCATAAAAGTACCAGTTTGGGATCTTTCGTGGTGTTAACCCTAATTATTTTCTCGACTAATCATGATTTTGTATATGAAATAGATTTTGCTTGTTATCATATTTTCTAAATTTTATGGCACGTGTAATTTGGGTTTTAGGTAACATTTCATTAACATGTAAATCTATATACGATTTTTTTTAGTGACAATTTAGTTATTCACGTAATTTCTATGCCCTCTTTTTCTCAATTTTTTCTAGATAGATATACATATTTACCATGTTCCACGCTTCTAATAAATTCTCGTGTGTGCTTTTTAACAGTATAGTTTGTTGATTGTCCAGTGATTGCAAATCGCTTGCGTGGCACGCCTTTTTTTACTCGTAGCCAATAATAAATCGACACGTGTCGGCCGAGGCAGATAAAAAAATGAAAATTTAATTTTTTCCTTTCTTCCTCTTCGCCTCCGCCGACCTGGTTGTCCTCCATGGCCGCCGGCGCTTCCTCCTCCATCACTGAGCACCACCCTATTCGGCCAGAATCTCCACCCCCTTCCGGCGTCATTTGCAGTCGACCCAAGCTACCCCTCCGAGCCGACACTGTCACCTCTTTATCCCGCCGACGTTCGGTATCTCCACCCCTTCTTCGTCTGACCCAAGCTATACCCCTCCATGGCCGACGGAGCTGGCATTCAACGGTCTGTTTTGGCCGGCTCTTCCAATCTGGCTGTCCATGACCGTCGGTATCAAACAAACCGTTGTCACTCAAGGTTTAGGCTCCAGATGGGGAAGCACCAACCATGGACGAGTAAGGACAACGGAGGGTGCTCGGCTTGGACGTAGCAGCGTCGGCTTGGATTGCGAGTACGTGGTCCTTAGGTCCGGAGTTATGTCGACCAAATATGGACTTTTGTTGCTTGCAATCGTTACCGTGGAGACTAGATCTGGACTTCGTCGCTCGAGGTCGTTAGCGGATCTACAAATCATGGCGACTGGACTTTGTTGCTCGTAATCAATCACAGCACGTTGCAATGCCGTTGTTGCTACGGTCGATGGACGGACGAGCAAAGCTTGCGGCCATGATCGAGGCCAAATTTGGAAGAGTAGCAAGCGGACGGCGGCGAGCGATGACAAAGGCGTAGCTTGGGTTCACTGTAATTGACGTCGGAAGGGGTGGAGATGCGAGCCGGGCGGGATGGTGCTCTATGATGGAGGAGGAAGCGCCGGCGGCCATGGAGGACAACCAGATCAAGTAGAGGAAGGAGGAACAAGTGAAAAATTAGTTTTTTTATTTTTTATTCCACCTCATTCGACACATGTCAATTTATCATTGCTTATGAGTAAAAAAAGGCCGCCACATTAATCGCTCATGTGGCGCTTTGCAAACACTGAATATTTTCTCATTTCTGAAGAAATAAAGGAAAGTAGTATAATCATCGAAAGATCGCATATTTTAGTGCCCAATCTTTATGAACAACGATTTGTCATAATCTTTAATAAAGTAGTTAGTTTAATAATTTTGACAACTTAGTTTACCAAAGAATTTAACATGACATTGTCGTAATAATCACGACGAGACTATGGCCAATCACGTAAATGGAGGCTTAGTTTTGGCATAAGTGATATTTCATGAGTTTTGGTACTAATAATTTCAAAATTGTGATGATGCATAATTTATGTTTCTTCAAATGACGTCGTTGAGCAATTAATTTTTCACTATTGAGAAATTGAGGCTAAACTGGTTCCCAAGCATTGCGGTTCATTTTCACAAAACTCCAAGCTTTAATATTCAATCTCAAAATAGAGGAAGAAAAGAGAAGAAGCAAATTAGAAGCTAAGGATGAGAGGTGAAGAAAAGTTGGCTCACTTCCTTTCTTTATTTTTTTTTCTTTTAGGAAAGCAAATAGATCTTTGCAATTTAACTAAGAGTTAATACCACGAAAAATTTTAAACTGGTACACTTGTGATAAATTTATCCGAGCCTAATTTTCTTACTACAAAAAACCCCAAACTAGTATACTTGTGACAAATTTACCCTCTATTAGTTTTCATTAAATTTTACCGTCAAATTGCTGAATTGGATGGCACGTGGCAGTTGAAGGGTGTGCCAGTTTAGGGTTTTACCTTTCGTTTGTCACAAGTGCACCGGTTTGTGGTTTTTCGTGGTATTAATAAAATTTAATGAAAATTAACGAAGAGTGAAAAAAAATTAGTTTATGGTAAATTTATTACAAGTGTACAAATTTGCGGTTTCTCGTGATCAATAATTAGTTTGAGCTAAATTTGTTACAGTTTTACTAATTTATAGTTCTTCACAGCATTAGCTCTTATATTTTGGGGAGAGAGTGTGTGTTTGCTTCATGATTTTGGTTTTGAATCGTAACGAGACAAAGAAGAAAGGTGGCAATACTAGAATATATGCTTTGCAAATAGGACAACCGACGTTAACGTTAGCATTTTTCGATCTAAATTAGCACGGATGGACTGAATTGGTACTAATGTAAAAATGTTAATAACCAAAATTGGTCCAATAGAAAGATTTACGATTGAATTAGTACTAATCCAATAGATTTAACACTTTTTTTGGTACTTTTTCCTTTTTCTAATTGTAAAGTAAGGAGGAAAAAGGAGGAAAGAGGATAAAATTAATCAAGAAATTGAATATCCACTTTCTATTGAGAAAGTGCACTTGGTGAAATTACTTAATTGTCCCTTATAGTGCAATAATCAATCTCTTTCTTGCACTACATATGAGAAATTTATAATATTTTTTTTCCATGCTTTTATTTTTGAATTTAAAGAGATGTTTATTTTTAGTTACTGAAAATAGAAAAATCTTCATTTAATGTTTTCCTTCCAGATTGGGATTTGTATATTGATAAGAAAAAGAAAATAATGATGAGTTTTTTTTTTAATTTCTCTGTGCAATTTAAGTTAAGTATGTAATAAATTATTAGCTTGTAATTTTTCGCATGAAATAAAAATTACTTGTGAAAGCATGTGGCTCGTGCATGAAAGCTAGTATAATATGATGCTGAAAAACCATTTTCTCTCACTTTTTGTTATTTCCAAAACAACCCTCACTTAAGGTAACAACTAAGTTTAGTGATCCTAATACATTATTTTCTGCCGTTTTCATCCACCACCCACTTCCTCCTCTTAGGGCTGTGCAACTGGACCGAACCACCCTATAAACCAGTTTGGTACCAAGTTCCCTTTGGAACCGGTCTAATTCTCAGTTCCATATATTTAAAATCGGTTTGATTTCAGGTAATGAGCAAAGAACCACCCGGGAACCGGCCTGAATTTATTATACGGTTTTGTAAAGTTTTAAAACCTAATTTTTCACTTGGCATCTTCTTCTCTAGCTTAGTTTTTTTTTCTCTGTTCTCTCCAATCTCACTCAAACACTTCATGACTTTCTCTCTCGCTCACAACTCACCCTCCTCCTTGCTCACTCACGGCTTGCCCTCACTCTTTCGAGCCTCGCAATTCTCACTCGCTCATGTCTTGCTTTTGCTCACTCGCCCTTGTTCATTTTTTTACTTTAAGTCGTTTTGTTGCTCATATTATTTTGAGGTAAAAAGTGAAACCAAAGAAAAGAACAAAAGAAAAACAGATTCTCGGATAAACTCTAGAACTAAACAGGATAAACCGGGTAGGTTCCAGGGCAAACATGGTCGATTCCAAGTTTTAGGTTTGAAACGTACTCTGAAACCGATCACTCCTACCTCCTCTCATGAAATTAACATTCTCTTTCTTTTTCTTTTTTTTTTATTGTTGGGGGGGGGTGTGGTGCGGATTCTCAATAGCTTCTTATTGAACTTTTACATATTTATGTCAACTTGAACATGCGTGCTCAAGTCTAGTTAGTATGAAAATAAAACACACGAGCTCTAATGTGATGTACGATACAAATGCTTATTCTGTGTGGAATAACCGAGGACAACTCCACACGGAGCAAAATGTCTGCAGACCCATGAGCAAAATGAGCACGACCGTGGCGACCAAAGTGAGGAACTTCCAAGAAGAGTACACGTACTTCCTCATGTGATTATAAGCCTTGACCCTTCGAGTGTTGTTGTAGTACTTGTTGACGTCCTGAATCGTCTTGTCCAGCTCGGAGGCAGAGCTTCTGGAACCTATGGATTTGATCATCCCATTGAAGATCTGCACGACCTTGTCGTCGCTGTTCAGATGGTTTGAGACAATGGACGCTTCCCTCAGCAACTTCACATCCTCGGAGGTGTCGATAAGGCCATACATTAACTCCGTGTATCGCGTTAGAACCCAGGAACCACTCTGCGATATCATTTCGTAGGCCACAAGGTTTCGCAGCAAGACTTCGGTGGTAGCATTCAAAATGATGTGAGGGAGGTTCAGAGCAGCGGTTTCCAAATCCAACGTGATGGTTCTGATACCTCCTGCGGCCAAGCACAGCTTGATCCCGACTTTCTGGAGCTTCGATACAGTGGGAATCATAACAAATTCTTGAGAAGGGTCTTTCTGAAGGCTCTCAGAGCATCCGGGTATTACCAATTGAATTATCCTGAAGATGAGCTCCGTCGGCACTTTCAGCTTCTTCATGAAAGAGAATTTCGACAACTCATTCCATGCCTCAGTGATTTTTGATGCTGGTATCGATAGCATCTTGATCAGATAGCCAAAGCTTGCACCTGTTGGCAAAAAGGTACTTTTATCACTTTTTTAATGCTTGCATACAACAAACGAAGAAGGAAAAAGGACCCATCATCTCATATATGCATGGCATGGGGAATGAAAACTAACCTCTAAGCTCATTCTTCTTCGTCTGTGCTGCTTCTGGGACTGTTCTTCTCAAGATGAGATTGTAAAGGAGATCGAGCAAATGCTTATGATGGCGAACAGCTTCAGATGGCGAGCACCTTTCTAGTCTGAGAGGCGCTATCGCTTTGCAGAACCTCATCAACATCACCCCAAGCTCCCTATCTATAGACTCATCTTCTTCATTTTCTCTCACTTCATTCATCGAATCCTTGGTCTGCAACATTATTTTCCTCAGCACAAAGGTCGGAATTTGATTCTCCACCTTCATCACGTCTTTGACAATGGAGTCTCGGGTCATCTGTACAATCCCCCCTTGATCATCGTCCCCAATCGAGTCTTCCTCGCTCCGAACATTGGTCGACTTATCTGGGTCCATTTTCTCTCGCTTGTGCTTGTAACTGTACAGTAGGTCGAGCAAGAACAAACTGTCAATGGTCATGATCCATTTCAGGGTGTCCGTGCCGACTTCCAGGTACAGCTGGTAGCTCGCGCGGATTTTCGCCTCCTGCGCTTGGAGCAAACCAGCTGTTCGATCAAATCCCGGGAGCTTCAGTGCCGCGCGTGCCCGTTGGGCCGCGGCCAGCTTGGGGTTCTCCGTCTGGTAGAGCTGCGGCCGGAAGTGGTGGTACGGTCCCAGTGCGACGTGGAGCGGGATGTAGGCCTCTGGCTTCGCGGAGCTGATCGATTCGGGCACGCAGTGGACAGAGACCAGGTTCTCGATATCAATCCCGTGATCGAGGGCGTCTTGGATGTGTTTCACCCATTGCTCTTCGCTAAGGCTCTGGTTGATGATGGAGGTCGACGATGAGGACATCCTTGTTCGAACGAGGTTTAGAGAGCGAACATAACTTATGGTATATTATACGTATCTTTTATTCGCATACACACATGCATCTTTCGTATCACTGCAATTACGAAAGAAAACGAAAGGCTGGGCTTCGTGGTGATTCCGAAGGTGACTTTGAATATAATTAGGGTTGAAGCGGGGCAAGTGGCAGATCTTTTGGCTGTTCTGCTGGAAATGAGAGTGACTATCTTGAAGAATCAAGGCGTCGGATGGATGGTCAAGAGCTCAGTTTGACGCGATAAGATTTTTCTTTTGTTGAATCACATGGGTCTCCCACACAGAATAAAGCTCGGGAGCCAGGCTCGCCACGTTACATACGAAACCTTATCCCAATACACGTATGGATGAGGTGGTTTTGCTCACATATACGAGGCTTAATCGGCTCTACGCGATAAGATTTCTTGTTTGAATCACATCCGTCTCCCGATTCTGGGAATAAGCTCGGGAGCCAGGCCCACCACGTTACATACGGAGCCTTACCCAATACACAAGGAAAAGTATCAAAAAAATCATAAACCTATTACATTGGTATCAATTCAGTCCTAAATTTTTCAATTGAATCAATTTAGTCCAGGCGTAATTTTTTAGAACAAGAATTAAAAATCGAAGATCCGTCTTCGGATGTCACAAATATATCTGTGAATTACTTTCCTATAGGCAGCGCACAAACCTGAGAAAGAAATTAAAAGTGATTTAATAGATAAATTTCAGTAAATGTCTATAGCAATCTCTCTTTTCGATATACTATGTGTAGAACGGCTAGTGTGACGAGACCGTCGTTTACTGAAAATGACAGCCACATTTCAACCTCTAACCCGATTCTGGGGATAAGGACATCGCAAGTGCCATGACTTTCGTACAACACTAGCTTGAATGCCATAATTTTTTTTTCGATAACTTAAGTGCCACAATTTCAGTAAAACGTCCACTTGAGTGTCATTACTCTTAATGGATCACTTAAGTGCCAACAAAATTTAAAAACGTTTATTCAAGTGCCGGAAATCCAACGTGGCATAACATTTGCTGTGAACGTTTTAAAAAAGTTATGGCACTCAACCGATTGATTGAAAAATTATATGGAACTCAAGTGATCCGAAAAAAAATTATGACACTCAAATTAGCGTCGTACATAAGTTATGGCACTCAAGTGATAAAAAAAAAGTTTTGGCACTTTAGTAAGCGCCGTACAAAAGTTATGATACTTGTAATGTCATTTTTCCCCTGATGCTGATAGATAGATAGCATATGTAAATTTATGCTACTGTTCTGCAACCTAATTCTTATTCGAGGTTGAGCATGGTCAACGGTGAACCGCGATCCGCTTGGTTATCTCCTCCTCCCAATCAATGACATCAGAAGATGACTCAGGGCAGCCTCCCTGGATTCCAACCTCACTGATCTGCATATCCTCCTCATCACAACACACCAACTTCTCATCGACCATGGGAAGCAAAATCTTGCCATGCCCGGGAAGTCCCAAGGTCGCTTAGACGGTCGACCCGATCGGTAGCACAATGTGATGTTGCTTGGTCCAGGACTCGGCACGTCGTAATCTTCATCACCCAAATTCCATATTCCTTTTAGTTCCGTACACCGAATGCAATCAGAGCCAGTGAACCGCATGACATTGGGAGTGTGGCTTTGCCTCTCAGATTCAGAGAGAATTGAGAGAGATGTTCCAATTGGGGCAGCTCGATGACTTCTCCAAATGATTCCTCCTCCATACCGAAGGCCACGATTGAGTCGTAAGGCACGTCCTCTGTGGGCGTAGCGAGCCAGTGTGCGGACCCATTAAGAATTGCCCGTGAATTGCCACGAATCGTCCACGTGAAATTGGGAATGCTCAGGCTTGTCCATGCGTCCCTGTGTAGGCTATAAACCTTGACACGCCATGGTCTTAGCAGATAATCAACTCACCTCCCGACGCCACCCGAATAAGTAATCCTCACGACCTTGTAGTCCCAGGCATTTGGCTTGTACCCGAAACTGTGGACATCATAATGACTACAGCATCCCGAATTGTGGCCCTGAATTAGAGATTCGGAGCAAAGGGGCCGATGGTGGCAATAGATGTAACCCCCGTTCCCATGCACGCAGAGTCAACGCAATATAAGCCTTTGTTTCTCTATCTCTCTCTCTCTCTCTCGCATGCTGCTTCTTCTTCTTCTTCCTCCTCCAAACATACCACCTCTCTCTCTCTCTCTCTCTCTCTCTCTCTCTCTCTCTCTCTCTCTCTCTCTCTCTCTCTATCTCTCTCTCTCTCTCTCTCTCTCTCTCGATCTCTCTCTCTCTCGACTTTTTTCATTTGCAGCCTTGGCACGACGCATATCGGCGCTCCAGTCGCGTGCACTCTTGACAACATTCTCGCTCGAACCGTTCGCCCAGTCGTGTAGCTATGGTGACGGAGCCGGTGAAGTCGCAGCAGCCGCTCCCCAACTTTTGCCTCCCTAGCTTCCTCAGCTAGAGCGGCGCCACCTCCTCCTCCTCCTCCTCCACCCACCCCCACCCCAACAACCACCGCCCCTTCCCATCATCGACCACTCCCCTCCCCCGCCGCCTCGCAGCCCTGGTTGCCAACCCACGCCCTTCGAGCAGCTCCCGCTCCTGGAGGGGAGAATCAAGATTGCGCGGCCGGGGGCAGCGCGGGCAAGAGCGGCAAGGCAGAGGAGGCAAAGTCGCGCGGAGGCCATAGAATCTGTGGACGAGGCGGGCGGCGAATCCTCTGCCGCTCTCATTGAGGAACGGCAAGTCGTTTCTTGACGCCGCATACAATGCATTCGGCGGGGATAAAGAGAATTACGCGCAGCTGCCACAGCTGAAATCCGTGTGGTTACGAGAGGCGACGAACATTGTGAATTCTTGAGTAAATCATCTGAATTATGCTTGATTTGCTTCGAGAACTAATCAGGGCGTGAATGATAATCATTCTGTTTCACAAATCAATTTCTGGCCAGAAATAGAAAAATCTATTTCTATTTCATGAACGAGTTTCTGAGCCAAAATATGTGTTTGATAACAACACAAAATTTCTATTTCTAAAATAGAAATTCGTTTGATAACAACACAAAATTTCTCCCTCCCGAGTGGCCGGCGAGGGAGAGACAGTGAACAACGGACGGTGGTGGGAAGTGGCCGGCATTGGACGGCAGAGGAGGACGGCGATGGGAGGCTGTTGGCGGAGGACGGCGACGGGAGGCAGCAAGAGGTGGTCGGTATTAGGCGGCGGAAGAGGATGGCGGTTGGTGGCGGAGGACGGCGACGAGAAGTGGTAGAGGATGACGATGGGAGGTAGCCGGCGGGTGGGCGATGTTGGGCGGCGACGGGAGGTGGGTGATGTTGGACGGTGGCAGGAGGCGGCGGAGGATGGCAGAGGCGGTCGGCGGCGGTTGACTGTGGGAGGCGGCCGGCATTGGGCGATGGAGGAAGGCAGACGGCGGGATGTAGACGGCGGCAAATGGAGACAAACAACGGCTTGTAGGTGGCATGAGACGATAGCTGGCGATGATGGGAGGCGACCGTCGACGACGGTGGGGCGGCGGGTGGGCGGCTGACTATTAGTAAGGGCAAGTGATGAGAAATTTTTTTATTTTTCATTTTTGTTCCAGAAATAGAAAAGTAAAAAAAAATTACCTATGTTTTATGTTCCAAACCTATTTCTAGAGTAGAAATTTATTCCAGAAATAGAAAAATGAAATTGCGTTACCAAACGGATTTCTGATCCAAACCTATTCCTAAGAACAGAAAAATAGAAAAATAGAGAAACAGAATGGTTATCATGCAGGGCGCGCATGATAAACATACACCCAAGATGCTTTAGAATCATCATAAACGAACTTTAGAAACAGTCAGGTGCTTTAATCCAAACAGTGGAAACCAAAAGAAACTGATGCTTTAGAATCATCCTAAACATACGCCCAAGATGCCTCCGTAGTTTTTGTGCTTGAGGTCAGGAGCGCATTTCCTCAGCCTAAATAGGTCAGTGTTTTTTGTTGAGGAGAACATACTAGAAACAAGTTCTTCTATTTGCGGTGAGGGCCCGATATTTTTAGCCCAACGAAGTGGTCATTTCCAATGAAAATCTAGACAAAAAAATTTGCTAGCTCATACTAACCAACCATCATGATTTATAGAACTACAAACTTACGGTGTTCTTACTTCCATTTATTCTGTCAAGAAGATACATAACTGAAAGGACCAGCTTAAATACATCAGTGCTATATGGTTCTTGCACCTGGAATCATATAATATTAATGTTCCATAAGGTTGCAATTTGAAAAGTCCAAACAGTCTGGAAGCAGAACATGATCGCACGTCCATTACTATAACAGTTTAGGCTGCACTAAAACCCCATCCAGGCCAGATTTCCCATAGAGTATGCTGTTCTGTTGAAGTTCCGATAGTTCAGGCTGCACTAAAACCCCATCCAGGCCCGATTTCCCATAGAGTTCGCTGCTCTGTTGAAGTTCCGACAATTCAGGCTGCGTAAAACCCCCATCCAGGCCCGATTTCCCATAGAGTTCGCCGCTGTGTTGAAGTTCCGACAGTTCAGGCTGCGTAAAAACCCCATCCAGGCCCGATTTCCCATAGAGTTCGCTGCTCTGTTGAAGTTCCGATAGTTCAGGTTGCATAAAAACCCCATCTAGGCCCGATTTCCCATAGAGTTCTCTGCTCTGTTGAAGTTCCGATAGTTCAGGTTGCATAAAAACCCCATCTAGGCCCGATTTCCCATAGAGTTCTCTGCTCTGTTGAAGTTCCGACAGTTTAGGCTGCGTAAAAACCCCATCCAGGCCTGATTTCCCATAGAGTACGCTGCTATGTTGAAGTTCCGACAGTTTAGGCTGCGTAATAACCCCATCGAGGCCTGATTTCCCATAGAGTACGCTGCTCTGTTGAAGTTCCAAGCAGTCCTTATATTTCATCCCGATGTGCATGACTCGGTTGTTCTTGCCATCCACCAGCTGCTCCACTGGCGTGATGACAGTGTCAGGCGATGACCCATTAGATAGAGCGATCGATATCCTTGTAGCCTTGTCGTTTGTGACAGCTCGATGCAGAACACTCTTGTATTTCCCATTGCTCATAATCTTGCTCAGTTGATTAGTGTCAAGAAAAAAAATTAGTTGCAATAAGCTTTATTGGTTCGATGGGAAAGAAGTAGTAAATCACAAAGATCTGTATTGACTTTTTAACTGATTATTACCCAATGAAAGAAACAAAGTGAAAAGAGTTTGTTTCAGCAAATTTATAGGACAACTATATGAACTATGGTCTTATGTATAATAACAATGTCCCCTCCATAAAGACGTACACTATCTGCATGAATGTTGAAACATATCGGACCTCTCTTGCAAGACAATAAGGGAGGTTAGAAAGATGGAACATGAATTTCTATATATGTACCTTTAGGTGATCACCGATGTTGACCAAAAAGGCGTTCGGAATGGGATCTATTTTGACCCACTTCCCGCCGTGGTGCACTTGGAGGCCGCCAATTCCATTCTGCATGAGGATGGTCAACAGGCCGTGGTCTGCATGTGGTGGCACGCCCATAGTGAGTTCTGGCTGCGGGCACGGCGGATACAGATTTGCCGCTAATATCTGTAGGCTTGAATCCATGTTCATGGCCTCGTCGATATAGCCCGGTTCGAGTCCTAGGCTTTCCGAAATACCCTTGAGCAGTCCCCTAGCTAATTTCCGGACCACCTCGGAGTATTCTGTTAAAACTTCACTGCAACAAACATTGCTTCATTCATCAGAGGAAATGCCATGGTGGTGTTCTTTTCATCTTCATGGATGTCGCAAGTTTGTGTCTCTCAATCTTTTATCTGGTGTGTTGCTAATTGTCCTACTCGATCAAATTGAATCCTCGATTTGTTGATTTTCTCTGGGTGTACAAAATTGTTGTTGTTTGCTATCAAGACGATTCAAAATAATGCAAACCTAGCACAAGAATCGAGTAGTTTCTATTGCTATGTTTCAAGATTCCCAGATTTCTCGATAAATATAGAGCTATTTTACAAAACTAACAAACTAGAACCAAAGATCCTGAAGAGCTTGCGCATCGGACAGATTGAAGTTGTTTCAGTTCAGATGCAATAGGATCAATTGAGTGGTATACTGCGTCATGTAGAAATGGCAAATTTGGTTTCCAAATCATAACATCTCGAATTTAAGTTACTCTAGAATTCAAGTGTGCCACCGAAGTGGACAGAGTTTCATGTATGGACAGATACTGGAAATAGTCCAGTCGAAGATTTGGATTCCCGTCTTACCAGGGAATAAAATTTTGTTCAAGTTCCTCATCATGCTTTCTTTTTCTGATGTATCTAATAATTTTCTGCTGAGTACCATCTCAAAGATTTTTATATCCTTGGATCTAGTAGGATGGACCCACCATCACTCAATAACGCTCCAGAATCTCTAACTAGTATAAAATGACAAAAGCACACTATTCCATGGAGTATTTGTCGAGAGCCAACTTTTTTTGCCCCATTCATTGACAAGTTCTGATTATTCGTGATTCGTGAGGCAAAAGAGGTTGAAAATTGGTGTAACTATCATGATCTTGAGATTCCAAAGTATGAGGAGCTACTTCCGATGGGTGGGGCCTCAAGTTCTTGGTCATCATCCATCAAGCCAGATCTGGCTCCTTCTTAGAGGGAGATGCAGCCAATGGGCTTCACGCGCGGAGAGAGAGAGAGAGAGAGAGTTTGATTTGGATTTGTTTGGCCAGATATATTGGGTTAGGTTAAGGTGTTTGAAAGGTGAGTGAGTGGCTTTTAGATGATTTCCCATGCAGGTAATGACCTTCCGTTTTTTTTTTTTTTTGTGGTCGAAAGGTTATCTTAAGTAAATCCCGAGCACTTAAAATACCCGACGAAATGTCGTGGATCGGATAATGTGCAAGCTAATATCTAGGTGGATTTGTAAAATGTGAGATTTTTTATATATGTTATGTAATAAACTCAAACTTTTATATTCAAATGAAATTAAGAAAAGAGAAATATCAGTATGTGCAAACTGAGAACTTGTACATACAGGATAGGAGAGAGAGAGAGAGAATGGATACCTGAAGCCTTCTGGTTTGGTGGGGCAGTGAAACTTTGGATGCACCCTCACCTTCAGAAAATCTCTCCGGGAAAGCACCTTGTCGACCGAAGCATTGAAGCTCGTCCCGCATCTTATGGGGTCCAACACGTGCTTCCCTTTGAACTCCATCTTCTCCTCCTCGGTTAGATCGAAGAATCCTGTCAGCATGTCTACCATCGCTTTCATTTGGCTCTCGGGGACTCCATGGTTGATCACCTGTCCACATAATCCGGGGGCCATGATCAATACATAGCATACAAGACGCTGCCGAATCATTTATAGAGAGTGAGTCATACTGATCAACAATGACTCCAGCTTTGATACCAATTTATGCAAAATAGATTCATAAAAAAAAGCAAGGTTTCGGGTTTGATTTACTTGCAGCGCCCAATTTCTTGGAGTCAAGGGCATGAGAAATAATTTCTCATGAATTTTCTTTAGCTCTAGCGGGAATAAACAATCATCGGTTGAGCTAGCCAATTCAATTTAAACTATTACTAGTCTTTTCAGTACTCATGACAAGTTTGATAAGCGAAAGCTGATAAAAAATTACCAACTGTTTGTTTTGCATCTTCGCGACAAATAGAATAAAGAAAAGTACTATGAAGCAGCTAATGAACTAATGAACTAGCTAGGAACATATGTACCATGAAGAAGCCCCAGTCTTGACAAGCCTTTGCAAGATCCGAGACGACTTTAGACCGTTGATCGGGATTACTTGAGGATAGGAGAGAGAAGTCGATGACGGGGATGGAGTCATCGTGGTCAGGATGAACGGCTTGATCATCGGAAGTGGAGGTGGTGGAGGCGCAGTGGGAGGGGATGGAAGTGAGCTTGGAAGATTCAGCTGGAGTCTTAACACTTCGTATTTTGAGCCGAGAAGCATTAGCTTCTTGGTGGAGCGGAGCAACTGGACAAACAGTAGCCATATGAGATGAAACTCTCTCTCTCTCTCTCAATGAAATCTGCAGTATCAATTATGAAAAGAGAAGTTTTTAAAAGGAAGATGAAAAAATAGCTCTTCGGTAAACTCTCCAAGACTGCCACGTGGCAGCTCCTTTTTTAAACAGTAAATGCGCTTCCATTTTCGACGTCAGGTGACTTTAGCAACCTATCCTTGGAGGGCCTCCTCAGGAAATGGGTGTAGAGGTAATTGCTCGTGAAACATTCCGAATAGTATATCCCAATAGGCAGCTCAAAAAGTATCATCCTAAAATTCATCCATAAGGTCCGTCAATCACAAACGTGGACTCTCCCTCAGTTCATACATTGCGTGACACGGGATCATTTTTATGTTTCTTTGTCAATTAGGAGTCGTCACTAGCCTTTGTCAGGGGTTGGTTAAAATACCAGAGATGTCTAGGTACGGGACTATGTTACGTTAATGCTTTCACTAATGCCCTTTCGATACCGCTAACTTATTGGTTGTTATCTAACGTGGTCACGCATTTGTTTTTATCATTTTCATGCCAAAGTCTTAATCACTAAGTGTCCATGCATCTTGTTTTCGTGTTTTTCTATTAAGATTCTTAACTAAACCTATCTTGGTCTAGCAAAGAAAATCAACAAATAACGTATTTAAAAGGATTAATGCCACGAAAACCCCAAACTAGTACACATTTGATAATTTTACCAAAAACTAATTTTTTGACCACAAAAATCTCAAACTGGTACACCTGTGATAAATTTACCCTCAGTTTGTTACCGTTAAATTTCACTGTCAAATTGCTTTGTTAAATGACACGCGATAGTTGACTGATGTATCAGTTTTATATTTTACCCTCCATCGACATAGGTGTACCAGTTTGTGTTTTTTTGTAGTATTAATCCAATTTAACGTAAACTAACAAATGGTAAAATTGTCATAAATGTACTAGTTTGGGCTTTTTAGTGGTCAAAAAATTAATTTTGAGTAAATTTATCACAAGTATATTAATTTGGGGTTTTTAGTGGTCAAAAAATTTGTTTGGGGTAAAATTGTTATAGGTGTATTAGTTTGGGATTTTTCGTGGTATTAACCCTATTTAAAAATGGTGTATAAAGTAAACACCTAATGTAATGAAAGATGAACTATTCTAAGTGCAATAAAGAAAAACCCGTAACTCGTCGGGATTATTACAAAACGAATTGAAGACTTGAGACATGATCAAGCAATAAATGAATTGTACAAATTAAAACTGAATTGGACATCGGTCTTGAATCTCCATCTTGAAAATTCTCAAGGTCTTGGTATGAAGCTCAAAGTGAACCTCTCATGGGCAAGGAAATGGGTCACATCCATGGTCGAGGCCACAAGGAGCCCTATATTTTGACTTAGCCAAAGTCGGGTCATTAATTCTGATCATTAGATACAAATTGTGTAGTTAATTCACTACCGAGTAGCCTCAAGGCTAATAATGGTCTACATTTCCCATATTCATTGTCGAATGTTTGACTTAAATTATGCTAGAGACTACAATTGGTTCTTTTTAGATTTTTAGTGATCTTTCAACTAAGCAATTTTTATTAAAACCTAAGCTAATATTATTATTACAAGCAGTTGAGACCAGATTGGACATTGGTCTTTTGCCACCGTCTTCAAGAGCTTCAACTGCCTCTTCCTTGGATCGCCTCACTTGGCCAACATCCATGGTGCCAGTTTTCATTCATTCACATTCATTCATGCAATCATTCGAAACAATCAAGCACAAAATTCATTGAGATCAATCAATGGAATGGCCTCGGGGTCAGCCTTTGCCTTCCATGGATTTCGATTACCCCCATTCCTAATGACTATGATTAATTGATTGATGGTTAATGATAATCGGCTGCCATTTGCATTCACAAAATGATGGTCGATATCTCTTAAAGCCTAAATTTAGTTTTATGTGTTCACCATAGATTACCCGCTGGACATGCATTGTACCTAATCATTCATCTAGCAAGCACATGCATAAGCAATGAATTAAACATTCAATTAGGTCAAGTGAGCTTGTTTCTCAATCAATCACACAAGGGGAAGTGAGCCTCTTGGGATCACTTATTCAATTAAAATTCAGATTCCAAGCAGGTTCTATTTAGACCCAATTGGCTTACCAAAGGAAGTCCGATTGACTTGGTTCAAGTGTCATTAGAAATCTTAGGATGAATAGTTTAGAGTTCATGAAGACCATTTGGACCAGTTCTTAGTCGAATTACCAGAAAATGCAAATCAACCCAGAAACCCCAGACTTGACCCGGTTTCAGCCCGTGATTTTAAAATGTGGGAAAAATATCAAATGACATCGAAAACGCATCAAATTTTATAGCGAGTTGGGAAAACGTGTGATGAACAACATTCATGTTTAAAAAAGCCCTTGAATTTTTCCAGTAATTCAGTTTTTTACCCGGGATTCAGTTGCAAAACAGTTTTCAAGGCCAAACTAACCTTATCTGGAATTTTTTCCAAATTGGCCCCTCAAATGTGGTCATTAGGTCTTTAAAATTTTCAGTTCTCAAATTAAGGCCCCAATAAACAACTCTCAAATTTGCTATACAAAACTTGTTCACAGAACTGAAATTTTCAAATCAAAACACAATTTCAAAACGTCCTTTTCAAGAATGAATAATATAGATCAAATCACCACGAAATTTTATGAAAATTTCAAGTTAAAAAGATCAAGATGTTGTCTACAACTTTCATGAACACCCTGTTCCCAGATTATGAATACAAAAAATCAGAAAAATCATGGATCTAGACAAGTTCGGTAAGGAACATATTAACATAAAACAGAACACATATTTTCTAGATTCTGAATTGAAATCACAAGGTCAATTTGACATAGCCAACGATATTCAATTTTGTCACACCATCTATCAAATCGAAGCTCATGATGTTAACTTTGATTCTCTAGCTAAACACTTTTGAAGATTTTGACGTTTCAAGCTCAAATTAGCCATGGAAGCATACTGATTCATTGGAATCCAAAAATTGCAAAACAGAACAACATACTTCAAACATTCATAAAATAATTCATATACATGGATTGCCTAACACATGATATGCTAAGCATTCAATTAACAAACTGAGCATCACAATTGGCCTTCATCAACTTCACATGCATATTTGGCCACGTCATTCATTCTTCATATCATATTCTAAGTTTAGATATTGCATACGTTGTTCAATGGACTTGTTAAGCTCAATTAAGCTATTTAGCCACCAATGAACTTCACAAAGGCGTTGAGAATAACTCTCCAAGATCTAAATGATAGCACCAAAGATTGATATGAGAAAAGGATTCAAAGAGGTCAAAAGAACATGAAGTAACTATCAAGCGAAATCAAGTGAAATTGAAGAATACGGCAAGATTTCGAAGGAACTCCAGCCACAAGGTTGTTGTGGATGAGCTAAGGACCACTTCACACGGTTAGGAAAGCCTCTATACACCGTTAGATAGCCAGAAAACGAGGCTAGGATTGTTGGATCTCCTCACCTGCGTGGAACACGCTTTTGAGGCCAAGAGGAAGAGAGAGCCGAAACTAGCACTTCTGACAAAAGGCGGTACTTCCTAAGCTTGCGACCAGCAAGAGGGATGTGCAAGGGATGACAGCCAAGTGGTGGTTCGTCGAAGAAGGGCTGACAGCCGGTCGGAAACAACGGGGGAAGGAGCTCCGACCAAGAGAGAGAGAGAGAGAGAGAGAGTTTATCCAATTTAAAAAGAGAATTTTAAATTTGAAAATGGCTAGCCCTTACATTTTTTAGGGAAAAATCCTTTTCTACTCCTCTAAGTTTGAATTTTAACATTTGGATTTATCTACTGGCTCATATGGTTTGCTTCTTGATTAAGTAAGCATCTCATTGGCTAATTTATATTAACTTAGATCAATGACATTTCATATCGGATGGCTAAGATGGGCTCTTGATGAATGGCCAACATTATTTGCTTAATGATTAAGAAAATGCTCTAATTGGCCTAAATTTAATGACATGGCTTTAGGGGCATTTTTGTAATTTCACCTAGGGGCATTTGTGTAATTTTAGCACATGAGAGAGTGGCTGGTCGGCCATGGTTTGAGGGGGCTGGAAGTGGTCGGAAAACAGCCAAAATCCGGACATTCTCGCTGGATTGAGCGTTAGCGCCAGTTGGACTGGTTCGGTCCGGTTCAACCAGTTCCCTGACAAAACTTTTCTACAATTTAGTCCAATTTGATTTCTGAAAGACCTAATTGCAAAAAATTCCTTACCAATTATCAAAGAAATGAGCCAAATTGAAAGAATACTGCAACTCAAATCCAATTCTAAAGCTCACTCCTCAGGGTATACTGACTCTCCTGAACCGCACCTATGGGGTCGTTTGGTCCTCCAATGTGTCGAGATTGACCCAGAATCCAATTGCGCAGCTTCTGCATTCTGCCAATTTTGTCGTAAAAGAAGGAAATGACAATGACTTGGATGATGCAATCTGGCGGAGTTTTTATCACCCTTGTAATTCGTTTCTGGCGGGCATGAAGTTTGGTATAGACAGAGCGAAAGGCCTGGACCGGTACTTGACCTCGTGGAAAAGCGCAGACGACCCTTCACCGGGTGATTTCACATATAGGCTTGATTCTTCGGGATATCCGCAGCTGATCCTGAGGAACAGATCGGTAGTGCAGTTCAGGTCGGGACCTTGGAATGGCCTTCGGTTTAGAGGTTTCCCTCAGTTGAGGCCAAATCCAGTTTATAGCTTCGGCTTCGTCTTCAACCAAAACGAAATTTATTATTACTTCAATATTCTGAACAGTTCCGTCCCATCGATGCTGGTTTTAAACGAGAACGGGATCGCTCAGCGCTTCAGTTGGGTAGATCGGACACATGATTGGATACTGTATTCGTCCGCCGAAACGGATGACTGTGACACTTATGCATTATGCGGAGGGAATGGGAATTGTAACATTGCTAGCTCTCCAAAATGCGTGTGCTTGACGGGGTTCCTGCCTAAATACCCGAGCGACTGGGAATTCGGGGATTGGTCAAATGGGTGTGTCCGGAGGACGGAACTGGATTGCCAGGGAGGAGATAAGTTTCTGAAGTACACCGAAGTGAAGTTGCCCGACACGAGGCATTCGTGGTTCAATGAGAGCATGAACCTTCAAGACTGCGAGCAGAAATGATTGAGGAACTGCTCGTGCAAGGCTTATTCAAACTTGGATATTCGAGTGCAAGGAAGTGGATGCTTGCTTTGGTTCGGTGACCTGATGGATATTAGACAGTTCAACGAGAACGGCCAGGACATTTACGTAAGGATGGCCGAGTCAGAAGTTGGTACGTTCTCAACCCTAAGTTATTTTTGAGTGATGACACGAGGAAGAGAATGAGTTCGAAATAACAGTTGAATTGTTAGTAACTTCTATCTTCAATGTATTGTAATGTGTATCAAGGTGGCAGTTTGAGCAAAAATGATGGCGCAAGGAAAAGCACGGGCATCATTGTCAGCACCGTGCTGTCTGCGGTGCTTTTTCTCAGCATCGCAGCTGTTTTTACAAAGTATAGGAGAGATGGTAAAGTCGTTATCAGATAATATGGTTTCCAAGCAAGATGTTTTTCTTGATCCACAAGAGTCAATTTTTACTCTTGTTAGCATGGGTTTTAAATGTTGCTACTCTGCATCAAATGCAAAGTTTCCTCAGATCATCTCCCTTTGGAAATTTAAATGAACCAAGTGGCCTGAAAAATATGAATGAACCAAATGTGTGTTGCTTTGAATTCTGTTTTGGGATTTTTAAAGCTCAATTATGAGTTCTCTTTATTTGATGAATTCACTCACTTTAATTTCTACTTGCAGGACAAATCTTTGGATTCTCCCATCGAAGCCATAGTGAAGATCTAGACTTACCTCTGTTCGACCTCACAACCATAGTGAGTGCAACGAATAACTTCTCCGACGACAACAAACTCGGAGAGGGAGGCTTTGGAGCTGTCTATAAGGTTACTATTCTCATTTTTCGGAATTCTAAATCTGCTCATACATATACAAATGCATAATGGGAAAAGGAACAAAAAACCTCTATCTTTTAGGTGTTCTGAAGAGTGGCCAAGAAATTGCTGTGAAGAGGATGTCGGAAAACTCAAGGCTGGGACAGGTCGAGTTCAAGAATGAAGTCGTCTACATTGTCAAACTTCACCACTGAAACCTCGTCAAGATTCTTGGATGCTGCATTCAAGTAGATGAAAAGATGTTGATCTATGAATTCTTGCCCAACCGGAGCTTGGATTGTTTCATTTTCGGTTTGCTTCGCTCAAGTCTCTACATTTTCATTGCTTTTGTCATAGAAAAGGACTGAAAAAGCTTCCATTAATAACTTATAAGGCCAACAATTTGGCAGACCAAGAGAAGGGTGTTTCGCTGGATTGGCCTAAGCGCTTTACTATCATCAACGGCATAGCTTCGGGGCTCCTATACCTTCACCGAGACTCAAGATTAAGAATAATTCATCGAGATCTGAAAGCTAAAAACATCCTGCTTGACAACAAAATGAATCCAAAGATATCGGACTTTGGTTTGGCGAGGAGTTTCGGAGGTAATGAGAGTGAAGCGAATACGAAGAGAGTGGTGGGAACATAGTGAGTTCTCTTAATAAGTGATCTTCACTGGATCTGGTCCATTTGCTTCAAAAACTAATCATTCTTTTCAATGGCTTTATTGCATAGCGGTTACTTGTCACCAGAGTATGCGGTCCACGGGTTATATTCGATAAAATCATATGTATTCAGTTTTGGCGTTTTAGTGCTGGAAATCGTGAGTGGGAAAAGAAATCAAGGCTTTATTCATCCTGACAGCCATTTGAGCCTTCTTGGATATGTAAGTCGGAAAATTTATCAGATCTCTTTGTTTATTTATCTTCAGGTTAGTTTTTAGTCTTTCTCTAGATGACCGACATAATCATGCAGGCCTAGACACTGTTCAGAGATCGAAAGTCTATGGAGCTGGTTGATCCATCGATCACATCCACATTCAATCCCTTGGAAGTTTTGTGATCGATCCATTGCCTTGAACAACCATTTACATCCAACCACATTCATCGAGGGATGACAAGGAACAAGTTCCCATGTTTTGTTGATTGCAAGAGCATTCAACTCCTCAAGCATAGCAATTGTCCAACCAAGGTGTTTTAAGGCTGAATGGATGGTGTGTGACTCAAGAGGGATAGATGATATTGCTATATTGGCATACCTGGGATTTGGCTTCGAGATCATGATATTTATGGGATTATGGGATGCACTAAGGATTTGGAAGCTTGAGATTGAGATTGAACTATAGATTCAACCAATAGTTTTCGAGAGAAATCATTAATAAATACTACATCGAAATCTTTTTTTTTTGGTGTAAATATGTAAATATCATTAATCAGATGAGGTACAAAGGCTTAGGGAAACCCTTAGCATTTCAAAGAGACTAATTATGCGAGAAGATGGAGGAAGGAAGCCTTCATACAATAGCCAATAAAACATTTGTCTGGCAAGGCCTATATTGTTCGTAAAGTGACACCCTACCTCTTACAGCCTTTCGAATCCTAGCCATCAGAAGATGAGCTTCAATCGACTTGTTTTGAAACCATCTGCGGTTACGTTCCATCCATATGCAATAAATAGTCGCTAAGAAAGACAGCTTAAGGAGTCTCGCCTCCAAGTTTTTGCCCTTGGTGGCCCCGATCATCCATTGAAGTTCTAGATTCCAACCTCCTGCAGAATGCCAAATTTCATTTTGTGCCGGGATACTAGACCATACACTACCTGTCCAAGTGCACTCAAAGAATAAGTGGTTTCTATCTTCTATACTAGTCATACAAAAATTACACTTAGTATCAACCGAAGACAACCATCGTGATAGGGCTACTGTTGTCGGTAGCCTATCTCTGCAAACAAGCCAACCGATAAAATTATACTTGCTAACCCACTGGTCCAAATTAATTGATACCATTGTGTGGTCGGTCTCTCCTGTCTGAATTCCTTGTATATCTCTTTACAACAATATGTTTGCCTTGAGATAATAGATGTTAGAGCAAGTCTTAGCTTGAGAATACATCGCCAACTCCAAGCCATACTACCCTTCATGTCGAGTTGCATAATAGGAGTACCTCTACATTTAATGATCAGAGCACATCGAAATCTTTGCATAGAAGGAACTGGGCTGGGCCCTAAATACCACAATGTATTTTCTTCAATGGATGGAAACATCAAGAATCAATAAAGAAAATGACAATCATGAATTTCTACTAATCTGACTACTTGTACATAAAGTGCTAGCAGATAACTTACTGAAATCAAATCATCATACCACAAAAGTTGTAAAATACGACAATTTTGATGGCCTAATTGGTCATGCCGCATAAGTTCATTTGCAACCTTGTTTATTTGAGAAGAAAATGCCATTGAATGCATGTCTTTTGTGACATTCTGAATTTCGGCTCATTTTTGGGATTTATAAAACGTGTAATTCGTCAGTGCGCTTATAATAGAATCTCGCCCGGGAACTGATCACTCTCGGGTTCTTGTTTTTTTTTTAAAATAGAGATTTTGCTATAATCGCACTCGATCGAATTTGGCCGTTATTTAGACCCCGAACTTGGCAGTAGAGGTGGCCACGGTTCGGAACCGGCGGTTCCGGTTCGTGGCCAAGTGTGAACCGGAACCGGTTCCGGGCCGGTTCCGATTTTTTTTTTTTCTGTTTTTTTTCTTTTCCTTTTCCTTTTCTTTTTTTTTTCTTCCTCCGCGCCGGCCCCGGCCATGGCCGGCCGCGGAGGAAGAAAAAAAATTAAAATATAAATTATAATTTTAAAAAACAGAAACAAGGAAAAAAGACAAAAGAGAAAAAGGAAAAACAGAAAAGGAAAAGGAAAAGAAAAAGAAGAAAAACAGAAAAGGAAAAACAGAAATGAAAATAAAAAAAATACTATTCTTGTGATAGAACATTATTCAATATAAATTGTGATTAAAATGTAAATTGTACTCAAATTTGGGGACAAAAAGACAAGAGAGAAAGAGAGGACTTCAACTTAATAAATTATCATTAAGCACATTACAATTCGTTACAACGATCTTAAAAAAAAAGGAGTACAATATATATACCCTAAAATTATCCCAAAACCTAAGCATTCCGTGCGCAGGGGACTAGAGGTCACATATCGTCGGATTATATTTCGATTTTCCTAAACTCACGTGGGTGTACCCGGTATGAGAAACAAGAGTTCCCGAAATATTTGCCAACTCCAATAGTTCTTTTACCCTCAATCGTCACTACCCGTTCCAGTACCGATACTGGTAGCGGTAGTATCTCCGTCGTTAAAGAATTCGGATTCATTATTCCGATCTATCTCTTGTTGCCGGTATTGAGCCTTCGTCCAATCAGCAACACAAGCTTGCATCTCCACTGATTCTGGATCTAATCTTGAACGATGTTCGTTCAAAATATTACCTCCGGCACTGAATGCTTGTTCGACCGCAACTGTGGAACAAGGGGTTGAAAAAATCTGTTTTGCAATAAGAGAAAGGATTGGGTATTGGCTTGCGTGCCTCTTCCACCAATCCAAAATAAAAAAAATCTGTACCACCTTCGGCTTCAGTAAACTCAAATAAAATGGTTAGATAACTCTCTAATTCAGAAATATTTCCTATTACTCCCTTTTGTTTTTTTTGTCTATGTAATAAAAGTTGGTACCCTCTACTAATTTTACCTGTATTGTCATTTTGTATCTCCGTAGATTGAGAAGATCTAATATCACCTAAATTATATTTAGTATAAAATTCATTATATAATTCTATTACTACGTTTTTAACCTCACGTACTATGGTTGTAACATTTGTCACATCATAATGTAAACATTAATAATACGCACGCAAAAAATTATTTAAGCCATCCAATTTGCAACGCGGATAAAAAACACAAGCAACTAAATAAATCATGGGAATTTCACTATAATAATGAAGCCATTTCATTTTCATTGCAACTATAGTATGTTGTAATTCAACATCATTTTCATATTCATCAAAAGTTCCGACAATATTAGTACACTCTACTAAAAATAAATGTGTAGTAGGATAATAAACACCAGACAAAGTATAAGTTGCATCATTAAAAACCTTTAAAAGATCTAATTTTTTTTGGCAAATATGCCACTCTTGTGGGTATAAATTAATCTGAGGTATATTATTAGAAATGAATACACATAATAAATCTTTATATGCTAAAGATTCATTAAGCAAGTGGAAAGTAGAATTCCAACGAGTTGGAACATCTCTTGGAAATCTTTTTGGCTTTTTGCCATTATCTCTACAAAATTTACTCCATTCTTTCATTTTTTTGGGATGTTTCCATAAAAATTGAATCGCCGTTTTTATTGGTTGAAGAAAAATATCAAGAGTTTTCAAACCATCTTGTACATATAAATTTAAAACATGACAAGCACATCTAATGTGAAACAATTTTCTGCCAAAAGTGGGTTTACAAATATTTTCTAACTCGGCAATTGAAGCGGTATTTGCTGCGGCATTATCAAAACCAATTGAAAAAATTTTGTTAAGCAAATAATATTCTTCTAAAACTTGCCTAATTATTCTATAAATATTATTTGCCGTATGATGATCATCGAAAACTCTAAATGCAATAACTCTTTTTTGAATAGTCCACTCGTCATCTATCCAATGACATGTTATGCCCATGTAAGAATGATTTTGCCAATGATCACTCCAAATATCACTACTTATATGCACGCATCTATTAAATTGCATAAAAAAGTTTTGTAAATCATTTTTTCCATTTTTGTAAAGATCTTTAATTACTCGTTTAATTGAATTTCTAGGAACACGTTTTGCTTGTGGAGCACATGCTTTTTGTACAAATTCATTAAAACCAAATCTTTCTCCAAAATTAAATGCTAAATGCTCAACGGAAATAAATTTGCCTAATTCTTCCTTATAAGTTTTTTCATTAAAACGAAATAAAGGGGAAGTGTTAGGATTGACGTACCCGGAAATTTGTTATTGCC